ACAATCGAATATATTTAATTGACCAAAATTCATATTTGTCTAATAAACACAAAAGAAACATAAATCAACGCTAAACAGATTGAAGTTTTGAACCATTTTCAATAAATAAGTAATGCGGACTCGTCATTCAGATTTGGAGAAAGATCGAAATTTATTCTCTTTCTCGTAGAGAAGAGTCCAGTAATCATAAATTGTTTGCTTGATTGATTGTGTGTCCGCAGGGTCAAAAAAAACATCGAAAATCAACTTTTAGGAAAAGACATTTCTCGAGATATTTCGATGCGCGGAGTTTGAATCTGAGGTCTATTGGGTGACCATAATGAGGTGGGTGGGTGAGGATGGGTGAAAGGTCAAAAAAACATCGGAAATCAATTTTTCACGGTTTTCATTTGTTCTTCCAGTAAATGTGAAGGAAATGCATTTCAACGAGAAAGAGCTAAGCGAGTCCTCGGATGAGCGTTACTTGTAAGAATAAATTTACAGTTATTAATAACAAATATTTATAATTACTTTCTATATATAATTGTAAAAGATATCTTACATGAATATTTAGAATATATTTTCCATAAATTTGTCGAATAATTTTAGTAATTTGTTTTGGTTGATCAATTAAATGACAACATAATTTTAAATCTTCTTTTATATTTGCAGATGTTTCATTTAATTTTCTAATCTAGAATAAAACAAAAGAATGAGCACATCATTTATTATCATATAAATTATTTTAGTTTTTTGTCATGAGATTAGTTTTCTCATTAATAAACAAGCAACGCTCGTCTAGAGACTCGCTCAACTCTTTCTCGTAGAAATGGTATATCTTCACTCTTCAAAAAGTCGACTTCAAATTTGAGTTCCTCGATCTCGATTACCTTTAGTCAAGTTTTATGGTAAATAATAATTCTTTATTTAGATTATTTTTGAACCAATCAGTGAAGCGTGGACGCACAATTTATTCTAACTGAGCTCTTCTCTACGAGAAAGAGAATGACTTACAAGAAAAGTTTGTTTTTGTAAATCTTTTTCAATTGCTTTTAATCTAGCTTTATAATCAGCTATTTTAATTGAATATTTTTCATTATTTTGATTTAATAAATCATATTCATTATCCATCTAAATAAATAAATATATATGAAAATAATGAAATAAAATCAAAAATCAACATTATTAAATTGTTCAATTAAAGCTTGAACTTCATATTGTCGAGGACCTATTTGACTTGTTAATTCACGAATTTTATAATTAAAAACATAGGCAAATTTTTCTAATTCTTCTCCTCGATTTTCCATTTCATTAGTACGTTTTAACTAAATAATAAAAAGAAAAAGAAAACGTTTTGAAATATTAGAGAAAAAAAATGTGAAAATAAGACTTTTTCTTGAATAATAAAATGTCTTTGTTGAAATGTTTGTTTCGCTAAATTTAAATCATTATCAATTTGTTTAATTGAATCAATAAGTTTATTTCGTTCTATTGAATATTCTTTCATTTGATTTTCATAACGATTTGATTCTTCTTCAAGTTGTTCAAGCTAAATTTTAAATAGAAAAAAAAGATCTTGTATATAAAAAAAAGAAACTAACTCGTGTTTTTAATAAAACTTCTTCATTTTCTAATTTTTCAATTTTATCAACAATTGTTCTTAATTTACTTAAATAATATTCATGAATATTTCTTAATTCAATTTCCGCATTTTCATTCGACATAGATTTTATTTCTTCTAAATCATTAATACGGTCATTTATACATTGACGATCCTATGGAATCATAAAATAGAAATTAAATTAATACAAATTCTTATCTATAGAAATACAACCAGTTGAAGCCTAAACTTTCTGTTCTAAACTCAATCTAGAGTCCTGCGGGACCGGGTTTTTACGTCCCGATCCGTGTAAAATACTCTTTCGGAATCCCGATCCCGGTCCCGTTTAAACCCGATTTTCCTGAATCTACCAGAAATAGCTTTTAAACGCATATGTGGAATAAGACGCAACTCGATAGCATTTCATAGTACTACGATTTTGTTGATAGAAAGCTGACGTTGAAGCGTATATTATAATATTCTGAGTTCTTTCAGTCAGATGTTATATCAAACTAATCGATTAAGTCGAACAGAGAATGCATATTCGAGAAAGATAAAACATTTCAATACATTTAAAGTGAAACGAGAAAGATCGAAGACAAGATCGATAAGGACAACTCTATATGATCAAAGACAGGAACGAAAGTCAATCGATGAATATTAGTCGAGCGACGAGCATGAAGGTGAATAGCAGACACCTTCAGTATCGAAGAAGCATCGAACTGTAAATAATAACACCGTATCAAGTGAAGATGAACTCAAAGAGTGATCAAAACCTGTTGTTTCTTTAACCGTACTTATTTATTTATCTTACGAACATTGTTTTTCATGACATGTGTACACGTGTATCTTAGTTTTATTTTTACGAAAGAGTATATTGAATTTCTGAATGAAAATGAAATTGCACTTCGATAAGATATAATTAGCTAAATCCCGAAAAATTTTATCTCGTCCCGATCCCGTTGAAGCAGCGTTCAGGATTTCCAGTCCCGGTCCCGTGACGTCATCAATCTCGATCCCGATCCCAATGGGATCGGAATCGGGGCAACCCCTCAGGACCCTAACTCAATCTTAGTTAGTTGAAGTTTTTCTTAGATATATCTAACAGTCGATTAACACAAAGAGGAAAAAGTGGATTCTCCTAAGATTTATCAAGATCTATAGAATCTGTAGGATTCGCGTTTTCCCCTTGGAGTAAGTATAGAATACATGTGAAAAATGAATCTAGTATTATTAAAATAAGCATACTATAGTCTAAACCTCTCAATATAGTTACTACGAGCTATCTTTACATATGAGTAATCCCATAAATATTTCGATGAAAAATACTTCCTTTTCATTCCCAGTCAGTTCAGATTCTATTATATTATTCTTTATAAAGAATAATTTGTTTATATAAAACAATAGTTTAAACTTTAGAAGAATCGATCGTCTCAGATGAATTGATCTAATAAAAATCTTGTATATTGAATGAATATTAAGTTTACAGGATTAAAACTCAATCTTGTTTACTGTCGGATTTAATTTAAGTATTCGATCGAATTCTAACAGTAGAGTAATCGTTCAATATGATTAAACTAACTTGAGAAAATTTGTTTTTAATATTATTAATTTTGTCTCTGTATGATAAATGAATTAATTCAATATTTCGTTGATATAAATCATTTGTTAATTGGATTTGGAAATTGTTATTTGTTTTGAAATTTTCAATTTTAGATTTAATAAATTGATTTCGATCAAGAATTTCATTATAATATTTACTTTTATCATCTATATAAACATTCATATTATTTAGTTTATTTTCATTTAATAAATTTAATTGTTGTTCATGTTGATTTTGTAAATGAAATTTCTTTTGTTGTAAATCTTTTATTTTAATATTCATTTCATTAATAATTGATTGACAATGAAGATCAAGTTGATCTAAATGTTCAATATATTCTGTATCTTTTATTTCAATTTTATTTTCATATTCATGTTTGATTTCTATTTGACGTTCTAATAAATAATTTAATTCAATATTCTTAATAGAAACAAAACAAGAAAAGATTCTTTATTTATTTATTTGAAATTGAAAATAATCAAACTTGTTGTTTAAGAAGAATTTCTTTTGCAAGAATTTCATCACGATAAATTATTTTTGATTCTTTATTTTGTTGATAATCATTTAAATTATATATTATTACATTTCCATCTTCTCCCATTGAAAGAAATAAATCATCATTAATTGATATTAAAACCTAAAGAAATATTTTGTCGATCGAATATGAAGAATTATGTATTTGACAATCAAAAATTAATTTTCGGAGTATTTTATGAGAGTGTGAGCCTAGGAGGAAACAGAGGACATCAAGACCTCAAAGACTTCACAAGATCTCGTAAAACTTCATGCATGAACTCTCTGTTGTTTCCCTCTCGGTGTGAGCTGGAGATGATTATCACTACCACACTGATATAGACATCTCTAGTATCAACATAATATAAATATACCGTAATTCAAAGTTTAATTCAAAAGAAGGTCTACTTCTCTTTTTAATAAATTAAAAATTAGTGAAAGTTTTTACAATATCCAGACTATTTTTTTCGATTACGATGTTATAATGAGAGATTTTCTGATTTTGTATCTTTGATTAGACTAACGTAAAAATTTCTCAATTATAGAGTAAAAGATGTTTATTCTTAAGATATCATCTTACGAGGGAATCTCACTAAGTGATATTCTCCATTTGATTTCATATTCTGCCCATATGTAGGGCTCATATAATAGATAAAAACCCCAAAAGGGTTCGTGCCATTGCCCTCTTGTTGTTGAGATATTGTGTTTCTAAGGTATTGAGATAACCTAATGCCGTGGTCCCCCTCAGGGAAGTGCGAAAAACTAATGTTAGAGTTTTGACTTGAAACTTTGTATAGAATGAGGTCTTACTGAGAGTAGTTTACTGTGAGAGTTTCCGTTTTCCTGAATACTCATAAATCTAAAAAGGAATGTCATATGCTAGCTTTTGTAAGCGATAGCAAGTGACATTAGATTTTCCTTGCCGTATCTCTGGATAGAAACAAGGAGTAAGTCTAAAACTTTCGTAGTAAACTACTCTCAGTAAGACCTCATTCTATACAAAGTTTCAAGTCAAAACTCTAACATTAGTGTTTCGCACTTCCTTGAGGGGGACCACGGCATTAGGTTATCTCAATACCTTAGAAACACAATATCTCAACAACAAGAGGGCAATGGCACGAACCCTTTTGAGGTTTTTATCTACTATATGAGCCCTACATATGGGCAGAATATGAGGTCAAACGGAGAGTATCACTTAGTGAGGTTCGCTCGTTAGTCGTGACTCTTGCTTTTTTTATATGAAATCTATTGATTTTTATTCTAGTTGCATTTAAAGGTATTGTATGATATAATAGAACAGTATTATTCTGCTGAAATTATCTAATTAAATAGATATATAAAAGTTTAAAAATACTTTCTTAATTGCTCCTTGATGAACATAGTTTAAATGATTTGTATCAATAATTGAATTTGTTTGTGTTAATTTAAAAGAATAAATTGATCCATTTTGTGATCCAATAAATAAAGAACGTGTTTTGTTATTTATTGCTAATGTTGTTGGAATACAATCATTAAATGGAATATTTATATCACGAATATTCTACAAAATTTATTTTTAAAAAAATATTTATAAAATATTTTGGTTATTACTGTCATTAATATGAATTCTTTAATTTTTTTATCACTAGTTAATAAATAAGCTAATTTATTATCTGATGTTAAAATTAAATCTTCTATACTGAAATCTTCAATTCGATACTAATTAGAGAAAATTGAATAAAAACTAAAAAAATTCCAATAGAAAATATTAACTTGTGATAAACATTGACCTGTATATGGATTCCATTGAATAATAAAATCATTGAAATCAATACTAAGTAAAAATGAATCATCATGAGCCCAACGAATTAATCGAAACTATTTTTAATAACTTGATAATATTTTAAAAAATCAAATGAAATAATTTTACTTTTTTCTCATTGATTCTTTCAGAGATAATTTCATCATAATTCTTATGATTATAAAATTGAAGAATATTTGAATATCCAATAGCTAATATATGTCCTTCATTACTATATTCAATCTTTTCATTTGATATTTTATTTTAAAAAATTTATTTCAATTCAATTTCTTCTACATACACATTCAATATGAGAAATTTGAAATTGTTTAAATAGAATTAATCCATCAATTGTATATGTATATATAATAAGAATATTAGAAAATGAAATACATACGAAATATCCACTTGGATGAACACTTAGTAATAATGGTTCATTATCAAATTGATGATTTAATTCTTGAGTACTATTATTAAAAATATTTCTTTCATTTTATTTATTTAAAACTAACTTTGTTTGCAAATTCCATATTTTAAGATGATGATCAATACCAATAGTAAATAATAATGATTTACGAATACATAATGTACCTGTTGTTATAGATCCATTATGACTATTATTCAATGCGTATGTAAATATATTTTCTTCTTTTTTTCTATAATCCTATTACAAATAAATACAATGTTTTTTTATTTCATAATTTAAATTTTGAGTCAATAGAAGATTCTTTTTCCTATTTACATCGGTAATAAAATAATTTTGTGGAACTCACATCAGTTTTTGAAGAAAACCATGAGTATAACTTTCAATTTCAAGTTTTCCGTCTACTCCTGCTATTACGGATCTAAGCAATTGGTATCAAAAGTCATTAAATACAAACTAAGGCAGCCGCTTATCCCGAGATATTCCAATGCCTTGAAATCTAGAGGATGTGGCTGATCGGTTAATATATCACTCATTCTTTAGAAAAAATCGTAATCATGAATCTATGAATTCATATATGAAGGGGTTCCAATCAGAGGTAGTCACAGGGTAACATTTTCATACCCTGCCCTGCCCTGTCCTGCTAGGCGAAATTCGAGCAGGGTACGGCAGGGTACCCTGCAAATTTGACATAATATTAGATTTTTTTTAAGAAATCAATTTTCAAAGCAATCACGGGTTTAGATAATGTTGTGAAAAGTTATTTTATTCGAACTAAGTTACAATAGTATATTTCAACAACTGATGTAATAGAAAAATAGCAGATATTTCAATAAAAATTTATTTTTTCGTCATACTTTATTCAACACGCATCTGTGGAGGATGAACAGTTCCTTTCGTTGTTTGATACTCATGTAGAAAAAGTTATAAAAATCAGATTTAATATGAGGAATCCGCTAAGAAATCAATGTAAATGGCATCATTTTAATAGCTTGTTAATCAATTGAGTTGAAAAAATTGGTTATTTTTCACGAAAAATCAAATATTATTAGTTATAATCGATTCTTTCAACTTAATTGATTAACAAGCTATTAAAATCGTGCCATTTACATTGATTTCTCATATTATATCTGATTTTCATAACTTTTTTTACATGGGTTAGCGTTCTCTGTCATGTAAAATACTAAATTCTATAGAAAAATTTAAAAAAGATGACTTTTTTACATAATGCATACATTTGCAGGGTGAAAACCTTAACCCTATGCCCTGTCCTGGTACTTTGCAGGACAGGGCAGTGCAGGACAGGGCACTGCAGGGCAGGACAACCCTGCCCTGTGGCCACCTCTGGTTCCAATGCTAACAAATATGTTTTCTTCCAGTAAAGGAAAAGAATTATCAATATTAAACACTTTAGTAATTCCGTGGTTTTTTAGTGAAGTTTTGTAAATATTAATAAACTTACCATTTTGGAAAAAGTAATTTCATATAAATGATTATAATTAGTTGCAGCTAATAATGTTTCTTCATTTGGACTTAAAGCTAATGAATGAATAATTTCATTTGTTGTTGATCTTTGATTTTTAAATGATAAATCTGATAAAAATATATTTTCAATTGAACGTATTGGCGCAGATTGTGTTGGATTTCTTCGTAAGTTTTGATGAAATAAATTGTTTATTAGAGATGATGGTAAAACAAATTTTCTTAAATAAGTTAAATCAACATTATTTTCACTTCTTTCAAACATAAAAATACATCCATTTCTAAAGAAAAAAAGAAGAATGTTTTTGTAAATATTTAAATATTTTTTTTTTGTTTTACGCAGTTGATACAAAAAGACCACGTGAAAATGGTAATAAACAAATAATTTGATTTTGATGATTATGAAATGTTGAATTTGAATATTGATCAAGATTTGTTGTAGATAAAGATTTTTTATTTAATATTAATCTGGATGATAATTTAGATATTGATTGCATTTTTGATAAATTTTCTCCATTTTTTATATTTACAAATGAATTATTATTTGATTCATCAAGTTTTGTTCTATTCAATAATAATATTATACTCAATGAAATCAAGTGTATTGTAACGGGATGATATCAAAATCTCAAAAAAAAAATCTCGAAGAATCATCTTGAGGGTGTGAGTGTGGGTGCAGGTGTGGGTGTGGGTGTGGATGCATAGCTTTCGTTTGTTTTTGCTCAGAGGGGGGAAAATTCAAAGGAGAAAGTCTCCCAATTTGAAAGAGAAAGCAATCCAAACTCAAGGAGAAAGTACTACATACCGAAAGAGAAAGTAGTGAAAAATCAAAGAGAAAATAGTTCGAATTCAAAGAGAAACAGGACGTATTGAAGCAGAAAATCGCGACTTTTTCCATTTTTATAAGGAGAATTACTAATTTCTGTGTCGAAAACACAATAGATTTGCTTATATATAACTCGGTGTGCTTGCTAAAAGATAAAAATAGTAATGCTTCTAAAATTCTCAGAGAGAAAGCCTATATATGAGAAAAATATTAGGGAGGGGAAATGACCCCCCCCCCCTAATCGTAGGGCCTGTATGGATGTGATTGAGAAAGATAAAATCATTCACGACCACCCTTCGAAGTTAGCGTAAGAAAATGTCATAGCAGAATGCTTCCCTACGCTTGGTGATTATTTTCTAGCTTTTTCCAATTTCGAGGTTTTACATTTTCGACATTTATTTTTCGAGATTTAACTTTTTTAGAAATTTTGTATTTCGAGATATTCTTTTCGAGACTTTTATTTTCGAGATTTTGAAGGTAATCCTATTTTAACCTTTTACGGCCGAATGTTGCCAAAAGGTAACAATTTTGCCGTAGGGGGATACGGCATTTTTAAAAAAGTGCGCGGTAAAAAATTGATCCCTATAACTAAACAACAAAGAATATATAGAAAGATAACTTGTTGCTTGTTGTCTTCTGGTAGCCGGCCGTACAGGGTTAACTTACAGATTATATTTTTGTATAATTTGTCCATGTTTATTAATAATATAAATAAATCCATAATCTAATCCCAATAAAATATGATTTTCATTAATCCAACAATGACAAGTTATATTTATTGATTGATATTGTTCAAATTCTTCTTGTGTATATTGAGATAATCGACCATTATTTAAACGATATTGTTCAAATATATGATTACCAGTTAAAATTATTTGGGACGAATCATTTGGATTAAATGAAATCTTTTTTAAAAAAAGAAAAAACAATAAATTTTTTTATTAACGAAATTACTTGTAGATTAAGTGGATTATATGAATGATTAATATGAATAGATAATATTCCAATAGATTTAAATTGTTGAATTGACCAACAAACTAAAATATAATCAGGTTCACCACTTGATTTTTAATTAATTAAATATTTATTTATTTCTTTGTTCAACTTACTAAAGTGCAAGAAGATATTTTGAATTATTTGAAAAAATTATTGAAATAATATGATTACAATTTATTGATTGTTTTAATAAAAGAATTTTTTCTTTTATTGGATTTTTTAAATTATCTTTTAGATTATAAAGAATAATACGACATTTATTTAATTGATTTAATCCAATTGCCAAATATTCTTTATTTAAACTTAATGATAAACATTCTAATTTATCAAATTCATTTTCATAATTTATTAAATATTGACATTTATAATCAATATTATACAAAATTACATGTCGATATGATGGATATATATAACAATATTCATTTAAATATATTAAACTATTTGATAACGAGGTTTTTATACCAAATAGATGTTTTATTGAGAATGAACACATTGAAATATTCTTCAAAATCTTTAACTTTGTTTTATTTACCGCTCAATTCTTTTTTTTAATTAACCAAATGTGATCCATAACTTATTCAATATTCGATCTAGAGAAATCTTCAACATACAGATATCAATAGACTGTAACATCTTACAACTTGAAAGGCCATTGAGGGTGGGTGTAAATAACACATACACCATAATTACATACTCACTCACACACACCCTTCAAAAACTTCAAGAGATGTATACAGAAATTTCATTTATGCACAGGGCAAACACTTTTGCACCTTACTGTATGACAAGTTAAAAAAGCAGATCATTAATTCTTTCTTTTATTAGCGTAAGAGACTGCAAGTGCAATCCATATTATTATAGAATATTTAACAAATTTTTTTATAAGCTTTATTTACTTTTTGTATTCAAACGAGTAAATTCTTTCTTTATTTAATAATTTTCAATAAATATAAATCATTAATCTTCAACAAGACATTTATAATCTTATCTTTATTATTATGAATTTTATTAGAAAAATTCTCTTCAAAGAATAAATTTGAAAATAAATATTTTTTTGGATAAAGTTATTTCAATAAACGAAAAAAAAACGATCTTCACTGTTCTATTACTATTATAGAAAATTAATATGATTTTTTAATATAACATGTGTACAATATTATATCATATTCAAATAAATCTCTCTCACTCTACTTATATTAATACAACGGATTATTGTTCGGCTTTGTTAATAATACTATAAATATTTTCTTAAAGTTGTAATAAGCGACAGTCAGTTATTGTATGAATAAGAAAGAAATTTACATAGACTAACAATATATTAGGAACCTATCTAGTTAAAACATAAAACTCATCATAAGTCTCCTCTTAGATATATGATTATGTACTTATATTTTATTTCAAATCATAATTAGACAAATTTATAAGAGCAGAACATAATTAACATGTGGCCAATAAAGAATAGTAACTTTAATTAGTCTTTATTGTAGACTTCTTTTTCATAATGATGCTCTAAAATAGCACAAGTCTGTCATTTATTGTCGAGAAGAATAACTTCTTTATACTCTCTCACCATAAAGTATGATAGAAATTTCAATTTATATTAGTTGTAAAGCTAAGAGTATTCTATTGTCTTGAGATATATAAATGACTAAAATAAAATATATTTTTGAATATCCTTAAAGTTTCGTCAGAAATTCTTTCGACAGCATAGATTAAGAAAACTCATTTAAACTAATGACATTTTAACAAATAATTGTTTCTGCTAGAGATATTTCATTATTTTAATTCTAATCTATGTTGACAAAAAAAACAAATTTCTATTAATAACAAATAATCCAACTATTGTGATTTAATAATGTTTTAAATAGAATGAAATTTGTTTCTATATATAAGACCTTTCCTATGGACATTTATTTTGTTTATTCAAGCATTTTAATTATTGTTTAGAAACATTTACTCATTTTATTGATTCAAGTTGTATATATATATTAATATTCATTGTCTATGAAATATTTCAGATATATAATTGAATTCAATACAAACTTCTACTATGATTAGTGATCAAACAAAAACAAATGGTTTTATAATTAGTTTGGTTTCTCTTGGCTTTAATACATTTGCATGTTTAATATCATGTATAGTTTTTCTTATTATTATATATCATCTTTATTATAATCATGTTAAACGTAAGGACAAAATAACTGTTGTTCTTTGTGCTCATATATATTTGGAAATTCTAATATATTCATCAATGTTGATATAAATGAATATTCGATCAATACTGGGTGATTTGTATAGCCAATCTTTTGACTCATCGTGGTGTATTCTTTCAGGATATTTAGCTATTATACTGCTTGGTATGGTATACTGGAATTTCCTAAATCAGGTAATTCGAAAGAATAGAAATTAAAAAAAACGATATATTGTTTTTTAAATAATTCTAGGCATTTTATCGTCTTATTCGAATTGCTTATTCTCAAAATAGACGATTTCAATCTCTAAAATTATATATAGTTTTACCATTTATAGAAATGATAATAATATCTATTCTTCTATGTGTTCTTCTACCTTTGAATGGTATAACATATTCACAAAATGATCACTTTTGTAACATAGCATACATGAATATTCCTAGTGTTCTTTGGGCACTGCCTATTGTTTATGTATGTCCATTTTGTTGTTTATTATTTATTTATATACATATAACAAGATTTATTCATCACCAAGGAAATATTCCAACGTTAATAATCAAACGACGACAATCTCGTGATTTACTTATTATTCAACGTATTTTAATAATTGTTGGTTTATTACTTATTCTTTCGATACCTTTATTGATTCTTATAATTATGTCTCTGATACGAGGCGAAGAACATGCATTACTTACTCGAATTTCATATTTTCCAGTTAGTATATCTCAAATGGGATTGAGTGTAGCATTACTTTTTTATATTCCATGACTAAAAAATATTGTTTTGAACTTACAAAAAACAAACACAGTGACTCTTGTCAGTCGAGCAGTGCGAGGCACAATACAAATGAGAATGATTACTAGTACTCAATAGTTCTATACATAGTTTACAATTTTCAAAGTGAAATCAATCTTATGAATATATTCTTATATATTTATTAAATCTTAATTGCTTTTAATTTTTTAGCATTTCTTATTTTTATGTCAGTATATAAAAAAAGTTATTCTTGCTTATTTATTTATGAATATAAAATCACTTTATTAATTATTATTGTTGTAAGTAGTGCTCGCAATGAAATCAATATGTTGTGATATTTATTTTTGTTTATTAATGTGTAGAAATAAATAAAGTTGTAGTATTAATTGAACTAAGTTATCAAATATGATGAGTTTGATAGAAAAAAACATGTTTATTGTTCTGTTACTGTTATAGAAAACTAATCTTTTTTATATAACATGTGTACAGTATTAAATCATAGTCAAATAAATCTCTCTCTCTTTATATATATATATTAATACAAGAGATCACTGTTAGGTTTTGTTAATAATAATAGAAATGTTTTATTAAAGATATAACAGGCGACAGTCAATTATTGTTTGAATGAGAAAGAAATTTACATAAACTAACAATATATTAGGAACCTATCTAGTTAAAATATAAAAATCATCATAAGTCTCATCTCAGACATTTACAGATATGATTATGTATTTATATTTTATTTCAAATCATAATTAGACAAATTTATACGAGCACAAAATAATTAACATGTCATCAATAAAGAATAGTAACCTTAATTAGTCTTTTCTATAGACTTTTTTTTTCCATAATGATGCTCTAAAATAGCACAAGCCTGTCATTTATTGTCGGGAAGAATAAATTCTTTATACTCTCTCACCATAAAGTATGATAGAAATTTCAATTTATATTACAGTAAAATCTCTCATAGTGAACACCTCCGTTTTATGAACAATCTCAAGTCCGACAGAGCGATTTTTGCTAGAAATACATTTCTCCAATATGAACACTTCTTTATTATGAACAGTAAACGCTTTTGTTCGGTCCCGTGTGATATTATCACCTCTCTAATGTGAACATATATATGATGTTTTTTTGACCTCTTTCTACTTTCTGTCATGTGTTTTGATGAGCTACCTAATTCAGATTCGAATATAAATGGACATTCAACTGTACATTACTAATTCAAAAATAAATGGTGAAATTTAGGAATAGATTCACTTATAGTTTTAATTTTACTCTAAAATGTATATGATTTATAGATACGATCAAGGGGTGGGTGAGGAGGACTTATCTAAAAATTATTCTAAAACTAAATCTATTCCTAGAAACAGATATTAGTTTTTCTTTTTTTAATGTCCGTTTATATTCGGACTCGAGTTAGACAGCTACTCATATTAATAGATCTGTATATTGATTCGAAAGCAATAAGACAAACAATATTAGAAGATTTCGTGGAAAAAAACAAATTTTGCTTTGTATTATAGCTTGGAAAAACTTTTACTTAAAATCGCTTAGCTAATATCAAATGAACAATAGAATAGATGCTCGGGTGTTTCTCTACTATAAAGGCATAAGCAACTATTCTAAGATTTCTTCCATTTCAGGCTATATTATATATTAGCTCTCCACAATGAACACCTCCGTATAATGAACACTTTTTTTCGGTCCCGATGGTGTTTACATTGGGGAGATTTTAGTGTAATTGTGAGGGTAAGAGTATTCTATTGTCTTGAGATATACAATTGACTAAAATAAAATATATTTCTGAATATTAATAAAGTTTCGATTGAAATTCTTTCGACAGTATAAATTAAGAAAACACCATTGAAAATAAATGGATTTTTAATAAATAATTGTTTCTATTTGAGGTATTTCATTATTTTACTTTTTGTCTATGTTAACAAAACAAAAACTGATTTTTATCAATAACAGATTATCCAACTATTATGATTTAATAATGTTTTACGTAGAATGAAATTAGCTTCTACATAGAAGATTTTCCTTATGGATATTTATATTGTTTATTCAAGCATTTTAATTGTTTTTTAGAAACATTTACTCATTTTATTAATAAAATTTATATATATTAAATATTTCAGATATCTAATTGAATTCATTACAAACTTCTATTATGATTAGTGATCAAACTAAAATAAATGGTTTTATACTTAGTTCGATTTCTCTTGGCTTTAATACATTTGCATGTTTAATATCATGCATAATTTCTCTTATTATTCTATATCATCTTTATTATAATCATGTTAAACGTGAAGATAAAATAACTGTTGTTCTTTGTAGTCATATATATCTAACACTTTTAATTAATGGAATAATATTTATGTCAATGAATATTCGATCAATACTGGGTGATTTGTATAATCAATCTTTTGATTCATCATGGTGTATTCTTTCAGGATATTTATCTCTCGTATTGGTTGGTATGCTATCCTGGAATTTCCTAAACCAGGTAATTCGAAAGAATAGAAATTAAAAGAAATTCATATATTGTTTTTTGAATAATTCTAGGCATTTTATCGTCTCATTCGAATCGTTTATTTTCAAAATCGGCGATTTCAATCTTTAAAATTATATATAGTTTTACCAGTTATAGAATTAATAATAACAACATCAATTTTTCTATGTGTTCTTCTACCTTTGAATGGTGTAACATATTCGCCAAATGATTACTTTTGTTGTGCAACATTCACAAATATTCCTGGCATGCTTTCTTTATCATTCGTTGCTTATATATGTCCATTGTGTTGTATATTATTTATTTATATTCATATAACAAGATTTATTCATCATCAAGGAAATATTCCAACGTTAATAATCAAACAACGACAATCTCGAGACTTACTTATTATGCGACGTATTTTAGTAATTGTTAGTTTATTACTTCTTCTTGGAATGCCTGCATTGATTCTTGTAACTATGTTCATAATAACAGGTGAAGAGAATCCAATACTTATTCGAATTTCATATTTCTCGGCTAGTGTATCTCAAATAGGACTGAGTGTAGCATTAGTTTTTTCTATTCCACAACTAAAAAATATTATTCTAAACTTACGAAGAACAAATATAGTGATGCCTTTTAATCGAACTATTCAAGGCACAATGCAAATGAGAACGATTGTTGGTATTCAATAATTGTACATTGTTTACAATTTTAATAGTGAAATCAATTTTAATTATTTTTATGTCATTATGTAAAGTGAAGTTATTCTTGTTTATCTATGAGTATGTAAATTTCTCTATTGATTATTATTGTTGTAAGTATTGCTCGTAGTGAAACCAATATGTTGTGATGCTCAGTTTTGTGTTATTTATTTTTGTTAAATAATGTGTAAAAATAGATAAAATTGCAGTATTGATTGAACTAAGTTATAAAATGTAATTCCCTATACTGTAAGAATAGGGTTTAGAAACGGGAATTGATCTAATTATATGTATTATTTTTGTCGGTAACATGGTACATTTGACCATTTTATTTTTTGGTACAAATGACCACGTAACTATAGCATATTTTCGATAATATAATTTTTATTTACTAATATTGTTTTATTTGAATAGTATGATATTTAATTTATTTGTGTCAAAAAGTTGAATATTTCTAATATTTCTTGATTATATATAGATCATTATTTCATTGAATAAATTAAAATAATGAGGCAACGCCAATTTTACTTCTAATATGGAGGAAGATGAAAATAATATTAATAACAAAAAAAGGGAACGCTCGTGTACACGGAGTATTATAATTAGGGATGCAACGGTGAGCGCTCCATCTTGAGAGTGTAGGTGTGGGTATTTATTTCATCTATCATTAACGTCCACCCCACATCATGAGCTGGAATAGATCGTCTTCTCTTAGACATAACTGAATTTAAAAGGATATATATAATAGAATAGAATAAAGATCTTTATACGAAGAATTTTCAATCTTTTTAAACTATTGTGAAAAACTATATTTATTCTCTTGTAGAGATAAATTTATTTGAAAAAAAGAAATAATATAAAATCTATGTTGATGATTGTTTTTTAACAATTCCATCAATCCATTTAAGATAATCTTGATTTCCACTATTAATTGGTAGTTCAATTAATTCTGGTACATCATATGGATGATTCTTTTTAACAAATTCAATTAATTGTGGAACAAATTCTTGCCGTGTTTTAATCATTAATATTAATTCATTATCTTCATGAATTGTTGATTGCCATTCATAGATCGATCGAACACCTGGAATTATATTAACACATGCAGCAAGACGAGATTCAACTATTGAACGAGCTAATTTTCGTGCAATTTCATCATTTGATACTGTAGTTATACATGCAGAATATTCTGATGAAGATATTGAACTCATTGAACGTTTTAGAATTATCTGAGAGTAAACATAATATGTTAAGAATGAAATAGAAAAAAAAATGAATGAAATATATAGATTAGTAGATAACATTTACAAATCTACAATAGATAATTAAACTCACCGAATTAAATATACGAACAGTAGTTAAACTTTTTAATACCATACTGAAAACAAATATAAGAAAATTGGATTCTCATATGAATTACATTTCTTAATACTTCGATAAAAATAGAAAAAGACTTGATTATGATCGTTGTTGAATTTTGTAATAAAAATATATTTTTCTTGATTTTCATAGAAGATTTTTGTTTTTGAAAAAAAAAGAAGGAGTGTTTTGTTGATCATCTCAAATGAATTTTAATAAAAATAACAATAACAACAAGAACAACAAAAGAGAAAAGAGAACATAAAATAGCATAAAGAAAGTTGTTTTTAAAAAAAAAGACAAATGAAAATGTTAAATTTAATTATCATGTAAAGCAACAAATGATTTTGCACCAAATGGTGATGCATAACGTATTTGTAGATGTTGAAAAACTTTTTGTCCAAATCCAAGATCACATAAATAAAGTCTTCCAACATTTTTTGATGACATAGCAACAAGTGGTAATAAAGGTACTAATGAATATTTACATTCAATTGCTCCACCATCTAATGGAGGATCAACACCAATAACAGAGGCTTGAAGACGTGAACAATATTGAACTATATCACGATACCATGGTTTAGCAAATAAAACTGAATCGGAATTATTTGCAGCATCTAAACCATTTAATATTAAATCAACTGGTGATCGAGGAAGATCTTTAATTTGAAACAAAAAAAATAAATTTTGTTTTTCTTAAAAAATAAATCTTACCTGATACATTATTTGTTATAATACCTTGAGTTGTTCGAAATAATTTGAGTTCATTTTCAATAATATTACTTCTAATTGTTGTTAAATTTGGTGGAACATATAAATAAATTTGAATATTTTTTGATGCTAAAATTCTTCCAGCTGATATTGCATATGCACCTTGAATTTCAGTTAAACATGCTAAAACAACAATTGTTGGATGTTGATGACGATTTTTAACTAATAATCGTTGTGTACCACCTAATAAATGCAAACACATATCACTTGTACAACGACCCATTGATTCAACACGTCGTTCTAATGAATAACCATAATATTCAGCTGAATTAAATAATCTATCACGTAATTCAGTATTTATCGCAGGAATAATAAGACCTTCATCTAAATTTATTAAAGAAATAAAATAAAATTTTATTATTTTTTCAAAAAACAAAACCTGTTAAATATTTTTTAGTTGAAGGTACAGGTAATTGAATTTGTTCATATTCAATAGGTCCATTATTATGTTCAAGTATCATTTGATCACAACGATATTTATCTTGCATTGATGATGGTTGAATTATTGAAGAATTTTTTAATGATGAGATATTTGGTGGATCCATATGATAACGAAGTCTTCCTTCCTCATTTGTTTCATTTTCATTTGTTGCTTCATCTGACCAAGATTTCGATGAACGAGAACGATTCGATTGACTAGCATTTATATCACTTGATTTACTACCTAACAAAATATAATTTTTACAATTGAAAATATAGCTAATAAAGGTTTTTTAGTGATACATCAAAGATTGATTTTATGGGAAATCTTAAAGAAATTTTAGCATAAAACTGTATTCCTCCATAATAATAATAAAATATTTCTTAGGGTTATACTGAGCCTGAGCCCTGGATCAGTGTTTTATCTAGCAGGAGGGCAAGAGGCTTTTTGTCCCCTCGGAGGCTATGCTGGTCCTCCCGGAATGCAGAAAAATTGTGCTTTTTCGCATAAAACTACATTTTCCCTCCCGAAAAATAGATTTTTGCTCTCTCGGCATTTAGTTTTGAACTCTTGGACGAAAAAAGCTGGATAAAACACTGGCCCTGACCGAGCCTCTCGGGCTCGGGTGTGTGTGTATGAGAGTAGGGAACTGCAAAATGATCCCAGTCCCGCGGGATCGGGACCGGGTCCAAGACTAAAATTGTCAGCTAATTCCTCAATGTTTTTATCAAGTATGAGACTAGATATTTTCTTATTTCTTTTTTTTCCTTAACTAAGAATTGACAAATGTGTTATCTTATAGTTCAAGAAAAACCGTATAGATTGAATTTACAATCAAAAAAGCGAGAATTTCCATGAATTTCATATTTTTTTTGCATAGATGAAGACAACACCAGAATTATTCATAAGCTTTTATCAAGACCGGGACCAACTGAAAAAGTTGGCCGGGACCAAAAAGTGATTTTGCAGTTCCCTACATGAGAGTGAGAGTATGGTGAGTGCGAATACTATCCTTTTCATTCACACCCATCCAGATACCAGAGCACTAATCGAGTCTCGAGAGATTCGAGCTCGGTACATCCCTAATCTTTCTCTGTTAGACTCATAGAGAAATGAGTCTAAAATGTTTTTCTAGGTAATCTAACCATTATTAGCAATTGGTGCAGCTTTTAATTGTTGTTGTGATTGTTCATAATTTGATGATTTTTTATTAATTGTTTTAGGAATTTGAAATGATGAACCAGGTTGAGATAAAAGATTTAAATCAATAATATCTTTTGCTTTAAGAAGAATAAATTCTTCATCAATTAAAATTCCATTATGAAAAGCATGTTTTAATGTTAATGTTTGATTAATTCCATCAACAGATTTAATTTGTCCTTGATAATTTCCAATATTTGATCCACAATCAATTGATACAGTCCAATTAAGAAAATTTTCAAAAGACATTTTCTCTAGATCATTTCTTATCTAAATTGAATAAATCAAATTAGTTTTGGATTTTTTATTTTTTATTAAAAACATCAGTCTCTTTTCTTTTTTTTTTGTTTCTATTCGATTTTATTTTGTTTGAAATAATAATCGAACATATAAGAAAAAGAACAAACAAAAAAACACGAGCAGAATGTTTTTAAACATAAAATAAAATATTGTTTTTTGTTGTATCGATGGAATATCTTCAATTGAATTAACAGAAACAATGAACAACACCTGAGTTAAATCAACAGATATATATCTACTGTTCCACTGTGCACCAACTTCTTCTTTGTTTTTCGTTTTTTCACAACATAACACGAACAAAAAAACCAATCTTAATCTTCTCTTTCTCTCTTGTGTAAATAGTAGAAAATTATGTACAGAAAAGACGGGGAGAAAAAAAACTGAATTATATACATAAAATGAAATAAGAAAAAACAAGACAAAAGAAATGTTCAGCATACTGAACATGTTTTATTTTGTGAATGTTGTTTTGTTGTTATTTTCCCTGATGATATTTGTTTTATAGGAATAGAAGAAGAAGTTGATGATGAAGGAAGAGAAGAATTGGCTTCAATTGGATTTGAATTTGTTGAATTTTCACTCGTATCCATATTATCCATTGTAGTTATACTTTTTTCAAAGATTTCTCTAACAGCCTAACACAACGTTTTACTTATTTGTTAAAATAAAGAAAAATATTTTTTACTTTTTTATCCATTGCAGATGTTTCAACAAATTGAACTTTCCATGCATTAGCTAATGATCGACCTTGTTCAGTTGTCACTTTACTAAACAATAAATTCATTAGAAATAGAGGAAGTTAAAGTAAAAAACATACCGTTCAGTAGTTCGATCAATTTTATTTCCAACTAAAACAATTGGAATTCTAAAATAAGAAAAGTTTTCAACATTTTTTTTCTTTTTCTAATAATAACCTTGTAATAGCGCTTGTTGATATGATTTTCTCTCGAATTTTTGAAACCATTTGAAAACTAAAATAAATCTTAGTTATTTTATTATTTGAAATAAAATTATTAAAAAACCTTTGTAAATCATCAATAGAATAAACAATAATATATGCATCACTATTTTCAAAATCTATATAATCAAGTGTATATTGATCTGATCCAGCATTATCAACTATTGTTAAATCAAATTCTTGTCCACCGATATTACATTGATATTGAAGATCTAAATAAATTAAATGATGAAATAATAATAAAATAATATTTTAAATCGAACTTGTTTTAATATTTGGATCATATTCAGTACAGAATTGTTTATAAACAAAATGATGAGCGAGAGAAGATTTTCCAACACCCGGAAATCCTAATAATGCTATTTGTCGATGTCGACGCATTCAAATTGATTTTTTTTTATCTAAAATAAATATTTTTATTGAAAAAGCAAAAATCGTTTTTTCTTTCTTCCTTTTTCTTTCCTCTTTCAATAACAAAAAAAATAGCAACAAAAAAAAATAATGTGATTGTAGGTTTTTTCCTTTTTAATATAAAATGTTTATTTTATAATTCATCACGAAATGAATAACGTGATCGACTTGGACTTAAATGAATAAATACAGATTCAGGTGGAGATGATACATGATTAACTTCTAAAAATTTATTCGCATTTTTACCGGATATATCATTATTTATTGAAGATAAATCTTTACTTTTATCTGATTCGACATTTTTTGATTTGGAATCAACACTCTTCTAAATAAATAAATTATTTAATAATATTTAAAATCATCAAAATATCTCATCATAAATAAATTCTCTAAAAACTTCTTATAAGACTAAAACTGAGGTACTATGGAATTAGGACAGTTGCTCGCAGAAACATTTTTTTGCAAATTTTGATGTTAATGTGAGTGTACACGTGAATGGAGAGAAACAATACACTCACACTGAGTTATCCTCATTCACATTTAGCCTCGAGAACAAGTGTCTACTTCCTATTGAAATCCTCCTGATTCATTCGTTATTATTTTAAATATTTTCATTAAATTCTTGTTAGTTTTACTCAAGGGGTATACAACATAGACTTCATGCACGAAGTCTCATGAAATCTTTAAAGTCTGTAGAAGTCTCTAGAAGTCTTATGAAGTCTTTTAGAATTTCTATGAATGCATGTATTTCACGAGGAGATCAGAGAAAACGTCGTATTTCCACCAAGGGGTATACAACAGAGACTTCATGCATGAAGTCTCATGAAGTCTCATGAAGTCTCGCGAAGTCTTATGAAATCTTGTGAAGTCTCTTGAAGTCTATGAAGTCTCTTGAAATCTGTGAAGTCCATTGAAGTCTCTTGAAGCCTTGTGAAGCCTTGTGAAGTCTCCTGAAGTCTTTCGAAGTCCGCTGTTATCCCCTTGGTTTTACTCTTAAAATGTAAACAAAATTACTTGAACTGCTTTTGGTGGTTGATGAAAATCTTTATGAAGTTTTTCTGAATGAAGATCTTTAACAAATTGTAATAATTTACCATCAACTCTAAATAAATTAATTTTTGGAATAAAATTAAGAAGAAAAAAAAGAAACTCTTACGAAATTAAATTAATATCTGGAAAAAGAAACATATGTTTAAAACTATCAATAACTAATAATGGTAAATCCGTTAATTTTTTTCCTAAATGTTGTAACGGATGAGAAAATTTTGCTCCATCTGCATGTAAACAATTAATACCCGCTAAAATAAAATAAAAATATTTCAATTCTTTTTTTAAGAAGAATTTATGAATATATTACATCGTTCATGCATTAATTGTTTGGCAACTTCTCGTTGAAATAATGCAACTGATTGATGATCATCAACATGATGAAATAAAATAAGAAATGGTAAACCTTCGTCTGTTAATTCTTCGGCATTTTCAAATGTTATTTCTCGAACTAATGGAATACATTTTTCATGTGACCATGCATAAAATGATGCTTGATTATTTATTAATCCCGTATAATATTGATCACTTTCATTTGATGACTAAATTTAGATTTTTTATTTTATTTTATTAAAATTATTTTCTTTTACTTGAGATGAACGATAATAAACAATATCATCTGTTGGACGTTCATTTTTAAATTCATCTCTATTCAAATAAAAAAAAACAATAATTATTTATTTAATTATCAATATATTTTACTTTGATTTAGATCAAAGATTTTCTATTAGTATGCAAGAAAAATTCTATTGAATAACTGATATTGTCATTGATACGTCACTGTATGTCTATATCTCTGATTATTCCAGGTGTGTTTTTCTCTTTTAGATCATAAATCAAGATGTGACAGTTATGTTGTTTAAATAAGAATAGAATTTATTCAATATTAATAAAGGCACAAAAACATCGAAATTTTGTTTTATTATTCTCAGAAAATTTAATCAATTTTTTTATATTGATTTATTAAGAACAATATTTGATTATAATTAACATATCGTCAATCGATAACTATCAAAAAGTCTGTATTCATCTGTCAAATTTTATTTTACAAAAATTGTCTTGTCTTACAACCACTGTTGAGTCCGAAATGATTTTGACAAAAATTTAAATTTATCAGAAATTGTAAAAATTTAAAATGTTTATAAACCGGGTCGAAGTTGGTAATTTGACAAGTCTAGAAATTCAAAGCTGTCTAAATGTCTACTAGAAATTCGTGAGAATAGTGCTCTTAAATTTAGTGAAATAATATTCCACCATGGGGATGTTATATACTCATATTGACACTTAAAATGATAAAGATAATTTAATCCCTTAGGTTTATTAATCAGTTCAAAATCCTTGAACTGGTCAGATGCTTATACAATATACTCGAATTTATTTATCCAATATTCGTTTATAATCGAGTTAGATTTATAAATCAGGCAGGTATTTATAAATCGGTCAAATATTTATAAATCAGCTGAATTTATAAATCAAATCGGTATTTATAAATCTTTCAAGCGTTTATAAATCAAAAACAGATTTATAAATATTTTAAATTTTCAGTTGAAAAATTTATGATTTATAAATAGCCTACTTTCGGACTCAACAGTGCTTACAACTAATGTGATTATAAATTAGATTAACTGCTGATTAATCTTTTAAATAGAGGAGATCTTATTTGTAGATAATTTTTCTTAATAATTAAATCTATATTTACTTATTAATTGATCCAGCAAAATGACAATCTTCTCTGAGAAGACTTGCTACTTTGGAAAAGATTTGATAATTTTCCGCTGTGTCACTATCAAAATGTCCAATAACATAATGTTTTTTTTTATCTAATGTTAATAAATCATTTGGTGTTGATAATTTAATCATTGATGATTCAACTTGTTGACGAATAAATTCAAATAAAGGTTCAACTTGTCTAAAAAAAAACAATTTAAAATTTATTTTAAATAAAAAAAAAAAAAAATCTCACCTTGCACCACGATATTCTCGTTTTGTCATAATTCCATGTCGATAAAATTTTAATGTTGGATATTTATTAACATGATATTTTGTTGATATTGATGCTAACAAAAAAAAAAAGAAATTTATTTTAGGAAAATATTTTATTTGTTTTTACATTGGGAATCACAATCAACTTTTCCAATAACAACAAGTCCTTGTTGCTTAAAATATTAATAAGAAAATATTTTATTTTTTGAAAATAAAACTTTCAATAACACACCGGATATTGTTTAGTAACTTTATCAGCAAATTGATCATAAATAGGATTAAGCATTTGACTAAATCGACACCAATTTGCATAAAAATTAATAAAAACAAGTTCATTCGAAGCTAAAATTTATTTTATTATTAAAATAAATATTTTGAAATTATTCTTACAAAGTATTGAATCAATATTACTACTTGTAATTTGTATTGCACCACTCCAAACATAACAAACCTATTTAATTTTTAGAATTTAGAATAAAAAAATCTTTTTTTCCGATTATTAAACTTACAAAACTAAGAAATAAATTTAATTTAAATAGATACATTGTTCTTTTGGCTTAATTGAAACTAATCTAGAAAAATAAAATAAAATAAAAAATTTATTAAGAAATTATTTAATAAAACCACGTGAGATCACACGCTACATGATTTAACCCAAAATAAACAAAGAAAAACAATTCTACTATTCGTTTATTTAACCAATCGATATCGTCCAACAATTGAATTTTTTTTATTTCAATTATGAAATTATTTTTATTTCTATTAACTAATTTTTTATTGAAAAAAAATTTTTTAAAAAAAAAATAAAATCAAAGTGCATAAATGTGTTGAATATTTTGTTAGAGGATAAATAGATTTTTCCCATGAAAGAAATCGTTAAATCATCATTTAGCTATCATGAGTGCCGAAAAGTAATATTTTGATTTATTATTAATAAAAGAAAAGATTTTTTTTGTAAATTAAAATTAGTATAATCCATTCAATGCAAACCGATAGTGAATGTGAAAGTGATGTTTCATCAATAGCTGATTCATCAGTAACAAATCCAAATCAATTAATAGTTAATCGTGAACATTTATTAAAACGTGTTGATTCTTTATCACAAGAAAATCGTGTTCTTAAAGTTGAACTTGAAACATACAAATTACGTTTAAAAGCTTCACAACAAGAAATCAAACAATTAAAACAGTTTGTTTATTTCAAATACATATATATATTATTTCTAATCTTTTTTTCTTCTAAATTAAAGTGCAAGTGTTCATATGCAAGCTAAAGCTGAACAAGAAGAAGAATTTATTTCAAATACACTTTTAAAAAAAATTCAAGAATTAAAAAAAGAAAAAGAAACTTTAGCAAATAATTATGAACGTGAAGAAGAATTTTTAACAAATGATTTATCAAGAAAATTACAACAATTAAGAGAAGAAAAACAAACTTTAGAACAATCATTAGAACAAGAACAAGCATCACAAATTAATAAATTATTAAAAAGAATTAAACGTTTAGAAGCTGAAACGATTAATAAACAAACTACTCTAGTATTCATTCACTTTTTCTTTAGTTTTTAATTCTAATTTATTTTATTTAGGAACAATTAAAAAGAGAAAAAATTGAATTAGAAAATACTTTAGAAAAAGAACAAGAATCATTAGTTAATCGATTATGGAAAAGAATGGAAAAATTAGAAACAGATAAAAGATTACTTCAACAAAAACTTGAACAACCTGATCAAACAATTAATTCAACAAATACTGTAAGAATTTTATTCAATATTTAATTATGAAACAATCAGAAAAAAAATCGATGTGGGAATTAATATCAAACGTTTTAGAATGTTTAAAATATTTTTTATCTCACACATATTTTCATGCGTGAAAACGATAAACATTCTAAGCCTCTTTTTTAAGAAGATATATTGAGAAAAACTTATCCAAAAGTTATCAAAGTTTCTTTTCTTGATTAACTTTTTTAAAGCTAATAATTAATTTGTAGGATTGTCATCCATCATCATCAGTTGATTCAACAATTGTAAATACAAATCCAGTATCAATAATATCAACCGATGATATGTCATCTCGTTCAAATTCAGTTATATCAGCAAATATAACAAATCGTCTTTCATTACCAAATGTTGATCATATTCAACAATTAAAACGTGAAGTTGATAAACTTAAAAGAGAATTAAGTCATACACAAGAATCACATCGACAAAAAATGGAACAATTCGTACGAGAAGAACAAGATATTAGAAATGAAAATTTACGTTTACAACGAAAATTACAACTTGAAGTTTGTTTATTATTTTTTTCTAATAAAAAAAAACAATTGTTTTAAATAAAAGGTTGATCGTCGTGAACAACTCTGTCGACAATTAAGTGAAAGTGAATCATCACTTGAAATGGATGAAGAACGTGCATTAAATGAACGAATGAAAGCTTTTCCTAAACAACAAAGAACTAGTTCATCATCTCAACAACATTTACAACGTTCAAGAACAGTTTCAAGTCCATCATCAAATCAGAATTTAAATCTTGAACAAAACTCATCAACAACAAATGATTTTCAAAGACCACGACCTCCATCAACTAGTTTAGATAATCCTAATCAAATGGAATAGATTCATCTATTCAATTTCAAAGACGAGCCTTCTTTCTTCTTTCTTCTCTTTTTTATTGTATATATTTCTTAACATAACTATTTCTTTTGCTCTTACGGTGATACTAATGATAAAAAAAAACAAGAGAAACCAAGCAAAAGTAAATTATTTATTTCTATTTAATCGATTTTTACATAGATTCTCACGTTTGAAAAAAAAAATAATAATTCGTTATTTATTATCAGGGACCTTTGGTTTTCTTCTTAAAGAAATAATTCTTAAAATGAAATACTTACCTTTAATAGATCTAAAACATCTCCTTTTTTGTTTTGAGTGAATTATTGTTTTTCAAATAATTTTATTAAATATTCATCATGTATCAATTACATTCTTTAATTTAATATATTTTCATCATTCCAATTAATATTAATTCAATAATAATAATAATAAATAAATTGGCAATAGAATTTATATATTATCTATCAACATTTTTATTAGAACAAGAATTTAATATGAATACTAACAATTATTTCTAGTCAATATTATTAACTCAACTTAATTATAGATATGTTTAATAATCATCTTTCTTTTTTGGTACATCGATATTTGTTATTATTAAAAAGTCATTTTTTATTTATAGGATATATAATTATTAAATATATGTTCTTTTTTGTCTTATGAGAAAATAAGGGTGCGGCTAAAGACAAGATAAACCTATAGTCACACACTCATTTAGTAGAGAGCATCTCAAAACATCTTGTGTAAAACAATCAAGTCTAAACAAAGGAATACTCATTAGATTTTCTTTAAATCGTTTTTTTTCAAAATGTTTCCAGAATACTATAAATCGTTTTGACGCGGCTTCATAACATATTTGTAGTTCTTCTAAATATTCGTAGAAAACTGTAAAACTTATTAGAACATGAAATTGAAGTCTATGCAATATATCTGCTGTTTTAATCTAAAAATCTAAAACTTTCATTCTATTTTCAACGTTATTATTAGTTTTATATTGGAAAAAGCATTTCATTGATATTTTGTCATATGATTCAAATATTTTAATTTCCTCATCATAATCATATATGAGTTGAGTGGGAAAAGAAGAAAAAATAAAATATACTTAAAATCAAAAATCAGTAGAATTTTTCATGATAAAGATAAACACGATTTTTACAAATGGTTTTAGTATTCCTAGTGGATCCAATATTTTTCCAATAACTTCTTTTTTTTCTCTTATAATATAACTTTGTACCAATGCTTCATCCTATCAACATCATCATTTCACACCTAAAAGTTGAAAAAAAAATGTATATATTACAAAGAGACTGAATATACACATTGTACAGATGGTAATGTTACGGTATGTGAGTAGTGACACATTCATCATCTACACTCGTATGTAAAATTATAATTGCGCGATCAAAAGTCTATATAAGTTTCGTTACATTCATTCAAAGTCGGATGTAAGTATACGTCTCTCCTCTCGAAGGAATTAATAAGTATTGATATTAATGATAAAAATGATTCATAGTTTTAGCCAGATAATAATGAATAAAAGTAATCATTATAAGACATATGTCTTCCTTATCCTTGAATCAGATGACAGTGATATTATTTATTATTAATGTATATTTTTGAGTAGTTCTAATCTCTTCTTGTTGTATACGTACTTTGAAATGACATGCTTGATTTGTCCTTCTGATTCACATTTTTCTCATATATATTCTTAATGTGGGTGTCTCTCTTCTATATGACGTAAGTTAACTCATGCTTTCTTTTGAATTTGTCCTTCGACCTTATATTTTTCTGTTATTTTGTTTACTATCATTCTTCATATTATATAACCAACGAGGAATAACACACTGAAGGTACAGTCATTAATATTCCAAGTACATCTATCTACATACGAAATCTTTAGTCTCATCTATTAGATAAGAAATCATGATAATATTCTTTGTTTTATTTGATTGTTTAAAAGTTAAATTACTCAATATTTAATTTTATTTTCTAAAAAATTTTCCCAATTACTTTGTATCTGATCTATTCATTTGATAGTTATGAATCAATATATTTAAAAAACAAGAAAGACTATTTTAATAACGAATAATTTAATAAATTTTCTAAAAATATTTATTATATAACATAGAAATGCATAAGATTTACTCAAGCGAAAAACAGGAAGTAGACAAAAAAAAATTTCTCCTCGATAACTATCACTGTAAACATGCTTATATTTTTATCAATTTCCTTCTATAAATATAGGAGGAAAAAAGAAATACATTATAATATCATTTACCTTTATCAATAATGTGGTGTATATTCTAATTTGATTCAATTTTTCTTGGTGAGTAAGAAAAAAAAATCAATCTAGTTGTTATTTAATATACTATGTACATTAGTCATCGTTAGTGACATATGTCCTTTCACTAGTTTTCAATTATTTATTAGACAAAATAAGAAATGGGTGGAAAAACATCGAAATATCAAAATGAATATATATCTACACAACAAAGAAATCCTTATGAAAATGTTACTCGTGCTTATGCCAAATGGGATCGTTATTCTGGTCTTATGAGTGATGATACATCTTGTTTTGCTACACATGAAATTGAAAATTTTAAAAAACATCAAAAAATCTCACAAAATTCTTCTGATCAACAACGAAAAGTGAATTCATCAAATGAAAAATCAATAATAAAAAAAACTGGTCAATATGATAAAAATCTTTCCAAACAAAGTCAATCGATTGAACAAATAATATTTTCAAAAAATAGAATTACAGCTCAACAATTAATCAAAGATCAATCACAACGTCGACAAAAATATAAATCAACAACTTTATTATCATCAAATGATTTATTACAGAATTCAACGGAGAAAAAAGCTTCATCAACAACTAATATTAATCAAACAAAACAAATACCAAATGATTTTCAACTTCTCTTAATTCATTCATTAGATTTACAAGTAATTTTCACATATCTTTTTCTTTTAAAATAGAAATTAATCTTTAAAGAACTGTTTAAATAGAAATTTATTTTTACTAGATAATTATCGAATGTTCTAGAACGTTTACACACATATCATTTTCTAAAATATTTCATCATGAAACAGCGAGAAAAATATTAGATTATCATCAATGGCGGATCTAGGATTTTGGAAGAGGGGGGGGGCGATTTTTTTTGAGCATGGAGGGCGATACCTGGGGAGGAGGGCGATTTTGGTTAAAAGCTATTTTTTGAATCCAACCGAAGTAGTGTGAACCTATTTTTTCGTTCATTTTTGCTGCAAAAAATCAAAAAAAATTCGGAAGGGGGGCGGGCGATCGCCCCCATCGCGCCCCCCCCCCTAAATCCGCCACTGATTATCATTCATAGTTGATGAATATTAAAATAAATGTAAATTCTTATTTTATTTTTATTTTTAATAAACTAGAATGCTCATGAAATTGGTAAAGGTAATTTTGGTACTGTATATCGTGCATTATACAAAGGTACTCGTGATGTTGCATTAAAAACATTAAAATCAGTTCGACACAATTTGAAATCATCAATAGAAGATTATGATGATAATATGTATGAATTACTTTATGAAGCTCATATAATGACACAATTACAACATCCGAATCTTTTACGTATTATTGGTGTAACATTTTTTGGAAAAGATAAACAATTAAGTTTAGTTACAGATTTTATGAAAAATGGTTCTTTATTAGATTATCTTCGAAAACATCGAGAAATATTTCTTAAATCAAAATCAAAAGATATAACATTGAAATTAAATAGTTTTTCGAAACAAATTTTTCAAGCAATGTTATATTTAGAAAAACGAAGAATTATTCATCGAGATTTAGCAGCAAGAAATTGTTTAATTGGAGATGAAGATACACTTAAAGTTGGAGATTTTGGTTTAACAAAGTATAAAAGTTCTTTTAGTTTTTTTTATTAATTCTATTATTTTAGATTAACTGAAGGTGGTTTATATAAAGGTAATAATCAAACAATATGTGCTATACGTTGGTCATCACCTGAAGCTATATTTTATTCGAAATATACATCTCGATCAGATGTTTGGAGTTATGTAAGGAGAATATATTTGAATTTTTCTAATTTTTATTATTTTTTTAAATAGGGTATCACTCTTTGGGAAATTTATTCATTGGGTGAACGACCATATGGAAGTTTAGATAATAAAACTGTTAAAAATCTTTTAAAAAATCCATTAGAAAATTTTACTCGTTTTCTTCCACAGTCACGTGAATTTGGTTCAGATGAAGTTTATACTCATCTTATGTTACCTTGTTTAACATATAATGTTGCATTAAGACCACGTTTTAAAGATTTAGTTCAACGAATTTTAACAATTTTTAATAATAATATTCGATAAATGTTTAAGGGAAGAATTGTTATTTTATTTTTGTAAAAAATATCAATCTATAATTCAAATTTGTATATTTTATAATAAAAAAGAAATCATTGTTAGGCATTCTTGTTTATTTTTTTTTGTTTACAATAGAATTCGTCAAACTGATAAACTGCATACAGGAAGAGTTCCCATTAACTGAAACGTAGAGCCCTGCGGTTCCAAAAATAATGGAAACAAAAGTCGAATCGAAACCGTTGGAGGTGAAATTTGTCTCATAGATGGAATGCAATACAACAGAAAATTCCGAGAATCATCCCACCCTATGTAATCAAAATCTTACGAAAATATACTATCTCATTCGAGTGAAACCATTTATTCTTCGAGAAGTTATCAAGAATTACACCAGTTAATAATAAGATTAAAGAATATATTATTGTGAGTAGATTCTTTAAAAAACATAATAGAAATAAATGATTTCTAACTGAAATTTTGTGAAAAGATTTTAATTAATTTTCATATGAAATTGTTTAGGAAATAACTAGATATAGTTATTATTATTATTATTTTTTGTTTTGTATAAAAATAGATTCTATGTAATTGTTTATCAGTTTGATTATTGAGAACAATAAATCTGGATGAATAATATCCGAAGATAATATGTCTGGGAAAGAAAAAGATTGTTTTAAGAAACAGAAATGACACATATCAACATTATAGATATGATCTTTTAACATATAACCTTATTTTCTATGTTGATACATAATTTCATCTAAGATAAATCAGTGACAATTGTTGACTCAAATGAGACGAAGCAAAGGTCAAAGTTAATGACATTTTTATTAGAAAAAAAATGTCATTATTAATACTTTATAATAAGAAAATGTTTACTTTTTAAAGAAAAAGATTATTAAATAATATAATATTTGATCGGATTTGATATTCTTTATTTATTATAATACCAATATCGACGAAAAAGATTATTTTCTATAAAAATGTACTGAATAATTGGACTATCAAAGTCTTTTTTTTTCTATTTATAGCTCAAATCAACAACAATGTATTTTTCCTTTCTGGGAAGAAAAAAAAAGAAAGATTATATGTATATTTTTATATATAGCATTGGTATAATTATTCATAAATATATATCTTATGGAATGATTAATATTAGCTAAATCTTGATAACTGTTTTTCTTTCGCTACTTTATCTACAAAAACAGTCTTTATAGCAGCTGTTTTTTTCTTTTTTACATCATTCTATATTATCGATAGATAAAAGCATCTTATACAACAACTTCTTCGTCTCGTCGAATCTACAAAAATGTCGTATTTTGTTTTATTTTTTTTAATTATAAGTGGATATGTATTTGCAGCACCAATTTTTCAAAAAGAATCTCTTAAATTTAGTACTCTTGAATGTATATCTGGTAACAATGAAACATCATCAAAATATATTGTTCAAGTCTTTGAGGTAAATGAAACATGTATTCGAGTAAATTCATCATCATCAACAGGAAATGAAGTTTATTTATATATTATTCCCGAATACGAAACTAATTATACAATTGAAATTAAAGTTGATAATTGCTCTACACCATTACCAAATCTTCATCTTAGTGTATGTAATGAACCAAATAATTTTAATCAAACAGGAGTAATGGTTACTTTTGAATATGCAAATGTAACTTTATCTGAAGTTGTCATTGAAGAACATGATGCAGCAACAACAACTGAATCAATGTTTTATACAGGTCCAACTGTTTATGAAACATTACATCGTCTTGATTTTGAAGACGAAGAAGATGAACATCTTTTAGCTACTACTAATGCAACAACAATTGATTTGGAAAATACAAACAACAACAACAACAATGTCACTAATGAAATATTAATATAGAAAATATCAATTAGATTATAAATCATTTATTTTATATTAAATATTCTTTTAACTCTACCTTTAATGTATTAGATAATATGTTTGTAATTAAATTGCATTCATATTAACCTCCTTTATAAGTCCTTTTTTCGAATGCTATCTGGTGTTTTTAAAGTGAACAAACTAACGTTTCAATTTTATTTCAAATAATTAAATTATTCTTATCTTATTACATATATTAATTTAAGGAATTTTTTTATATTTATTTCCCTTTTCTTCTCAGTTTTTATGCTGTTTACATAATTATATTTGATTTATAAAAATAATTCAATTTTACTTAATTATACAAATTCAAACTGTTTAAAATAAATATTTTATTACCTTTCGTTTTAACTAATTATCAATATTTTCTCATAGGTCTATCTATCACACGTGTCAGATACAAAAACTTATAATATAAAATATTCATTTTTTATCATATTGTTAATTGTCCCAAACACGTTCAGTTAATAACGATATACATGAACTTTCTTTTAACAAAAGTTAACAAACGTTTATATTTAAATAGAAATCAAAAACTTTGCTCATGAAATGTTCGGTTTCTAACACTGTTTTGAAAAAATTTCTTCATAATATCCAGTCGAATGCTTCCTCTGTCGATTGATAAAATTCGTTTCTCAAAATCTTATGAGAGACGCTATCCGCAGTATATTCTTTAAAGCTTAGCTTCTCAAGCTCTATTAGTCTATAGTATCAATATCTTGTTCCGAACACATAGAAAAAAACCTGTCTCATCAAATTGATAGCATATCATCTGGGGAGCAGCTATTTATTTATTTCTTATCATATTTCTTAAGAAAAGAGAAATCCTAAGAGGGTTAGAATACGAGTAAATACGTGTTACAACATTCATAATAGAATAACTTATCAAAGAACACTTTTCACATCGATAAAATGAAGAAGTAGGTGAATGGTATGTGTTCATGCATAAAAGGCAACTAACATATGTGAGAAGATGTATACATGTATAAGTTTCCAAAATATACATATGAAACCGTTACATTTATAACAATTTTGATAGTTGATACAGTATAGATTTGATTGATATTGCTAAGATTGTAGATTGTGTATAGAATTCATATTAAAACTGTTTTTGCTGGTGCGTAATGTGATGGTACTATTATTGTAATCGATGAATTTAAAGCATTTTGTGATTGGTTGAACGCAGATGATGCATTATTCGATATTATTTCGTCACTATTCACGATCACTATGTTATTGTCGAATAAATCATCCATGATTAATAAAATAGGGTTTTTTTCGTTGTTCACATTTATTTTTAAGAAAATGAATTGTTTATCTATCATAACTTGAAACATCATTATCCTTCAGACCGTTTTGATAGTATATATTGATATTTTTCCTTTGTCTTATTTTGCTTAATTGGTTGTTCGTTTTTTTCGGCCATTTTCTTTATTATGGATTCTGCTATATATATCAATATTCGTGATACTTTCTCCAAAAAGCTTATCAATTTATTTTCACCTTTTCTCAGGTGCTATAATTGTGGGTTTCGTATAACCATTAATTATCATATTAATAGCATTAAATGGTGAACAATTTTGTGTTGCAATGTTTGTATTCAAACTTGATGAAAAGGGTGAATTGATTCACATTGATTATTTATAACTGTATTATTTTCTACAGAACAACATAAATCACCTCCGAGAATGGATTCAATTCAAGGAGGGAAATGTATTTTGTAGTCAAATTCATATTCGATTGAGTAATATATAATGTTGCAGTAATTTGTAAATGTGCTGATTCTACAATGAAGTAATAGCATCTTTGAAATATATTTTGTATAAAATATTTTGCTAATCGAATTTTTATATTATATTGAAATTACTGTAACAACAGAAAATTTGGTTCAATTTATCATTATATTAACATCAGCAAATGACATCATTTATATATTCATATATTATTTTTTAGAGAAAACAAATTCACACTTAAACATTTCAACATCAGGTCGACTGAATTATATTAAAATCAAGTCTATGTATGTATTCTCTCTATAATATAAATATATATAACATGTGTGACGATGACGTTCGAGTAAAGAACGCCAAAATATTACAAAAGGAAAATAAGAAAAATATATATAACATCATTCACACATAGTTGCATTCACATATATTCATATTTTATTAAAACAATGAACCTAAAATTTCATACTAAATGTTGATGTCAATATTACAAATAGATATAGTTGACAGTTTTATTTATTTTCTTTAACTTCATTCTAATCTTGAATAAACTGTTATAAATTTTTTTTACTATACTTGAAAATTAGTTCAATCAAATTTTAAAAATTATTTTTGCTACTTATGTACTTCTATCTATATCTTAGATCAGTTCTTACTTTAAGTCTAAATGTTTTTAGAAAACTTCTCATTTTTCAGGGAAAATTTGTAGATGAAAAGCATTAAAGAAAGTTTAATAAATTCTTAAAATAATACTTTTATTGTTATACTGTTTATTTTGATTCGAAGCTTAAATATAGAATGTCAAGTCTTATATAAAAGATATTCGATGAAACAAATTAAATATGATCTAAAAAATATTGTTCAGCTCTGGATATATACAAGTAATGATAATTATGTAGGAGAAATCAAAATTTTATTGGAAATCAAAATTATATGTTAAAAAAAACATATGCCAGAATAAAAATATTGTTCTTCATTAAAGTATTTTATTTGATGAGTAATTTAGTTGCTCATTGTGGGATTTCCACAAATGAGAGTAATTGCACTGACATCTTTGCCATTTACTGTTGTACCTGCAGCAACAACTGAAGCTGTTGGAGGAATGCCAGCGACTTCGATGTTACTAGTCAATGCATTGACTTCATCCGATGTAAGAAAGCAGTAACATTTTTTAAATTTACAAATACCATGACAAAGACCAGTTGTATTAATCGAATTGCATTGTAACGTGTTGTTGAATGGATATGGTAAGTTTTCGGTATTTAATACTGGTTGTTTCTGGCAAAATGCTTCACATGCATTGTCCACTAGACAGGTACCGTCGGTACTTTGTTCTATTATAAAATCAATTTAAAAAAATTAAATATTCATTATCAAGACATTACCTCCGCAATATTCCTTCGAATTTCCCATGGAAGTAGGAGTTGAATTTACAAATAATATCATAATACATGATATCAATAACATAAATTGCACATTAATACAAACCATTGTAGGCGATATCAGTATAAAAATTATATTCAAAGATAAATGTTATCAAGTTAATTATTGATCAACAGAAACTATTGCCTTTTTATATAATCATGTTTTCGTACTTACTTTCAACCTCATTACCCTCAAATACGTCACGTGTCTATTTTGATCTCTGATTTTTGAGTAGAAATATTTATTTCTATTTATATGACGAGAGATATTTAATATGCACTTATTTTGTTGCTTACATCATTCTTATTGTCTAAAGCCTATCTTTGGATATTTTCAAATTGTATCGATATGCAGATAAATAAAAAGAATGAATAAAATATACTGCAGTCAATCTACATGTCAGATATATACAAAATAAAATATGAGAAAAGAAAAAATAAGCAGAGTCTGTTTTACCTTGATAATATTTGTATATTGAATAGAAATAAAACAAAAGCGAATGAATAATAAAAGTCACTAATGATATATCAATACATTCATTATTATGTTTATATTGTTATAAAACAAGTATTTGCATCTCAATAACAGAAAACATACTTCGTATTTAATATAAAGCAAAAAACTAAATTTTCTGGTTTAAAATTTTGATTATGATCTAATATATTTAACATGAATTTAAAGAGATAAGGAAAATCATCTTTATCATAGAAAAGAGTTAATTATCAATGTATTATTCATCATGAATATCATTTGAACAATTCAGCTTAGCTTTGTTTGTATTCAGATGGTTTTTTTGACATAGAACTATGAATAAGAATATATTATAAACAATAATCAGATGACTTGTTGTCAAATCGAAAAAGGAAATATCTTTAATTCAATTGATTTAAATTGAAGATCAGAAATCATTTTTTTGATTTTATACTTTTAACAAATAGAGAAATGTCATAGAAAATTTGATGTGTCTTGTAATATATATTTATAAATGAATAAATACTTGTTAATAATTAGCATTTCATACCGTATTTATTCTTTCAAATGATAAAAAAAAGTTTAAGATTATTGAGACTTAACGAGAAAATTATTATTTTTAGGAGACGATCTTCCTAATGATTCATGTATTTGGCAGTTTTATATTTTTTTTATTTCGTAATATGTGATTCTTAATAAAAATATCGGTGTAGATGTTATTATTATAGCGAAAATAAAAATCATACAATATTCAACAGCTTATTTTTTCATATTCAATAATAGTTTTTCTCGTTTTAAATAAAACTTATTATATTGTAATTTATAGTATGATTAAATATCACTGTTTGTTTGCAAATGAATTTATATTTATATGAGGCTATTTGCGTATAACGAGATTTTATTCTACCGGAGAAAACCTAAAAGAAATTGCATTAAAACATGATGTGAGTATAGGATAAATAATAATACATACACTCACTCTTACCACACTCAAAATTTTTTCATCAGAATTATTTTAACTTGTTCAATGAAGTAAAGATACATATATGGGTTATGCATTTATTCAAGAAATAATTTCTGAGTGAAGTATCTCCAATAGGATCTTTTCGTATCTATGAGTAATTTGACGTTATCCTTTAACTGGAAAACGAACTTAAGTCTTTAGTTTCTGATGTTTTCTAAGAGTTGGATACCATTGAATTCTTATCTTTATTGAGATCGATCTCAGCATTGGAATGAACAGTTAATAGTTCATTTCAACTAAATAATTTATTTCTTTGTGACACGTTAAAATAAAAGCTAATAAATTTCGTATTAATCTGAAGGTATTATCCCGTTTATCGATAAAAGTCTGGCAGAATCCCAATGTGATTTTTACTTTGATTTAATATCATTCTCTTCTTCATTAAAATAACACATGAAATCTTATATTGCATTGAAAAAAAACAAATTAATTATAATTTATTAAAACTAAATCTTTTATTCTATAGAATACTATTATTCATAATATATTAAAATATTCTCTCATAAACTAACAAGAAAGTTCATTTGATCATCTTTTATATTTTCGTTGTTATGAATTTAGGAATAGATGTTTAATTAGAATTGATACTCATTAGTATTTATTAGAATGACAACTATTTTATTTACTTTTCATAGAAAAAATTCATTTGTGATAGATTTTCATTTAATATAAAATTTAAGTAAATTATAGTCTTCTGAAAGAATATTATTGAATTTGAAAGATATTAGGTATATTAATGTAGATTTAAAATAAATGTCAATAGATTCTAAGAATTCTTTGTATATATTGATAATAATCATGAAATATTTCTTTGAACTATATTATAAGATATAATGATAAACACGTACGAAATAAAGAAATTATTATTGAAATCCAACAAAAAAAAGTTATGCATATATATCTGACCTATGAATGTAAATCTCATTGATTAGTTTATGTTAATGTTTGATTAGATGACGATATGCGAAGCAAAATATGTGTGAATAATAGAGAGAGAGAAATGTCCATGTTAAATCTGTTTTTAATCGATAGTGGGTGCCAGACTTACATCGGTGTTGTTCAATCTATTTAAATTGTCATTTAGTTGTCAACTATTCTTTGTATATTTCAAATGACATAGATCGAATAAACATGAATCGGATCATTAATCTCATTCAATCCACATCTTTCAATATACTTTCTTATTTTTGTTTTGTTAAACAATAATATTAGATAATTTTATTGAAATCAAAATAGCTAAAAGGCATTGAAAATGATGATTTTTAACTTTAGATATGAAATGATGAATAATTCAAAAAAGGAAAACATATTCTTTTAATTAAAATTAGTGAACGTGCCTTATCATATTTCTCATTGAACATGATCATCATTAATCGATACTTTTTTCTTCTTCACAGAAAATTTATCGAGCGAAAAACTAAAGAATTTTCTATGATAAATAGATAGAGAGAGAGATTTTTCAAGAAAATAGATCAGAACAACATTTTATATTTTCAAAAAGAATACCGACAAAACACATTCAGGATAAAAAAAGATCAATAACTTTTCATCGTCAGTTTATTATTCATTTCAACTATAACACACATTCCTTTTTTTTCTATCAGTATATATTAAGAGCATTAATCATTCGATCGAAAAAAACAACCTTTTCAACACATTTATATTAAATATAATACACAATTTCTATCGTTTCTTTACAAGTTAATAGATAATTTCATATTAAAACTATCAAATGAAGATTCTCATATTTTACGATTTAATATTTAATGATAAAGAGAACAGAATTATATAAACAATTTCACGCTCGTTCTAGGTAATATTCAATCATTTTGTGATTGTCTCTGCTGAATAAATTTTTCTCGTAAGAAGAGATCATTTTTTGTAAATTCATCATTAAAAATAACTAAAACAAACGTTCGAATTTAATTATAACTTCCAAAATGTATGACACAGACAAAAAAAAAGGTCAATGTAGAAATTACTTTTCTTCTTTTTACACTATATTATTTAATGAATTAAAAACTAAGAGTGAAAAGAAAATCTATTTTTAAAGAAAAACAATGCAACATTTGGTTCGTTTATGCGTTGTAAATGTAAATGATTGATTTATTTGTTAGATGTAATGTTTGTTCGTTCGTTCTTTCTCTCTCTCTCGGTTGAATGTAGATATATCAACTTGACTTGACTCGACAACGTATGTGTTTTTTTTTCTTTTCTTTTTTCCACCAATGAAAAATGTGAACGGAGAAGAATATGATTATTGAATGTTGATTGGTTACAGCCGTTGTGTCTCTTCTGAGAGAGAAAAATTGGTTTTTTTTTTTTTTGTTGTTCTTGTCTCACATATTTCTTTTATGGTATCCATTAATCGATTTAATGGGTCGTTTTGTGTGACAAGGTTTGCTTGCATTGCTTTCTCTCATCATTTGATCAGTCTATCTCGAAGAGTCTCTCTACAATCATTAATAATATCTATCGTAGAGGATCATTTACCGTTACACTTAGCTTAATAATCAGCCAGTTCACTACAAGCTGAGACTATCATTAACGAGAAAAAAAAAACGAACAAGAAGAAGAAGAAAAAAAAGAAAAAGAGAAGAAAATAAATGAGTTCTCTATCGCCCTATCCTGCTCTTCATACAATGAACAATCATCATCATCATCATCATCATAATCATCATAATCATAATTATGGAAGTGATGGGACAAATACAAATTATTCTAGTATACATCAATTATCTGAAAACAGTGTTAATGTCCCAACTGAATCATCTTCGACTTCATCATCATGTCTTATTCAATCACCAATTGTTGATTATTATGGTCAACATTCATATCATCCAGCAACACATCGTACACTTCCACTCTATCCTCATCAAACTCATCATCTTTATCAAGATAATCCCAATAATTTATATCGATACAATGCTCTTCCAACTTCATCATCATCATCATCAAATATTACACAAAAGTAAGTTTCATTTTATTGATTATTTGATTAAAAAAAACCCTATTGTTCAATTAAATTCTTAGTTCTTGTATTTATCCATGTCATAATGGTACAAATGGAAATTATAATCAAGAAGGTAATATCTCAACACCTTCAAATGGTCTTTCTCAATCTGATATGATAAATTCACTTCATCCAATGGGTATTGATCTCTATGGTTTATCAATGAGTCCACCAGCTCCTCCACCACCCCCTCCATCATCATCTCCTCCATCTTCAACTGATCATTGTTCAACAAATCGAAATTCTTCTGATTTAATTCCATTATCAACATCAATTGATTCAATATCATCATCATCGAAACAAAATTCACCTGTTATATATCCATGGATGCGTAAAGTGCATATTAACAATCCAGGTAAGAATATAAAAATAATAATTTAGAAATTTCCTGTCAAAAAAAATATTTGATTTCTTTCTTTCTTTCTTTTATTTTTATTTTTTGATGAGGAAAGACTAAAGTATTGATGATGACAGACAACATACAGAAGATTAATGATCGAATATAAAACACGTGCAGTCATCATACCGTATCAATAAATTAAATTGAATGAAAGAAAAAGAGAAATCGAATAAACTTAAGTAAATAATATCGAAAATATTTTGTTTCTATCTCAGTTGAATATCATATGTTTTTATCAAGAGTAACACATTGAAATGAATGTATTTTTAACGACTATTGTAAATATCATTGATTTTGAAAATGTCAAACATACTTTTTTTTGTCTCAGTTTGATTTTGTATAAAAGTGTTATATTATCTTTTTAAATCAAAATTTAACCTTTCTTTTTCGAACAACAGACTTCATTTATCATAATACTTTAGAGAAATGAACGTCAAAAAACACGTTCGTCTTATCATTCGATGAGTACGTGACCTAAATTTAGTAAAAATAACAGAAAAAGATAAATGTTATTTGACTAATGACAAATATATATATGTGTATATATCGATGTCTGTTTTTCTCAGACATTTTTACTGAATAATGGATAAAAATCATTATCAACATTTTCATTTTAGTTATTAATTATACAAGTGGAGAAACAAAACGTGCTCGAACTGCTTATACTCGTCATCAAGTTTTAGGTAAAAAAAACTAAAATTAAGAAGAAAAAATAAATTTTTTTTATTTAGAATTAGAAAAAGAATTTCATTTCTCCAAATATTTAACTCGACGACGAAGAATTGAAATAGCTCATTCACTTGTTTTAACTGAGAGGTAAACAAATTCTTTTTTTCTTTTTCTATTAAATTTCTTTTTCTTATTAGACAAATTAAAATTTGGTTTCAAAATCGGTTAGTTTTTATTTGATTATAAAAACTTAATTTGTTTTTTATTTAAATAGAAGAATGAAATGGAAAAAAGATCATAAATTACCAAATACAAAATCTAAATTACCTGATCAATTGCCTGCCGCATCAACATCATCGGATTCGTCATCACCTCATCTTATTAAAAAAGAACAACAAGAAATAATTTCAACATTTATAAAAGAAGAATCATTTTCAGGAGAATCTACAAATTAATCTTTCATTTGACACGTCAACAATTTATTATTTTTTATAAAATATATCTTGTATTTACATTTCTTCTTCTTCTTTTTTCCAAGGATTTCAATGTTCGTGTGAATGACTTTCGTTTTTTTCCTTGTTGTTGTTGTTGTTGTTGTTTTGTATATGTCATAAGAGCCAAAATAAAGAATCTCAAAATATTTCTATTCTAGTTTTACTTCATATGAAAAGAGAAAGGATGAATCCTGAAATAGGAACAAATAGATTAGCTGAAAATAAATTTTCATGTTCTTTTATATTACTGGTGAATGTCATGTAGAAATAAGTTATGTTTATCTATCATGAGTTCGTGAATGTCTTCTTAATCATTACTATCTTTTGACATGACAAAAATCATTTTTTTCCCTTCTCTTATATGATTTATCTTTATTATGTAAGAAAATCTTTATTTTATGAAATAAATATTAATTAATACATTTATATTCTATTTGTCATAGATTTTCTATCGATATAATATTAATTGAAGATAGAAAGTTTTGATAACATTCTACTAGAAAACCTTTTTTCTTGTTTAGTTAATCTAAATTTGAATATTTGTGAATCTATTGAAAAGAAGAAGAAGAAGCAGAACTGTAAAGAATTAAAATTGTTATTCTTTCTTTTGTTAAGTTGTTAAACGATTTTTTGAATTAAAAAGAAGACAAATGACAAATTGATTTCGTTGATGTTGTTTTTTTTTTGTATGTTGTCGTCGTCAGATGGTTATCATGTTATTTGAATGAAACATGCGGTATGACATTTTCATTTGAGTTGTTTTTTTTTCTTCTTCTCTCGTCCAACCGCAACGTTTGATCATTGATAGAAACGAAAAAGTATCATTAATAATCTTTTTTTTTCTCTCTCTCTCTCCCTCTCTGTCGCTTTTTCTCTTTCTCTTCCTTATATTCTTAACGAACAGACAAGAAGAAAAATCTTTCTCTGTTGGTTAAAAGATCGATAGTAACAACGAATGTCTATATCGGCAAAAGCTCATTTGTCTTCTTTGCCCGAACAGAGTGTATAATGAGTTTTTCTTTTCCTCCACTGACATAGTCGCTCGAGACATACTCTCCTCTTCTTTCGACTCATTTATCTAAATATTCAATGTCGATGTAACGACTAACCAATCTAGAGAATACAATCATCAATGATAAAGACAAACTAAACTTATACATGATCAGCCAACTCAGACAACATGTTTCTTTTTCTCTAACACGCACATTAATCAATGAATATATCAATATATGTATATTGTATATACATGACATTCAAAAAACGTTTCTTTTTTTTTTTAAATATACAGATCAATCAACAAATATTTGAAAGATAATAAAAAAAAGAAAAAAATTTATTATTTTAGTTTTGGATCTTCAAAGAATAAATAATAATCCAATTTATTTCATCAACAGCCAACTATTCTATGTATGTTTACATGACAATCTAAATATCTTATTATAGATTGTCATTATATGAAATTTGTTTTTTTAATAAAGAAATTTTGCAATGAGAATGTATGAACAACTACTAGTAGTATCAGTGAAAATTAAAGATCTTTACAAAAATGGATTTGTTGTAGCGATAAAGATGCTTATAATTCCTTCAGATTACATACTATAAAAAGATAGTGCAAGATAATCCATGACATAGGTTCTATTCACTTGTCAAGATTGCCAGGTGATCTATATTTTACTCGAATGAATAAAATGATTCAAAAAGTAAAATACGGTAAACTCTAAATAAAATCGGTTTGATATCCAATATCTTTTAAGTTTCAGAGCAACTTCGCAATTTCAAGTAGTTCTTTCAATGAATATAAACTCTAAATCTGTCACTGCTCAAATTTTGGCCGAAGAATACGACATATTCAAATAAAGGACACACATCAAATACTGAAAGAAGATGCGAAACTTTATGTTCGTAAGATGATAGTCGAATCAGGACATAAAAACAAACGAAAAAAAGTCGCATACTAAGTCTTGAAAAGAAAGATACGATACGGATTTTATTTTTAGATGAAAAATATTCGATATTGATGACTTATACAATTTGTAAGGTCAATGTTTTTGGAAGATTACCAGTTGTGCTGAAAAAAATAAAAGAGATAGTATTCAAACGAAAAAAACTAAATCATGCTGTAGATATTCAAAGTATTCTAACAGTAACACTAAAATATATAATTAAGCTTTGTGGACTTAAATCGGTTCGACTATTATATTTACGATAAATTTACAAAATTTATCAACTAGAAGGAAGTAATAGTGAGTGACACACTTATCAAACAATTGATAGATGTTAGTTAAATAAATAAAAATTAATAAAGATATTAGTAAAATATTGAAAAGTTTATTCTTCCAAGAAAACCTTCTATACGTATATATTTCACATGATAGGCGAAATTATTATTCTAGAAAAAAGATTTCATGTTATTGATTGATTTTTAATGCAAATAAATTTGTTTTATTAAATTTTATTTGATTATGTTGATTTAAATTTTTTTAAAGTTTTTGATTTAACTTTTGATTCATCTTCATTTGTTGTTGTTATTGTTGTTTGTTCAACTCGAGATGAATTTAATTTAGTAGCAGGACAAGTAATTATTTTAACTTTATTCTCGTGACCATTTAATGTCATTTTCCATGATAAATTTGTATTTGATGTTAATGTTAATGAATCAAATAGTAATGTCCATACTTGATCACATGCTCTATAAGATAGAAGATGACCTGTAAATATAAGACATGATTCTTTTTTTCCTTTCACCGATTGATAAGTTAATTTTTCATTAATAATATGATCGAAAACATCAAGAATATAGTGAACAATACGAGGAGTAAATATTTGTTTACGAACCAGTTCACGAAGAGTATCATCAAGAGCCAAACCAATAGTTGTTGAACGATATATTTGATAGGCTGACGACATAGCTAAGTCTTTTTTTTTGAACTATGAACTTGTTTAATTAGATATGCGCCATTAAAGAATACGATATACTATTCAATATTTATTTTCTATACATTTTTCACTATATATATCCTATCTAAAATATGTGGATGAGATTCTCGTTTTTCTATTATCTTCGTATATGATCTTGTAATTTGTATGTATAATTTAATATTCGAGGGAATGAATTTATGATATGTAAGAAATCATCAAACACTCGTCGATCTATAGATTTATTAGAAGAGAGAAAAATATAAAAAAGAGTTCTTTTTTATAGTAACACTTCCTAAACATATGAAAAATATTTTGTACAGCGAAACTTTGATTAAAGTTTGTTGATTGGTGACATCTTCCGAAAGGATTTTGTAAGGTTTTGACATATAAATATTTGTTATCATATATGATTGAATTCCATAATAGAAATATCTTCAATATTCCTATTTTCAATAAAATTAAAAGCGACTAAAGAAAAAATATATATCTCAAATACTAATAATATTGTTGGTTTTGAAAAAAAGTAACTGATTAATAATAGTTTATTAACATAATCGTTTTTAAACTGAAATGTGAAATTTAAATATTGAAATGTAAAAGAAATAAATATTTAATACAATAAAAAAAGACTATATTCCATATCTACTGATTTTCTTTCTTTTTCTCCTTAATTGGATGATTATACATATCTTTTATTCAATAAAATTTCGAAAAATGCTTTAAAATGTCTTTATTATGAAACATTGTATAGGTACTATTTTAGTCTCTATTATTATATAAACGAATATAATCATCTTTGATCTTTTTATCTCCAAAGATGCGTATAATACCTTCAAATCTTCACTGTATCCTTAATATACAATAGTACCTGTTTTTTTTTGCAGAAAAAAAAGGTAACATAAACCATTACAGACTGTAACAGATATCGATAAGTGATTATTAATGTTATGATGAAAAAGACTATCACACACACATCATAAGAGATGTGACTAGTTGACATTGACTGGTATTATTATTATTATTTTGTATGTCATATTTTACTGCCGTATAGAATCAGCTAATAGATTTTCTTTTAGATGTTTATTATTGGAATGAGAAACTGTTAACAAATTTTCTATTATTTGATTGTTGTCTTACAAAGTAGAATGACGATTTGATATTTTATTTCCTTCTCATATATATCTATTCTATTTACTCAATGAATAAAGAGTTTCAATGATAATGAAGATCAATGAATTGATATTTCTATGATTCCCATTGTATTCTGATGAATTTAGAATTGTTACCTGATATTTATTCGATAATAATGAATAATAAATATATTTTGAAATGATGAAATAATACCATATTGAATAACGTTATAGACTTATCTTTAATGTTATTCAATAATAATCATATAACAAAAGTCAAAATGAAATGTAACTAATCATTTTGTTGATCAATTTATTTACCTTTCTTCTTACATCTCCGTTTGTTTTCTTGTCCTTTTTTGAATTATTTTCAAATGTATGACTTCAAAAATAGGTTAAGAAATTATGGGAAGAAATACAAATATATTTATCGAGAGAAATTCTCTCTTGTGTTGTTTATTTCCATTGTAATTAAAAATAAATGCGTAACCTCGGATTTTATCCGAGAGTTATGTATACTGCAAAAAGTGTATATGGAAATCATAGGGATATATCAGTATTTTTGTAATAACTCGGGAATGCTCCATACAATTAGGCTCATCTTCGAACTCGACCAAGATTTTGATGAGACAGTTCTATGCACAAAATTTTAGCTCAATCGGACTATTTGTTTAAACGTTATCGTGCATACGGCCGACCGGACGGACGGCCACACTGACCGATTCTAGTAGTGTACTCACTTTTTGAGTACACAAAAAGAGAAAAACGAAGAAATTGATGATAAACAAGATCCAACAAGATCACCATCATCTGTTAAATTTACAATGTTTTTAATGGATAAATATCCACCAAAAGTAAATATTCATTTGAATATATCTTAAAGTATTAAAACGGAATTGAATTTTATTTCAGAAATCAATTAAAGATAATTGTTGTGCCAACAGAAGCGACGAACATCCTTTTCAATGATACCCCTTATATCATTTTCATCTCTCTGCTTCTCTTTCCTCTTTTTAGCTATTTCTATTGTTTCATGTTCTCTCTTTTTCTCTCTAGTATATAAACCTGTGTTGTATGTTAAATAGTTACATTTGGATGTAGTACTTAGTCAAATAAACATCGTGCTTTAAGGCACTATAACTATGTCTCTCCATTTGTCATAACCATGGGTATGTACCTGCAGCTCATTTATATCAATGCCCAACCAGTGGCAGAGCTGCATATCTTCATTTTCCGTTACAATTGTGATCTTTTACCACCGAACATTGTCATCAGAACAAGCGATTATATACAAGAAATCATCGAATTTATTTTCCCAATTTGAGCGCCCAGAGATGAAAATCTACATGGAGGGACAGCAACTTGAAATCGTAGATAGTTTCAAGTACTTGGAGTTTACCTGGACTAGCAAGATGTCGCTGTAACCAACAGTCGATCAATTCCTATCGAAAGTTAATAAAACAATAGGTAAACTAAAATGGTTGAGAACAGGTAGACATATCTCAACTCAAGTCATAAGACAGTGCTTTTTTGCATATGTGTTCCCTCACCTGGCATGGATCTTCCCTTTCTATCCCTTTTTACCAAAAACTAAACGAGAGGCTCTGGACAGGAAATTCCGAGTAGCAATTCGACTTGTCCATAGATGCTCATACGTATCAGCAACCGATCTTTTCTCCCTAACTAAAGAAAAACCCTTAGAATTTTAGGTACAACGATACATAAAGAAAAAAATAGAAAAAATATATAAGACGGACCTGGGAACATCTTACTTTCTTCACGATCTTTTTACTGGGATACCTTTAAAAAGGAAAAAAATGACGCGATGGGACATTACTTCAGATTGAGAAGAATGAACAAGTTATTAACGAGACATGAATCGCTACTGACCATTTGGATCAACTTTGTGAATTAACACCCTAATTAAGTAATATGAGCCCTTAGGGATATAATAACTAATGAAGGAATACACAGCTATGACACATTGAATCATTTGCACCTTATCCTACTTAACCGATTAAATGTTCTTCCCTTCCTCTTTCCCTCTATCTTATATCTTATATATGTAAGCACTCAAGAGTGTAGCATTAATAAAAGCATAAACCAAAAATCATCGAATTTATTGAAAAATCTATTTAAACTGGTGATGTATATGAATTTAATTCCATGGTTTATTCTAAAGAATGTGAAGGTATTTTATGGGAAAAGAGTGAAATTGATAAACCTTCATGGATGTCACGATGAGGATTAGGTCGATCAGGTTCTCTCATTAATTGTTCAGTCATGTCTAACATTTTATTCGGTAAGAATTTATTTGTTTCATGAACATTTTTCGTAGGAAATTTATTTTTATTTCAGATTCAAAATGTGATATTCATAGTGGTGGTTGTGGAGATTTACATGCTAGTAGTAAAAATTATTGTGGTAATAAATCATGGGTGAATTATGAGCTAGGTGATGAAGCAACCGGTGAACATGAATCAACAAAATTCTCAAATGAGTTTATGGAGACCTTGAAGAAACATCAAGAATATCCAAATTAGATGATAATCAAATCGAAAAAGTCATGTACTATGATAAAATAATATTCGAATTTTTTTCTACAGTAAGAAGTATGCTTAGTCTTATTATACTAATCCACATATGCACAACTCAAAATTCGAATTGTTGGATCGTACTTTACTTCAAACCTTCGTAAAGATTAAAACAGCATTCACCAATCATTATGTGATCATATTAATACACCAATGGCTATGAATGAAGTAAATGAATTAATAATATCCACCAACATATATATAGACAAAAGCACGAACCCGAATCATATTTTGTTACAATTGATTAACAAATATCTTGGGCAATTAACAAATAGTTTTGGATTATGCTTTCCTGCTCAAGCACCAACTGATTATCCCGATCGACAAAATGCAGCATCGACTGATGCTTGTTAGCGTCAACAGATGACGCAACATTTCCTTTTCCCCCCGTTTTGGTTTTCCTTATTTCAGTTGTTAAACAGTTTAACTATTGATTAGCAGTGTTTATAACTTTCCTCCTGCTTTTCAAGTATTGAAAATATCCCAATAAACAACATAAAATAACAACTCATTTTTATCATCCCTTATCATACTCTAATTATAACTACGTAGATTTAAATTTTTTCAAAGTTTTTGATTTAACTTTTGATTCATCTTCATTTGTAATTGTTTGTTCAGTTGAAGATGAAGGTAATTTAATAGAAAGACAAGTTATTATTTTAAGTTTATTATTTTAATCAGTTAAATTTATTTTCCATGATGGATCTGTATTTGATGTAAATGTTAATGAATCAAAAAGTAATGTCCATACTTGATCACATCCACGATATGATCGAAGATGACCTTTGAAAATAAGATTGGATCCTTTTTTTCTTTTACTGATTGAGAATTCAATTTTTGATTGATAATGTAGTCGAAAACATCAAGAATATAATGAACAACACGAGAAGTAAGAATCTGACGACGAAGAAGTTCACGAAGAGTATCATCAAGTGCCAAACCAATAGTTGTATGAACTTGTTTAATTAGATATGCGCCATTAAAGAATACGATATACTAATCACTCTTTATTTTTTATACATTTTTCTACTATATATCCTATCTAAAATATGTCGATGAGATTCTCGTTTTTCTATTATCTTCGTATATGATCTTGTAATTGTATGTATAATTTAATATTCGAGAAAATGAATTTATGATATGTAAGAAATCATCAAACACTCGTCGATCTATAGATTTATTAGAAGAGAGAAAAATATAGAGAAGATTTCTTTTTTATATTCAACCTTCCTAAACATATGAAAAATAATTTGTACATCGAAACCTTGATTAAAGTTTGTTGATTGGTGACATCTTCCGAAAGGATTTTGTAAGGTTTTGACATATAAATATTTGTTATCATATATGATTGAATTCCATAATAGAAATATCTTCAATAAATATTTATGATAATATAATTGTTATACATTCATTGTTTTGTTCAATTATGAATGGTTATTAATGTTACCAACTCATATTAGAGGTCGCTATTCTTATGTGATCATGAAAACATTGAAGGAGTATGTCGTGTTGACTGAAATATGATGCAGTCTGTTGAGCATACAAATTTTCATTGTCAAAATTAGATTATTAGTTGAATAAATATATTCGTTTATAATAATTTTATTTTTAAAATACATCTGTTTTAGATGTTATCATTCTCTATTAATTATTTCTTATTTCTATGGCTATTAGTCATTGTTAATACTGATGGAAAGAAATACACCAGCAAAGAAAATGTAAATAATTAGCTGATTAGAAAAAAAAGAAATTTTATGTATTTTTTTTTTGTTTCTTATAGGTAATAGTCTACGTTAATAAAGTTGGCCCGTATTCAAACCCTCAAGAAACTTATCATTATTATTCACTTCCTGTTTGTCGCCCGTCAAAAGTAATATAAATGAATAAATAATTTATTAATAAATCTATTTTCATATTAATAGATTGTATCAAAAGATTTAACATTAGGTGAAGTTCTTTCAGGTGATCGAATGGCTCATTCTTTATATGAAATACAATTCAATGGTATAGATAGAAAAGATTTTGTTCTTTTTTTTTTAAATATTAATTTTGATTTATTTCTTTAGAGGATGTCACTAATAAACAATTATGTTCATTAACATTAAATTATGGAGAAATCAATTCATTACGATTAGCAATAGAAGAATTTTATTATTTTGAATTTGTTGTTGAAGATATTCCAATTCGAGGTTTTGTTGGACAAGTTGAAGAAACAAATTTATTTCCACATAAACATCATATTTATGTTTATACACATCATCATTTTGATTTTCATGTTAATGATAATCAAGTAAAAATACTTTTTAATAAATAAATAAATAAATAATTAAAAACTATTATTTCATATTTAGATTGTTTATGTTAATATAAGTACAAAAGAACATCCACCAACATCAATAGATGATGATGCAGCAACATCTCTTAAACTTGAATATACTTATTCAGCTAAATGGCATAAAACAGAGTAAAGGTTTTTATTATTTTATTTCTTTAAAATATTTTATTTTTAATTCTAGAACATCATATAAAGATCGTGCAAAATATATTGCTAATACAGGATTTTTTCCTGAAACACTTGAAGTTTGTTTATTTCTATGTTGAATTTTCTTCTATAAAAAATTTTTCTTTCTTTTTTATATTTTAGATTCATTGGTTATCTGTTATTAATTCTATGGTACTTGTTTTTCTTCTCATTGGTTTTGTTGTTATTATTCTCGTAAGTATAATGAAATAATATTGAACAATTGATGAATTTTCTTTTAATTAATTAAAATTTCACATGATCAGATTATTTTTCTTCGTCTAGTTTTACGCGAGAAGGAGTTAGTTTTCGAATGAAAAAAATTGTTTTGTTTCGGTTATTAATATTAATATATTGACGTGAAGAAGAAAAAAAAGATATTATTTTAAAAATATTTTTTCTTCTCATTATAATTTATCTAATCTATTTTCACAAAAATTGTTAAAATATGAATTAGTTTGAAGATGTGTTTAGTGATAATTCAAACATTTATAATAGAATTTTATTTTAGTCTCGTATATTAAAACATGATTTAAATCGAATGAGTGATGAAGATGATGATGGTTCACCTGAAGAAGAAAATGGATGGAAAATAATTCATACTGATGTATTTCGTTTTCCAGTTAATCGTGAATTATTTTGTTCAATACTTGGTGTTGGTAGTCAATTTTTATCAATATTTACAGGTATACTTATATTTGCTGTTTGTGGAATGTTTACTGTACATCGTCATGGTTCATTAATGGCATCAGGTGTTATATTATATGCATTTACATCATGTATTGCTGGTTATATGAGTGGAAGAATGTACCGTCAATTACAAGGAGAACATTGGACATGGAATATTATTTTAACAGCAAATCTTTTTACAGTACCATTTTTTGTTATTTGGTGTATAATTAATACATTTGCATGGGCACATGGAACAACACAAGCATTACCATATACAACTGTACTTATTCTTGCTTTTATGTGGCTCCTTGGTAAAATGAACAAGAAATTTTTTTTTTTAAATTTTTTTTAATTAAAATTTTCTTTTAGTTGGATTTCCATTGACAGTTTTGGGTGGAATATTTGGTAAGAATTGGTCAGGCAATTTTGATGCACCATGTCGAACAAAAAATATTTCACGTGAAATACCTCAAGTAGCTTGGTATCGTACAAGTGTTGCACGAATGTTAATTGGTGGTTTCTTACCATTTTCAGCAATCAGTGTTGAACTTTATTATATATTTTCAACATTTTGGGGTCGTGAACATTATATGTTATATGGAATTTTAACAATTGTTTTCATTATCTTACTCTCTGTTACAGCATGTATATCGATTGCATTAACTTATTTTCAATTAGCTGCCGAAGATTATCGATGGTGGTGGCAATCAATAATAACTTCTGGGTATATTTTCATTTATTTTAAATTAAATAAAACTTTTCTTTTTTTTATTCTTTTCATTTGAAATAAATTTAGATCAACTGGTTTATTTGTATTTTTATATGCAGTATTCTTTTATTTTAATCGTTCGAAAATGCGTGGTACATTACAAACGTTACAATTTTTTGGTTACACATCAGTAGTTTGTTATGTATTCTTTTTAATGCTTGGCACGGTTGGCTTTTTCTCTTCACTTCGTTTTATTCGATATATATATGTTAATATTAAAATGGATTAGACAATCACATATTATAATATTTGAATCTCATTTGCGATTTTTATTTGCCAAACAGTGATATATAGTGGATGTTTAATTCAAGTCTTTCTTTCATTATTTAAATAACTTTAACAAATTGAAGACATTATAATACATTCCATCATTTGCTTATCTTTTGCTTTCTTTTTTTGCGTGTGAGTGTATTTATATGTATCCATGGTTAATCTTCTTTTTCTCTTATTCTTCGATATTGTTTCTTTTGCTTTTCTTCTTATTTTAGCTGATTTAGAAAATAAATATATTATAAGTCTATATGCATATAATAATACTAATAATAATAAATGTCAATAATTAGTAAATATGAAATTAAAGATAAAATGATTAGTTTTTTTTATTATTTCAATAATCAGTCAAGAATAACTTAGAAATTTAATGAGTCTATACTCGCCGCGGTAGTATAATGGTAGTACATCCGGTTGTGGTCCGGATAACGCAGGTTCGATTCCTGCCCGTGGCATGTGAAATTTTTTTTATTTTTTCAATATAAAATAACAATAAATATTGCACTACTTTTTTTAATACAAAGTAGAATTTTTTTTGTTGTAATAATAAATACTTTACTATAGCAAGAATATGAAGTTAAATTTTTTGAAAAAGAAAATATCCAGCGATTATCATGAATCAATCATTTTATTAAATGATATTATGTGAGCGAGATGAACTTTAAATTTAATCATGATAGTTAACAAGTACTTTAGTATTTTTTGCAATATATGGGTATATACTTCGACTGTTAGAGTGCAATGATTCTTTTTATTGGCAACACTAACATCTATTCAATACAAAGTTCATATAAAATAAATTGATTTGTATAGGTCACATACAATATTACATATAGAAAAGTTGAAAAATAAATAGAAGATTATTTTAATTAACTATAAATAATATAGAAGTATACCTACCACTATTTCTTAAGTGAGTTATATCTTTGAATTTAGAAGAATGTTTTTTATTACTAAAGCTAATTTCAGTATATCCTTTAATACATTTAGTAAAGAAGATTTTAAGTTGAATACTAGTGATAATCTTTATTGACAATAAATAGAAGGACATCACAATCAGCTCAGAAATATCGTATATCACGTGGAATATTATATGCATGAGATGTATATATAACCGTATAAAACGAAAGAAACAGAATGCAGAATAGATATATAATATTAACGAGCCTAGAGGAAAGAAAGAAGCATGGCATTTCTTTAACATCATATAGTAAAAGACGAAAAGCAGAGTCAACGGGTCACATAGATGTTAATTATATTCATTCTCTATGCAACCATACATAGTAACTGCTTATACACACAAACTAACGATTTCGATGCGTAATCTAAAAAGACTTGTTTCAGTCATTGCACACTCTGATCATAAATACACAAAAACACGAGTCCACTCACTTCGATATTTTTAAGACAATTATGTATTTCGATGTAGATCAGAATAGAAGATCGGTTAAGAAATTAATATGATGGTTTTCAATGTAGATGATTATATCATAATTTTACTACATTCCGACAGTCATTTACTACCAATAAGTTTGTTAAATCACTTGTTTATCTGGTTGTAAGCAGCTTCATATGAAAGTATATATTTTTAATATATTATGAAAATTTGGACTTCTTAATCATTTTTACAATGACTCTATCTTCCTTGTTGTCTGACTAGAGTATAATTATCTAAAATCTCAAAACATTTCATTCTGATAACTCAACGACTTTAGATGAAGAATCATAACTTAATATTGACGGGCCTATACAAAGTTATGAAATGTTCTAGACATATTTTTTATTACGATTAACTGAGTAATGTAATAAGTACGACAAAATCAATAAACGATTTGTGTTATATCAACGATCATTCAAGTTACAAGGCGTTTAACTTTAAGCAAAACCGACATGTCTCAATGTTTCATTGACAAACATAACTGTACGGCTGCGAGAATTATACACAAGGTAGTAGAGACATATGTAAAAGATTTTATTTTCTATTATCTCGTCTTTTTAGATATCCAGAGACAGACTGTCCATTATCAAATCTCTACTGTTTCACAGTTGATGGTATCGCAGAAATGATCAAATTATTATAGTGATGGAGAGCACGTATCCATATGTGTGTAGAAATTGAAGAAAAATCAGCATCACTCAGTCAATTTTCATTAATATTCTAATCTAATACAGTCGATCATTATAACGGTAATCGTAAATGTTTAATTATTATTATTTGCAACATAGTAAGTTTTTAAAAAGTTAAATAACAGCTTTAATTCTAAATATTATTCACATCTGTTATGTAGATCGAATATATTTTAAACGTAGTTGATCTTTACCTAGCTAACATAAAAAATAACGATGCTTCAATAACGAGAGATATATTTTGTTAAAAACGAACAAGATGACTATATCGTTGTCGTCAACCAAGGTTCTAAAAGCAACGTTAGCATGTCAGATATGTTCTGTCTCCACATCTGGATATGTGATTTTCTTAAACTAAAGAATGAACTATCTTGCCAAAAAATCAATCGTTCAGGTTATATTACTAAGTTTAGTTAAATTCATGTAAGTTGTATACTAAATATCAATATATTCTTTTCACATTTAATATTTTACTTCAGTATCGTTGTAACTCATTCATCAACAGAATCAAGACGAATATACCGTTAAATCGAGCAATTCAAAACTCAGCTATTTTTTATATTATCGCTTATTTAACTAACATCTGTGCTGCTCGTCTACGCTTATAGTAAATTAGTACCGTTGACGTAGTAACTGAGAGAATATAAACAACGCAGATGCTAATGTCTTACTGTTAAATCAAGTCAATAATTATAAAAAGCATATATATTGTAAAACTAGATTGAAGTATGAATAAGCCGTATTCGGAAACAAGTATGATGCATGAATAATTAATTTTTTAACTTTATCTGGGCTAACTGTGCGAAATGGTTAATCTGGTAGTGAAGATTTAATGAACAATAATATTGCGAACAAAACAAATGATCGCACTTGGTAAACAACTACATATATCGATAAACATGTGAAATGCTGTTTTTAATAGTCATCACTTCAAATTAACCGTGAAATTTTGTTAGAAATATAACGGTTCCATCAGACAAGTGATGATAAACGCGAAGATAACCTCATTCAAGAATAATTGCATACTTTTCTGCCGATGTACAAATTATTGGCTATTGCGGTCACGTAGAGCTATTATATGTTATTTAGGTTTCTGCCCACATGGGTATCAATTACTATCAATAATGGACAATTTATCTGCAACTTTCCTCGTTTTGTTTGGGACAAAATTCAGTATTTCGTCGTAAAATAAAGGGATAGCGAATGTTTTAATTATGCATTAAGGGGGAGGCGGTCATGTACGTGACAACAATTCGTCATCTTCGTTTTTCTTCGATATTCACTTTATTATGTTATCATTTTTTTTCACATAAGTTGTTCGTCACACTTCTGAACTAATTCAATATTTAGAAAAAAAAATATTATTGTATTTAAAATAAATGTTCTGAATCTAAATATTGAATGCATTTCGTAAACTATTAATTTGTTTATGTATAGACAAAGCAACTAAATGAGCTGATATTATCTTTCTAAAAATTACAGTAAAAATGACATGTATGCATGAATATTTTTTGAGAATTAAATTTTAATTCATTATTTATTTTGATTATGCACTTGCGTGTGCGTTGAAAAATATGGTATTTTCTATATTCTTCATAAATAAAGTTACATAAACAGAGTACTCGTTCGGTCGACTTCAGCAGCATTTGTTCTATTAATAGACATTCTATTAATAAATATAAAATGACTTTATCAAAATCTTTATATCTCACAAACCAAGAATCTTATTTACATTAATAAGTCTTAGTGAAAACTAGACAGTTGGTTCATGGTTTTAAATAAATTAAAGTTTATCAAGTCTGTCACGTTGAATTTGCAATGCTTCTCAATAGACCACTTTCTAATGATTAAAACTGATCATCTGTGATATAGCTACTTCTATTTTCTTGAGGTTATTAATCAATAATGATTTGAATTATTCTTTCGAGATTAAAGAAGAACACATTTGATAATTATTAGTCAAATTCGACTCTTTTTAATTAGAAATAAATTATATTTGAAAAATCTTAATAGCAAAGTTTTGTACTGCTATACAAGAAAATATTATTAATTAAAATGAACTTCATAAATAAATCGGACTAGATGAACTAATAATAAGCATACTATATCATAAATGTCTAAAGAATTAGAGAAGTAAACATTGTGTGGATAAATGGTTTGATTGAAAAAATACAATGACCTTTTTTTTTAATTTTTTTCAGTACTCTTGTAAGCAGATAAGAAAAAAATAATCGATTACAGCTGAAATGAAATTTAAGTGTTTTGGATGTATTTGCCTTGTTAACATAACTTTCAAATACGTCATAACTCTCAGATGTTCATGACCAGATATAGAATTGAAAAATAAAAAGCTAAGAAAGTAATTTTTTTTCATAGAATCATTGTAGCATTAAATTATGTTGAGGTTTTTAGTTAAAGAAGAAATAAAAACTAAAGAGAACACATTTAAAATTCTCATTATTAATCGTAAAATATTTATGATACATTTCCAATATATACTTCGCCGTTGTTAACAACATTCAGAAAGAAAAATTCAATAATTACTATTTTATTTAGTGAGACATGATGAGTGGTTTAAAAAAAGAATAATTAAATTTCGTAGGAGGGAGAGACCATTTCTACTTTTTTTTATTTCTATTTTATATATATATAAACGGTAATGTTCATATTTAAAACATTCTCCTTAATTTCTATGAGTTCGTCTGTAATCCGTTTTGCTAATTCTTAATTTTTTTTTACAAAATAAAAATTGTCAGTTTGTTGAAGTTTGACGTCATTAAATTAAGAAAATCTACTGATGATTCTCTCAACAATAGTTTAGTGCAAATGATTCACAATTTCTTTATTACTTTTTCTATATAAATTCTTCTTTTTTTTTCTACTTAATAAAATCGTACTTTCATTTTTAGTTCATATTACAACTGTTTGTTCTTTATTTTATTGACCACTGTGATGATGATGTATTATTCTATGTTTTTACTCGTTGCATCCGTTATATTTAATCAAAATGTTTGGAGTCATACCGTTTCATCGTCAGTTAATACTAATTGCACTATAAATTATAATGGACATGTACTGAAAGATGGTGAAAGTATTGAAGTACGAGGAAAATTTTATAAAATGGAAGATTGTGGTCTTCATCGAGCTTATCATGCATGTGGAACTTATCTTTTACAAATGGTCAGTATTGCTTGTGAAGTTGTTGATCAACAAAAACAAAAGCCAATAATATCAAACCGTTTCCGTAGATTTTTAAGACGAAAATTACTTACTGAAGCCTGTTGTGAAACTTTGTGTACTGTTTCCGAAATGACACGTTATTGCCCTTGATAATAAAAAAAAACGGTAACTGACAATATTATGTTTATTATTCTATAAATCCCTATATATCGAGCTAAATTAAGACATGAGACAGTATTTATTTGTTTTTTGTATAATTATCTTTTATTTTATTCTTTGATTCATTAAATAAAAAATAATTTTCAACTAATGAATAAAACTTTTCACACTAAATTAAAAATGTGTTTATAATAAGAAATAATTACACAATATGTATGTAATATTGAATTATCTAATCAATTCATAAATGTTGCTTGTTCTGCACTTTAGATAATTCTTTTTTTTTTTTATATAAAATATAATTTTGAATGAAATGAAAGAAAAATAAAAGTGACATAAGAATTGAAGATATTCCAATCGTTATAATAATTTTTTTCTATTATAAACAAAGTCAGGCACATATACTCATCAAAAAATTATTTTCAGTATTATTCATTTTCTATAAACAATTATTTGGAGAGTAATTGAGAACATGACTTTTCAAATTTTGTCTGAGATTTTATATTATCAATTGTTTTATCATATTTATTGTTGAAAATAAAATAAAATCGAAAGTTGAAGAAGTTTATATTATGATTTTGTAAATACATAATTTGTCACATTATTAATGGTATATGTCGACATTCTATTTAAGAGAAAAGGCGTGATGTTACGTTATAAATCATGTTAAAAGGAGGTAATCCGATTTACATATACGCATTTATTTTAATATAAAATAAAAACATATTAAAGTTTGACAGAAGATCTTCTCAAAGTAAATTAAAAAATATATAATCGTCAGAAGAGATGTTTATATTAAAAAAATAATATTTTTCATGATTTTTCTCATCAAGTATTTTCTAGTTCTTTCTTTTATTATTTAACTAAATTGGAAACTTTTACATAAGGAAGTTTGCAAAGTGAATAATAATTCTTTATTCTTTTAAAGATCTTATAAATACTTCAAAAGTCAATATTATACTGCAAGAACACAATGTAACATGTGATGCGAAAATCCTAACGACAATATCAAATTACATTATCGTTCTTTAAACGAATCAATTTTTTTGTTTAAGGAAAAGAGCACAGTCTGAACTATAAATTTTGAAATTTATACTTGATTGTTATACAAAAATATAGCTTTTTTCAAAACAGATTGTGTAGTTTAAACGTTCTTTCTATCTAACTGTTTTTTAATGAGAAAAACTAACATTATAAATCTTTTTGTTATGTCTTCACAAAACAATGCATGATTTTTGAAAACAATGACTTTTATTCTTGCAAAATGACAGTTGGTGTTAAAGATCCTGTTTTTATGTAAAGAATGAACAACTGATCTAAAGATTTTTATCAGAAGGATCAGACAAAATTTTCAAGTGGTAAAAATAGTTGTAACAATCTTTATTTTTCCGCAAAAGTAAAATTTGGTTAAATAAAAAGAGAATAGAAATAATATAGAAGAGATTTCTTTGTTTTATTTTAATGTTAGTATTATTTTAAAAAACACCGGTTTTTCGTTAAAATAAGAAGAATAGTTATTATATGGAATGAAATCAATGTTTATACGTCCGGATAGAACAACTTCCTGAGAGTTTTTGCTTCATCAGCCATTTCTTTTTCTTGCCTCCATCCTTTTTCTTTTTTATCGTGATGAGCCAACTAAATAAATACATAAAAAATATATTCAGTTTATTTTTCTTTAGATATAGAAATAATTAACCTCGTGATAGATACTATCGTTTTCTTCAAAATCACCAGGTATTCTTGGAAGAATGTGAACATGAACATGCTAAAATAATAATAGATTATTTTTAATTTGAATCCTCAATATCTTCTTTTATATTTCTAAATAAAAATTAAATTTTTTGATGATTTCAACCCTTTTTTATCCAATACAACATTGGTGAACTAGTTTATTTTACTTGTTTCCCATAGTTAGAAGAATATTCTTGAAATAATATAGACAAAATATTCTAAAATTTAGGTCCGATTTCTAACAGAATTATTTTGTCTAAAGAATACAATATATATAATGTCATACGTGGCATAATATTTATTGCGTAGTAATGATATGACATGAAAGTTTTATTACACAATAATATATATCCTACTGAAAAAATAAAGCTTTCATGTCGTATTTTTATTTGGTCATAAATTTGATGTAAAGTCTAATAGTAAAGAAACAAAGACGAGGAAAGACTTTTATCCGAGATTATAGATCTAAAAGAACGTTAAATCTTTTTCTGTCAAAATTATTTAAGTTAGGTGCGTATGTTGAAGACTGGTTCGTATAAATAAATAAAATGTATCACCAGTTTAGTAATTAGTTTCTAGATAATTTTAATGAATATGATTGTCTATGAAGAAACAAATTTAAAGGAACAGAACGATTTCAGGATCTTTCGTATTCATTTCAAAAAGCATCTTGATGTTTTTATACCGAATATGAATAAGATCCTCCATGATAAGAACGTGTTAGTATTTCTAGAAAAAAATTACACAAACGAAGCGAAGTATGCAGTAGTGGACAAAGAGCTTTTACCGAAGATGTTATTCTTTTTATTAACTACTCTTGTCTGTCAGCTTTTTCGTGTGACTTATCTAACTGAGAACTAATACGCGTCTTAAATGATGGAGGAAAAATATTGCTCATAAAAAAACAGTTTTAGAAATTATTTTAAGAACATTCATTTTCAAAGAGGTTCTCCTAAATTGTCTTTTACTTAGTATGTCCAAGAGGGGTTTTCTAATATGTCGGAGGTTTTAAATTAAATACCTTAATTGTTTGTCCGGCACATTCTCCATCTTGTATTGCAATACTTAATGATTTTGCTTTATAAAATTCTTCTATTTTTCTTGCAATTAATTGTGTACTTAGAAATAAATCATTTATTTCTTCAGGATTTAATTGAGAAAATCGTTCAACACGACGAACTGGTGATACAAGTACATCTAAAGTATTTTTGATAAAAATTTTGATTTTTTTTTCAAATATATTTACGTCCAGGTACAACCGGTTTTCTGTTAACCAAAGCTAAAGTTAATGTTGAACGAAAAAATATTTGATTTGTTGTTATTTGTACTTGACCCCAGGTTATTTTTTCTTCTTTGCTATCATCAATTGGTACTAAATATATTTTCTCTTATTTTTTTATTAATAATAAAAATTGATTTTTATACCAATTATATTCATTGGTGACATTAATGAATATAAATCACGTCGTCGATGTTCAATTATTGGCATTTTTTCACGTACTTGTTCAATACGTTCAAGATCAATATCAACTGTACGCATTGATGGAGATTCTAAACCCATATCTAATAAAACACTTCCCCATGGATCAATAACCTAGATTGAAATAAAAACAAAATAACCAGTTATATTTATTTTCGAATTAAAAACTGAAACTAACTAAAGAATGTCCATAAGATTCACGTTTAGCATTATGTGAACCAACTTGAGCAGCAGCTACAACAAAACATTGATTTTCAATTGCTCGAGCACGAAGTAATATCTAAATTTAATAGATTTCATTTATTTCATACGATATTTAAATTTTTAAAAAATAATCAGTAATATCTAGATGAGTTAATATTATTAATTTTTCATAATTGACATACATGTTCTTCCATACTAATCTTGCATAAATAAAGAATTAGCGTTTTCCTTATTTTCAGTAAGGGCTGGATGGCAGGTCTAATTCCCTTGATTTTTTAAGTGCAAAAATGAATCTAATTTTAACTAAGGCTTAAGTTATTAATAAACTTTATTTAATAATAAACATGTTTTTATCTTCTTTCAAATAAATGACTCTATTTATTAGTTGAACTCAATGTTCATTTTAGTTTTACGTTTCAAAGTTTTCTTTTCAATAGATAGAATAATAGATATTTTACCTCCCAATGAGCTTCTCCGGTATGTTTAGTAAATGCACTTGGATAAGTAAGAATTTGTGCACCATTTTCTGAAGATGCTGTTAATAATCGAGCAAATTCAACAAAACGAAGATCATAACACTAAAGAAAAAAGTTTTTTGAGAAAAAAAAAATCTTAAAATAAAAACAAACAATTCCAAGACCAATTCTTCCAGCTGGTGTTTCAATTGGATTGGCAATTGATGAACCTGGTTGAGTGAAATCTGATTCACGAAGTATTAATGATCCAGCTTGTACATCAAATAAATGTATTTTAGAATAATTGCCAACAATATCACCTTGATCATTAATTATTAAATGACTATTTAAGACACGTGTTCCATCTCCTGACTGAAAGATTTATTTTATAAAAATAAATATTTGACAAACAAAAAAAGAAGAAGAAACTAACTCGTTGGTGAAAACCACCTAATGATAACCATAATTGATTTTGTTTTGCTAATTTTCGATAACCATTTATAATGGGACCATCGATTGATTCAGCTTTTTCAAGTGTTAATGATTTTGAATCACATATATAATCAAATGCTTCAGGAAAAAATACAATCTAATTTGATATTTATTATGATTATGATTTAAATAATATTAAAATGAATAAACTAACTTTAGCTTCTTCTTTTTTTGCTTTATTTATTAATTGTTCTCCAATTTTAAAATTTTCTTCTTTATTATCACGACAATTTAATTGACATACACCAATACGAACTATTTTACTTGACATTCTTCGAGAATTTTCTTTTAAAACAAATAAAGGACTTAGAACAATACGAAGTCGATTAAACATGAATAAAACATTATTTTTATAACTTTAGAAATATATCTTTAAAAAAAAACATTTATTTACATTTTATCTTATTAAAAATATGTCAGATCGATTTTCGTACAAAATACTATCTTACATAGCACATATTCTCTTTTAATTAGAGATAATGATCAGGAATATTAAAAAATCATAATTTAAATAGTTAAAACACAAGATATGAAATTTACGTTTTACGATAATAACGTCAATCAGTGTGTGGGTGTTATGATAATATCTTATTCACACCCACACTCTCAGCATGGTTCTTCACATAAAAAAAAGACTAGAGATATTCTGAGTAAACTCGTCGAGTTGCATCGAAGCATGTAAAAAGAAAGTATTCTACTTTTGAATTACTTTAAATAATATTTCTATAGTAAACTAATTCTCTTCCGCAGAAATATTTATTTTCACTTTTCTTCACATTTTAAAAATGTTTTTATCAGAAAAGAAAAGATACAAATTTATCGATGATCTGAAATATATAAAAAGATACTGTTTTTTTTGCTTTTTCTAAAATGTTTATAACAAAAAAAAGCGTTGATTAATAAGTTATTTTTTCTAAGAATTCTAATGAAAAAAAAATGTTATAAATCAAAATAAATAGTTCGATTGAAATAAATGAAAATTAAAGAGGTTTTGTATTGATTTCAAGCCATTTTAATAAACTTGGTTGAACACCTTGTTTTTTCATTTCAACACTTAAAGTTTCATAAACTTTTTCATGATATTTATTTATATAATCAATCTAAAGAAAAATAGAAAAAATTCAATTTTCCGCAATAACAGAACATACTTCATCATTAGTTAATATTGAACGATCAATTAGTTTTTGTTGAATAGGAGCCATTGTTAATTGTTCAAATGTTAACCAATCTTCATTATAATATCCATACTAAAACAAAAACATTTATTTTTGAAATAAGTTAAAAAGCTTTAGACTAACTTTCGAAGCTTTTTTAACGACAACAACACAATTTTCTATACGAATACCAAATTTATTATTCGAATAAAATCCTGGTTCTACATAAATATAAATCATTTATTTTTTATTTTAATAAATAAGAAAAAATACCAACCATCACTAAGAACCATTCCTGGAACTAAATAATTATCCGAACGAATTCGAGTACCAATTGATTGTGGACCTTTTAAAATATAAAACAAAACTAAGATTTATTTTAATTCTATTAAATGAAACCTTCATGAACATTAAGACAACAACCAACACCATGTCCTGTTCCATGTTGATAATCTAAACCAACATCCCACAATGCACGACGTGCAAATGAATCCAATCGAGCACCAATTGTATTTGGTGGAAATAAACATGATGCTAATGATATAAAACCTTTTAATACTCGAGTAAAACATTCCTAACAAATAAACAAGTTTTTATTTTAAATAAAAAAATATTCCAAACTTTTTCATAATTTGTTGGTTCACCCAAATGAACTGTTCGTGTTACATCTGTTGTCCCTTCTCTAAAATAGTAAAGTATATTTTTAAGAAATAGAGAGGTTTTAATTTACTTATATTGTCCACCAGAATCAACTAAATATAATTCATTTGCACTTATTTTTGTATCAGATTCTTTCGTTGGTCTTTAATTAACAAAAATGAATATTTGAAAATAAAACAAAATTTAAAATACTTGTAATGAATAATAGCACCATTTTTTCCTGTTGAAGATATTGTTTCAAAACTATCATAAAGATAATTTTGTTGTTCACTAAATATTACATTTTATTTTAATAAATAAAAAGAAATATGTGTTTTTTTTTATAATAACCATCTAAATGATCTTAATCTTTCTGCACCTGAACATTCACTTAAATCATCGATTTTTCCAATCTAAATAAAGAGAAATTAGTTTTCATTGGAATTATTTCTAAATTACATTTTCTTCAAGCCAATGAAGATATGAACAAAGAGCAACACCATCTTTTATCTAAACAAATTTATCTTGTTAAATATATAAAAAAAGAGATTATCTAATAGAAATTAGTACTAGAACCCATTGTTACAGAAAACATCATCACGAATAAAATGTCACAATAACTTATGATGGATAATTATAACACATTGTGAACTTTTTTTTTGTGAACATAGAATGAGAGGAGACACTGTGGTTTCTGAAGAACACTCAAAAACTGAATTGGAAATGGGTGTGGGTATTTAACACAACATTGAGCAACATTTTTCAGTATTAAAATAAAAGAATTTTATTAAAAATGTCAACACTTTTCTAATTCATTTTTGAGTATTTTTCAAAAAGCATAGTGATCTCTTGGAATTCTTACTTTTGAAAAAAGTAATTTATAGGCTATTATAATATTTTATGTGCGATGATGTGTCCGGTTATTTTAGCAAATATATTCATTTTATACATCATTCGATTTTCTTCAGCGGGAGTGCTTCTCAAATCACTTGTGCAGGTTTTTTAAAACTTCGTTAATAATTAATGAGAAATATTGTTTTTTTATCAGCTCTTAACAGATAAAATAATTCATGCCTATTGACATCTTCATTAATACCCACACCCACACCCACTCCTCAAGTTCGAAACTTTTTCGGAGAGATCTGAGTTAATAACTTACATGAGCTTGTTTCATTCCTTGAATTTCACAATCATTTTTAACAGCTTTTAATTCATAAACAATATCATCTTGTAGAACTAATTGTTTCTTGAAAAATGAAAAAGAAAACTAATAAATTCTTTGTAATTAAATAAACAAACCTTTGGTATAATTGTTTCAACAGCATGATTACATGATGATGAAGTCTAGAAATATTTTAATATAAATTTAGTAATATAACAAAATTAAAATTACACAAAATTTATCGGATGATTGTTGAGAATGAACATGTTTTTTTAATTGTTCATAAAATGAATCATAAGAATAAATTGATATATTTTCATTTTCAAGATCTTTCTTTAATGTATCAGATAATTTATTTAAATCAACAAATAATCTAAATTAAATTTCAATAAAATAAAATATTTCAAATAAAACAAAACTAACTTTATCGAATCAAATGAAACAATACTAAATGAAAGAAAAACAGGATTACATGGAATATCAGCACCACGTAAATTGAATAACCCTTCAAAAACAAAACAACAAATAAAAATTTATGAAGAAAAATCTATTATTTACAAGCAACATCATCTGTTCTATGTACAATTAAATGATTAACTTGATATTCACTCATTTTTGAACGAACTTTTGATAATTTTTCACTAATTGAAGCACCTTGAAAAAAAAACTAAAGATTAATTTTGTTAATCAAAAAAAAAGAATCAAACCAGCAAATTCAAGTTCATGTTTCCAAATGGGATTATTGGGTAATTCTGGTCTTTGTTTATCCCATAAAATATCAATTAAATTAGTATGAATTGGTACAAGTTGTTTATCGGATTGTTCAAATGTTTTTTCCCATTCTTGCCATTCATTTATTGAAATTAATTGAGGATCACAACCAATAAAAGAATTTTTTTCTAAATTCTATTTTCAATTCTTTTAACTTTGTTTTCAGTTCAAAAAGAAAAATCTTTACTCTTGAAAGCCACTTTGTAATCGAAAGAACATCTTTTGTTCCATCTCGCATTAATTTCCAACATGTTGAATCTAATTCATTTTCAGCTTGAAGAAAATAACGACCATCTGTCCATAAAAGAGCTTCTTTATCTGTTATCACAGCTGTACCTATTTTAAATAAAAATATTTTCTTAAGAACAAAATTAATTAAATCAAACCATTCGATCCAGTAAATTGTGAAATAAATTCTCTTCGTTTAAATCGATCAGCAACATATTCATTCTACAAAATTCAATGAAATAAATCTATGGAAGGGTAGTTGAAAAGTACTTACTCTATGTGGATCAGTTGTTGGAATAATATAAGCATGAATAATATCATTAAAATATTGTTTCGATTTCATTAATTGTCGAAGATTATTTAATAATATTGATGATGGTGAAGCCATTTCTTTGTTTTTTCTTTTAAAGAAAAAAACAAAAAAAAACAAATCTAAAAAAAAGAAAAATTGTTAAATTAAATTATCATCATCTTCAGATATATCAAAAGTATTCGAAGGTGAATTTCTTTGTAAAATTTTTTGTAAATGATTTAATTTCATATGTAATTCAATAACACGTTGACGTTTAGTTAAAAATCCTTCATTATTTTCACATTTGAAAAATTCATCAACGATTTTTGACGCTTTTTCACTATTCTAAATGAAAAAAACAAAATCTTTATTTATTTATTTATTTATTTCAAATATCACAAACTTGTTCATCATTAAATTGTTGTTGAAGAGAAATAAATCTCTCAGAAACATTTTTAAGATAATCTATTAAACCATTATATTCAGGTACAAGACGAGTATATTCTTTTTCAGCTTCATCTATATCATCTTCATCGATTAAATCCATTTCATTTGTTAATCTATTTTAAATTATTTTTATTTTAAAAATTGTTTTTTATTTTATTTTAATTCAACATACAGTTCATTAGGTTTTTCAGTTTGAGATATTGCATTGTTTAATTTATCCAACATGTCTGATACTAAAATAAAACAATATTTTCATTAATACCCTGTTTATTTCACGAACATGTAGATTTTACTAATATTAAATTAATGAATAAAAAAACATCGTGAGCATTTGCATAGTTCTAAGTGTGGCGATTTCTTGGCTGGAGTGTAATATTGATTATGTGTTTTGTTAAGAAATCGTGTATCTTACTAAAGATTCCTCGTCTCTTATATAGAACTCGAAATATTCAGTATCCTATTAGAAAAAACTGCCACATCATAAGAATGTAATCACCTGGCACGGAAGTGACACATCATACGAATGTAGTCACCTGTTACGAAAGTGACACATCATACACAGGTCATCGTTTGAATTCGCACAATGTTCTCATTTTCTTTTTTCTTTTCATAATTTTTCAATTTTACATTACAGTTTAGAAAAATCTTCATCAATATTTAAGCAGGAGCGCAGCGATTGGGGGGCGCGTGGGGCGTAACGGCCCCCTGCTTTGAGAAACTTTTTGTTTTTTTTATTCGAAAAAATTTTAAAAATCGAAAAAAAATTTTTTTTTGCCGAATTTAAACAAAAACTTGTGCTGCCCCCTTGCCCTACGCCCCTGTATTTAAGTATTTATTTTTTTAGCAAGGATTGCGAGATGGATACAAACTATCTTGAAATTCTCAAATGAGTAGTTGTTCAATCTACAATAGGATTTCAATGTATTGATACTTAATTAAAGTCTTGTTACCTATGTATTTCATATTATTGATTCATTTTTAAGTAACGAGTTTTTATTATTCGTTCAACAAACTTCCGATAAAATAGTGTTTGAGAATATATTTCGTCATTAGATAAAAATGTTCAAAAACTGATTGAATCTATTAATAATACAATATGATACTATTCGATCATGTAACGATGTTTGTCCCCATCTCATTTAATGTATTGCTCTTATCTTTTTGTCCTTATTTTATACATCATATAGTAATTTATCCTTACTATCCCTTCCTTTCATTATATCTAATGGACGAGTTATAAAAGCGTATACTTTGGATGAAAGTGATTCAATTCTAGATAAGAGGAAATATAATAAAAAATAATAACATTAACACTAACATTTCTTCTATGAGAAGACATCATAGATCGATAATGATGAACTTAATTAAGAAATAAAATTTAATAGTCTGGGTATATTTATTGTTTTCAACTAATATCGAATAGACAGATTAAGACTAACAAATTTAAATGACAATCTTACAACAGAAATTAAAACTCATTATTTCGAACTATGATCATGTTTAATTTTGAATTTGTATATGTCATATATGACTTAATTAAATAACAATTGGGAAAAATATTTTCAAACGCCTAAATGGGAATCGCTAGTATAATTCATTCACGCTAATTATAAAAACATAAGAAAATATCTTAATAATATTTTATATGCAAAATTTGTCGTAGATTAAAAATTACAATATCTGTGCTCGAAAATCTATTCTGTAATGATAGGAGAGCGTATTCATAGTCTTCAGAAATCTATATAACAATGATTATAATTGAAAGTAACAAAATATTTAATGCTAATATATATTTAGTTTAAATTGATCAGAAAAAAACAAATTTAATGAAGATTCGCTGACATCTACCAAAATTAATAATAATTTATCTAAACTTTACAATTCGAAATTGATTTTTTTAATTCTAATGAACTATGAAAATTTTTCGAATCTTTTCTTTTTTTCTATTTCAAAGATGAGAATTGTTATGAAAATCTAATTTATCTTTTTCGTATATATTTTCTAATAATAACTTACATTGTTGCATTCGTTCGTCACTCAATGGATTTTGTGTTGATGTTGTTGTTGTTTCTTCATTATCTAATTGATTTCGTTCCTCATTTATTCCTGAACGATTTAGTGTACTAATTAATGATGAATTCGCTTTTACTGTTGTCGTTGTTGCTGTTGTCGTTGTTGTAGAAGTTGCATTTGATATTTGACCTTTTGAACTTGAATTTTGTATTGGTAAAGATAATCGATTTGCATTTGATGATACAGATGGAATCTATTTATAAAATAATTTATCTTTAACTTTTTTAATCGTAAAAGATTTTTATTTTCAATTAATTTAACTAATAAAATTAATCGATTGATCTTAAATTAGATTTTTTACTATATCATAAATTATGAAGTTTAACAAAGAAATAAAATGTTTTTTTAACTTTGTCGTTACATATTTTGAGTTATATATAGAAAAAACGATATGACTTAATGATATCTTTATAATCTTATCTAACTTTTTTTGTTTTGGTAATTCTATCATATAAATATTATTCGAGAATTAACTAAATTCTGGTATTAGAAAAATATAAAATTTCTTCGAAAAAAAGTGACTAACATCATTAGTTGTTTTGTTAATTGTTGGTCTAGCTGCATTAGCTTGCTGTTCTTTTATTTTTCTAAAATAAAATTAATATAAAAATTTTAAAACGAAAAAAAGATAAATAAATAACAGACTTTCTAACCATTGATGCTTCTCCTTTTGGATAAAAAGGCCAATCATAATTAACTTCTCCACTTGTTAAAATACTTTTTAAAAGAAAGTATTCTCCACTTTTTGATTGTGTTGATATTGATGATAATAATGTATCAAGTTGTTCTTTTTCATCATCACGCATTCCACCTTCTATATTTCAATTTTAAAATAAATTAACAAATTTTATTCAAAATATTCTATAGATGTTCTTGAGAGTGGCTTGGGCGTGTGTGTGTGAATGTGAGATAAAGATGTGGCTCTCACCCACCCTTTCGTCGAACTCACGTAAATTTTCGAAGAAAAGCATGAATGTAACTTTTAAGTTCAGCGTCAAAGGTTATTTGGTATAAATCAAAGCAGTCACTCATTTCGAACTATTCTAATGGTTTGAAATAGTTGAAAGTGAATAAAAATAGCTCAGACTATCTTAAAATTGTTGGATATAGACAAGAATGGTCTAAATGAGGCTGTAGGCATGAGTGACAGGTTAATGTATCATACATAAGTACTCATCCACCCTTCAGAAAAAATCCTGATCATAAATTTTCAGTTCAAGTTTGCTAGTTGACACATCCTTGAAAAGCTCTTATGCACTACACCGAAACATTATAGCGTAGTAAATCCTTTATGTCACCTGTGAAGAGGTTCTAATGTCAATAAAAACGTTTTCTCTCAGAAATAAGAAAAGATCATGGACTTAAAGGTTATCCGATATCTTTTACATTTTTAGTTTCAACGGATTACGCTGACAAGCTTTTTGTTAATATTTCTATTATTAAATATTTATACTTTGGAGGTTACTAGAGAGTAATGAATTTAATATATAAATAAATTCTATCAAGTAAAAATTAATGATAAATTTCAACTAACCACTTTTTAATCGAGCAAGAAGATCTGGTTTTTTATACGTTCTCGCAGCTAATAAATGAATAAGTCGTTCTCTTTAAGAATAAATAAAAATATTATTTAATAAATAAAAAGAAAAAGAAAAAACCTTAATGGTCTTTCTGAAGGTGATGATTGAGTATTTGTTGTTGGACTAAGACGTTCTTCTTGATTTGTTACAATTCGTTGTTTTGTTTTATTTAATGTTGGCATTGATGTACGTTGGTTTGATGATTTATGTTTTTTTTCTAAAATTGTTTTTGAGCTTTCACCAATTTCTTTTGTTCTAATTTAAAATTATATTAAACAAATGATTAATTTCTTTATTAAACAAACTGTTTTTTTGTTAATTCTTCAGTTTTTTGAAATTCTGTAACTTTTGTTTTTGTCATACTATAAACATCTTCTTGTGCATGAATATTAATTCGTTGTTCAATAAGACCACAGCTCTCAAGTTGACTAAATTTATTTGAAAAAATAAATAAGTAAATAAAATAAAAATATTCCTCTGTAAATTACTCTCGATTAATTTGTTTGATACATTGAAATACTTCAGGTGTTTTATTTTCTGGTGATATTTGAAATGAATATGTTTTTCTTTCATTATTATTTATTGGTATTGAAATTTCCTTTGTTAAAGAAAGAAAAGAAAAAAGATTTTTAAAATAATAAATAAAATAAAATAAAATCTTACTCCTCCGTTAAGATTAAATTTAATATTAGATAAATTTTGTTTTTTATTTTGTTTCATATATGTTTCAATTGCTTTCATACATGAATCAGTTAATTTAACAAATATATGAAGTTTTCCATCATGATTTGATGCAGCATCTTCATTTAATCGAAATCTATGATTTCCAGGAAGATTTCTATCCATTTTAATTTTTATCTAATATAAAAAATAAATTCAATTTTTTATTTATATTTTATTGAAATTAACAATTTATATTCAATAAGAATATTTCTTTATATAAGAATTTTATTATCAATGAAATGATAAAATAAAAGATCATTGTAAAATAAAGTGAAACTAGTTGAAAAAAATCATTAATTCTATTGGATACTTTCTTCTCCAATAGATATAATTCTATTTAAAAATCGTCAATAAAGAGGATTATTTTAAAATATTTTTTTTCAACATGCATAGATTTTATTAACTACTCTATAAAAAGACATCACATTTTCTGTTCAAATTAATTTATTAAAAAAATAAAATACACTTTTCTAATTTATACAATTAAAAATAAGTGTTGAAATAAATCTTCTATAAATAGAAATTGATAGGTAACAATTGTATAAACATAAATGAATTAGAGTAAAATATAAAATAGTCTTTTTCGTAATAGAGTTTTAAGGTGATTTATATAACACGACTGGATTTCCAAAGCAGCCGAGTAGATACATTATTCTAATGATATAAATAATCTACAAGACTGATAAACATCATTTGATTTAGCAACACTTTTAAGCTTTTTTATGTGGAACTGAATGAACAAAGAAGAGATAATGCAATATCACAATGTTTTTTAAAAAATCTGATGGTCAAAAGTTTTATTTGGATGTGATTGAGATATTTTTCTTCAAGTTAGTCAACGATTTCGAGTTATGAAAAAATTAATTTTAAATAATTGGAAATCGTATAATGTTAATATTCATATTGATTATATATCTTTACATGAATGCATCTTTTTGAAAATCTATAGTTTACTTTATATTAAGATGATGAATTTCTTTTTATAGGAAAATAAATCAATTATGATATCAATAAAATTATAAATACAGGACTGATAAAAAGTATTCGTTCTCATCCGATCCTAGTCTCTATATGAGCTATAAATCTGAATATTAGTATGCACATAGTTCTCAATGAATGCTAGTCAGTGATACAATTCTCACTCTGATTACATGTGTTATCTTGCCATTGTAGAACTCATAACTCTGGAACGAAAAGACATTATCAACTACAGTTTGTCTCATATTGTAGTTCTACACTTTGACTATCTGTAGTAAAATATTCATTAAAATTCAATGAGCTACTGTAAAACTGAAAGTATTTTGCTGAAAGTGTCGATGTACAAAAGAACCCGACCTGAGCCATTGTGTACTTTATAATTCAGCTGATATACTTGAAAATTATGTCAGATGTTCGACTAGTGTTTTCCTTTATTTCTTAAAATTTACAACAGTTTATCATGTACTAAATATAAATGGCACTATGGTCAATATGGAGACATTTTCATAGCTTCAGAGATTTGCATACTGAAATAAATGAGCTCATCTTTTCAGCACATAACTAGCATCCATAGGGGTATGTATCTGTCGAAAAATAGTTCCAGAAATCAAGTGTGGGTGTTGGTATATCTATCTTCTCTTAATTCACCTACACCCAGACCTTCAAAAAATTCTATGTACTTTATAGCAGTCATTTACTCTTTTCTTTCTCCATTTATCTTTACTGCTTTTCCTGATGGATCTATCACATGTATTTTCTCTGCTGACATAAAGCAGCTAATTTAATTGTTTTTGTTGCAATGTATTAATCGTCACTTATCCAGACCAACGTTTTCGTCCGCAAATGCATACCAAAATCAATTGTTCTCTTTCATATTTGAGTTTAATCCTCAGGACGATGACTCCTGAAGCCGTATTCCGTGAATTTTTGACTAAGATCCGTGGGAAACATACCGTTTCTGGCTGAAACTAGCAAGGGAATATCACAGATTCGGCGGCCGTTTCCGGACGGGATTATTCGACCTGGATTAATTTGAACCAAACAGAAGAATACAAAAAATATGAGGTAAAGATTATATATATAAAGAGTTACTCGAAGTGCAACAGTATCATTTTTTTTCGTGTTATTAATTTTTTCAGCGATGACTATTGATGAAGTGAGTTCTTATTCAGATGAGGCTCTTTTAAATGCTTAAGAAATACCAGAAAAATACTCTAACACTAGAATTTATTATTGAATTTTGCATTTATTTTTTCATAAGGTAGTAGTGATAGAATATTCTAGTATGTTGTTAAAGAAACTTTCGGATTAATTGTTTGTAAATATTTTGAAATCAATAAAACTACTCATGCTTTGACCGATCTCTGAAAAGTTGTATCTTAATTTGCTTTCTTTCATTTCAGCTTGAAGAAATAGTTACGTTGATTGACGAAATTGATGCTTTTAAGAATCGGTTATTAGAAAAAAGTAGAAACAATGAAATCATTACAAGTGTTGATCGTATTAACTTTGAAAGTAACATTATCACTCGTCCACTCTTGGTACAAGAGCAAAAAAGACAAAGAACAGGGTAGTAAATATGGCGAATCGACGATGAAATTTTCAAAAAAGCAGTTTTTTTCCTTTTAGAGCGTAACCAACGTATACAATCATCTCGATAATAATCATTTATCATGAATAAAAATAAATAGCTCAAGTTGATATTCAAGATTACTCTCTTGATGCTCATTTCTTTTGTTTCAATCTGACTCTATTATTCATATTGTTATTCTTTCTGTTTCATTTATGATTATTTTTTTGAATAAATATATGATCATCAGTGGACAACTACACTAATGACATATAAAAAGATCTTTATTAATAGATTTTCACGAATAAAATGTGCAAAAGATATTCGTGACTATTGAGAGTTTATTTATATTCTAAAGTATTTTTCAACGCTTGGTCATTCTAATAATATGTCACCCGATTTAAAACAGTTTTTTTCAATATTGTCGCTTGTTCATTATTTAAAGGTAATAGTCGAAGTTATTGCCCTAAATGCGTTGGATCTCGATGATATCATGTTTGTTCAAGTAAATGAAGATTAAATTCATCAATTAAGGAAAGAATTCGTTTTTGATTTGGTTCAATTAATTGTCTTTTTTTATCAAATACTTTTTCACATTATACGGTTCTACCAGTACGAGGTCTACTTCGATTATGAGGCATCGAATTGATTTCGACATAAGATATTTTGCAGCGGAAAAATAGGCAAAACTAGCGCTAATAATAACAACATCAATAAAATCAATTTTACTCATTTATATGTTTTTGGAAGAAAAGTAATATGAATGAATATATTTTTATCAAATGAAAATAATGTTTTCGCAACAATTGAGATATTCAAAATTTTTCATCGAATATTATCAACATATTCATTTTGTAGTTCGAAGTTTTGTAAAAACAAGTACTTAGATAAAAAACAAATTTTCAATCAATAAAATTTCTATATGAACTATAATATTGAATAATTCATATTGAACATATTCTCATTTTCTTTCTTTGAAAGTATTTGATGACTACACTAAATAAAACTCAACTTTTCTGGGTCGAACTCTTATCTTTGGTAATAAAAATATTATCTGTACTCTTAATTGATAATTTAAGTATTGGAAATATTGTATTAATTATGAGTCAAATAATTTAGTTCAAAATCGATGTATATGTTTCCATCTCATTGAATAATCATTTACCTGCTTTGCAAATAACTCTTAGATTTCAAAGTCTTTGATTAAAAATATGACATAACAAAACAATGACGTACCAAAAAGAAAGAAAAGGAAAAGTAGGAGAGTTCTATTGTCCGAAAAGTCTGTGCAACTATATCGAAAAAGTATGTTTGCGGTATTTTGCTTACACCATCGTGTGGAAAGTGTCGAGACATACACAAATATTGAAAATAAATACGTATCACATATTGGATATTTCTTGACATGACTTATAGGATTTTTCCAACTTTTCATCGTAACCTGTATGAGGGATTTTATAAATATATGTCCATATATCTATCTTGTTTTTTCTACAGTTTTCATAACCGCATTAATTTATCTATCAGATATGTCGAACATTGAGTATTGAGCAGTCATTAAAATTTTTAGTCGAAAAGGACTAGATACTGTAGAAAATACTAAGGAGCTGGAAGATGTTTTATCAGGATTGTGCTCCAGCATATCGTACTGTTACAAAGTGAGTGACCGAATTCAAGGATTCGACACGTGGTTTTGAAGATGCTTCGAGAAGTGGCCATCCGGCAACAACAACTAACGAAGAAAACATTGAATGATATATATATAGAAAATCATCGAGATACATATTTTTAATTCAAATGATTTTTCGTATTTCTTTTATTTTATTTTGTCAAAAATAAATGAACATTTGATAAAAAGAAAAAGATCTATTCTATCAGTCTTTCCAATCTTAAATAGAAAACTGAAGATTCATTTAAATTTCTGTGTGTTCTTCTTCTTATCCGATATGATCGCTCTTTATTCAATATTAAAATAAAAAAATGAAGTTGTGTTAGTGTATTTCTGTATGTATGATAAGAGTTTTGCTGACTGGATTTATTTTTCCATACAATTATATCGAATATGTTAAAACTTTTATTATATACGTATAAAGAAAACTGACAATAATCATATGCAAAATAATATATGAATTATGCAATCAATGAAAATATTCACATATGTAAGTGAGAAATAGATTAAACGGATATAATATTAAGAAAAACTAATTCGTCGCAGAAACGATAAATTTAAAATCTAGTAACAAAAAATCTAAAGGATTGATTGCTTACCATTGGATAAATGTTAATCGATTGATATTATAATTTCTATTCAAGGAATAAGCCTCACAACATATAAGAAGATTTTTTATTAAATAAGTGAAGCTAAAATCAGATTAGAAGACTCATCCATTATGTTAAATGGGTATTTTAAAGGAAGCAAACGAGTTTAATTGAAAAAAAGGAGAAGAGAATCGTTTGTTATATATATGTACTGATAATTTTTTAGTATTGTATAGTGACATCTAACGATGTTTGAATATTAAAAAAAACAAGGTTTGATAAGTATAATATTAATTTGTTTAATGGATTGATAATCTGTCGAAGTATATACTCAATATGTTTAGTGAAGTGATGAGACACAAAACTAGTACACTTGAATATTTTTTTTTCTTTATTTGTCTAGACAAATAAGTTAAGATAACATTGAATATATATATTCTCACTTTCTTTTACAAAATAATGATGAGAAAAACAACATAAATCTATTCCCAAATGAAATATTCAATTGACTTTTATTTTTCTATAAAAAAAAAAGAGAAGTCGAATGTCAATGTTAAGAATAAAATCTATTCACATATGTGATTGGTTTATCTCTTTTATTCTATATTTCTATCAACAAGTCTGATGAATAACAATATTCTCTAATCTTTCAAGATGATCATTGATCTTCAAATGTGTCAATCATTCTCTTTCTTTATATCAATAAAACAAAAAGAAACAGATGAGAAGAATTTTGTTTATATTCATCTTAACTATATGTTTATATTTAAAGAAATAAAACAGAACACTTTCTTTTTTTTTCTTCATAAAGGGAATATTCTATTATTTAATTATATCAATATTTAACATCTGTTTTTCTAAAATAATCAAAAAAGATTTTTTTAAAAAATCAAACAGATGATTATTTAAATAAGTTTTCTTTTATTAATTATTTCTTTTTATGTCTAAAAGGTTTGACACTCGTTGTCTAATGTATGATATCTACATAAAAAGGACGACACCTGTGAGATGGAACAAACGTTTCTTTTATTCTTTGACAGGTCACGCGAACAACAAAGATTACATCACGATATACTAAAGTTAATTCATCTCAATTGACTTTTAGTTTTTAATTTGATCTGATCATCAAAAAAGAAAGAAGAAGAAAAAAAATGAGAGGAAATGATAAGGAAAAAGATTGACTTTTGAGAAAAAAAAGAAAGAAAAGGTGATAATCATCGATTTTCACGCTTTTCACCATCTGCCTTTATCATCTCAATTTCCTTCATTGATAAAGAAATATTTATTCATATCAGATTAATTATTCATTCAACACAACGAAATCAATTCTTATTTTAATTAATTTCATTAAATAAAGATTGATTAATTAATATTGGGAGTTTCTCTTTTTATGTCGAATAAAGAAAAGAAAAAAAAAGTGGTTTGATAGAATAGAATAAAGACACAAAAAAAAGATACAACATAAAGAATACATATATAAAGATAAGTTGATGTTCACTGTTATGACCGGCGATTGTTAAATAATGATTTTTGAATTATTTATTTCTTTAGTTAGTTATTATTTGGAATGAGAATATCTGACACTCGTAAATGAGTGATTAAACAATCATTTGAAAGGTTTAAATGCACCAACTAATGTTTGACCTTTTTCTAAAAAAGTAAAAAAATATTTTAGAAATCAAAAGAAACAAAAAATATAAACCTTGTGATGATGTTGGAGATGAACATGATGATGATGATGAGATTGAAGACGATCTTCTTTGTTCTTCTTGTTTTTGATGATTTAATTGATTGATTTTATTATTATGATTTTTTTCTGCCATATCTGCAAGTGACCAAATTCCACAACGTTTTTTTCTTTCTAACATTTGATTGTCATTTAATTTTCTCTTTTGATTTGTTTCTTCTAAAGAAAAGAAAAGTAAAATATTTTATTTTCTATGAAATGAAAGCAAACAAACCTGTTTGTAAATTTTGTTGTTGAATTTGATGATGTTGAAGTATTGTTAATGGAGGTGATAAATAATGAAAAGATGTTTGTGTTGTTGATGATGACGATGGAATTTGATTTGTTTGTATTAATGGAGAATTTGATTCATCATCAGATTCTGAACTATTCGATTCTCCACCTTGTCTATCATCATCATCATCGTCATTTGTTCTATAAACAAAAGATGAAAATAAAGCCAATAAAGAAAATATCGAACCTATTTCTTGGTGACCATGTCATTTTATTTTCTTTTTTTAATCTTCGACGTGCATTAGCAAACCAAGTTGAAACTTGTGTTAATGTCATTTTAGTCATAATAGCTAAATAAACTTTTTCTGATTTGGTTGGATAAGGATTTTTTCTATGTTCATATAACCATGCTTTTAATGTTGCAGTTGTTTCTCGTGTTGCATTTTTTCTTCTTCCAGCTAAATCCATGTGAGGAGAATAACTAAAAAGATATATATACTCAAATTCTAATGTGTCTCATTGGAAAATGATCTTCATTGAGATCATTTTCTATGCATCAGTTAAAAAAAGAAATAGATATGCATCGTTTACAGACTATAACATTCACTTCATTAGACTTCAGGCTATTCTTCTTCGTCTTCTCTTTTCTCTAAGTGAATCCATTTATTAACTCATTCCCAAAAAAAAAAAAAAGAAAGGCCGAATCTATTTCAAGTGATTCTTTTTATTTAAATAAAGAATAAAAGCAGATGGAAACACAAAAAGAAAAGAAGGAGATAAAAACTTTCTTTTAGAAAATCTAATTGATAAATTATTCGTATTGACTAGATTATTAGAATATCAAATAACTTACCCAGCTGCATATGGACTATAACCAACTAAAGCAACAGCTGTTGCTGCATCATATACATATGGATTTGAATAAGGATTACGCCATGGATTAGCATTTACTAAACTATTACATTCTTGACTCATCCCAACAACATTTATATTTGAATCCTTTAAATTTTTTATTAAAAATAAAAATTAGATTAATTCAGGTTTTTTTACTTTAATCGATGAATATGGATTTGAATCTGAAGGATTAAGACCAGCAATCCTATTTAATAATAATAATAATAATAACAGTTATTTTGTTTATAATAGAAATTCAACTTACATGATGAAAATATTATTATTATTATTATTTGAAAAAAAACCGAAGAAAGAAATAATCTGAAGTAAAGAAAAGAAAATACAGAGAAATTAGTTTGATATGCAAACATGATTTTGCAAGTGTTTCGACAAGAATGCGAACAGTCGTAGTAGTCGTCTTTCTTTTTCTTTCCTAGTTACCAATGTTAATATATTGTTAAACGAATCGGCATTAGAAGAAAACGGGAAAGAGAGATCGACAGAGAGAGCGGGAGAGACAGGGAGAGACATACACATTTACAGAGAGAAAAAACACGTTCGTCTGTTAGTTTGTCTGACACGATCGTTACTCTCTTCTATCCGCTATTTGTCGATGAATTCAAGAAGAAAAAAATCCGATTGGTTGACAAGTCGTGTGCCACTGCAACGAGACACGATGTTTTACATTCATGTTCGAGTAGCTTGTTAACAACGCTAACGGATAGAAGACAGAACAACTAAAATATTCTTTTCCTCATTGGATAAAGAAAAAGAAAAAAAAAAGACGCCAACACCATAAATACATTTATTACCAAAGAAAAAGAAAAAGAAAAAGAAGGAGAAGAAGAAGAAAAGAAAAGAAACAAAAATATATATTTCTAAAGAAGGGCAAACACTACTCACAAAGAATACTGCCCTAAGTAAATGATGGAGTCATTGACGAAGAATCTTCATCTCCGTTAAATCAACATAAACATAATGATGTCAATGGATTCTTTTTTTTTTTGAATAAGTAAACATAAATGTTATATGTCAATGAATATCGATTCAATTATTCACTTAATAAAAAACAAAACAAAAAAAAAAGAAACGAAACGTTTTCTCTTCTATTAATTGTATTTACTTTTGAAATAATATTTATATAAAAATAAAGAAACATAAATAAAACTGATGTAATAGGTAAAACAAATCGAATAGTGAAATTATTTTCCGTTCTACGTGTAATTATCAGAATAAAAAATGATTGATGAGACAAGCAATGTGCATTTTCTTCCGGTAGTTTAACATTGTGGAATTGCTTATCTTGTTTTACATAATCATTTCACAAGAGATAAGTACCTTTCAACACTTTCACAAATGCCGGAAACTTATTTTCTATTGTTAATGAAATAGATTTTTCTATCGAAAAAAAAAAAAAGTTGACCAAACAATAATTGACACTTGTGTGTTGATTGAATTGTTCATATTGATATTTGATGAGAATCAAAGAAATCGAAGCGCTATTCATAGTACTTAAAAAAGAGTTTGTTCAAGTGAATAAGACTTTCTTCTTAATAAGATCATATACGTATGAATAAAAATGCAGACATTGATCTACTCCAAAGTCAATAAAGCGAAATATTTCTCGTATAGAAATGTCTCAGTTAGTTCCGGAAGAAATCCAATAGAATGGAATGCCATGCCGGACGAGAAGTGGACGCATGAACAAATTAACTAAAGAGTGTCAGCGCATGATCGGGCTTTTCCGTTCATCTTCGATTTTTTTCTATCAGATTTCCTTTGACCTCTATTCAATAGGAAAATAAAATAAAAACACAATCTCTATAAATAAATAAATACAAAATAATAAACTTCTTCTTCTTTTTTTTATCCAAAATATTTTTTTTGATGATAAATGGAATTAATGAGCACACGCGTTTGATAAAAAAGGGAAAGAGAGAGAGAAAAAAATCTTATCGTATATAATCCCACTTGACGGCACAAAGGTGTTTCGTTTGTGATGATTATTGAGTGTCTATAAACAAAAGCAATGAGAGTCGATTGAGCACTTTCTTTACAATTAGCGTGATAACAATCTATTCATCTCATCTGATCTAAACTAGTCAAATAGAGAATTGTTTCTAGTCGGACGCCGTCTGTCGTTAATAAGCAAAGTGTAGATCAACTTCCGCGCGATCATCATCATCATCATCATCATCTGCGCCATGAAATCTTTGTTCTTATCGTTCTTTTCCCATATGTCACTCTCTACAATCATATAAATAACAAAAGAAAAAGAAACACATATCCGTTGCCGACACTTTTCTTTGCCTTATTTTCTATAATTTATCATAAGAAATAGAAAAAACTGTAACATATTCACATGCTTTTACTCAAACAAACTAATCGATCAGTTGATGACTTGAATAACAAAAATTTCCTTCTTTTTATATGAGTTTCAATTTAACTTAATGATAGACATTTCACAATAATGATAAATGTGTTTTTTCTATCTCTCTCCCTTTCACTTTCACATTCTCAAGTATTTCAATTGAATAATCTGTTAAATCAACAATTGAAGGGATAAGGCGGGAATATTATCATTTATGATAAATTATTGACTAATTATCTTCCACTTTTAATAGAAAACATATGTAAATACATTTTCCATCTTTCACTCATCAACTATTTTTTATCAATAATCTATTATTTACCTTTTCTCATTTCAAAAAACAATAATCATGACTAGACATTATTATTGTTTCCTTATGTAAATATATTACAAATAAAAATATTTTTTTAAAAACAAAAACAAATTAACTTTTCAAACAAAATCTATTAAAATGTTTTTTTTAACAAAATATTTGCTCATTTCTCATTCTCTTCAAAGTATTTTAAACGAATGAAAAACTAAGGATGAGGAGGAGAATTTTGTGATCCTTTAGAATAACTATTTTCGATCGAAAATAATGAGAAAATCTTTAAACGCTCTAAAAAACTGATATGACTGATGAATAAATAGACATTTGAGACCTTCGTAAGTCCCTGTGTAATTATCTGAAACTAAAATATAGGTTTTACACAAGTACAACGATATTCATTTTCGTAGGAGCTACATCAAAAATATTCCTCACTACTCTCGAGTAAATATTCATAAAGAGTAGAGGCGATGTGGACTAATGGTCCACCCCTTACGAACCAAAATCTAGAATACTTGAAAGGGAATGAAAAAAGTAGAAAATAAAATTTATTCTTTATAAATAAAAAAAACAACAATAAGAACAAAAATATTCTTTTTAAAAAATTTCTTTTCTAAAAATTGATCAAATGTTTTATCCCATAAAGATCTTGATGCAATTAAAATCGATTGATCAAAATGTTGTTGAATATAAATTTGTACAATAATTTTATATCTTTGAGAAAATTTTTTAAAAAAATCTTTGATTTGTTCACATAATGCTAAACAATTTAATTTCGATTGAAAATTTTCATAAAAAATATTTTTTGAAAAATATTCATCTAATAAACGATTGAAATATTTCCAATATTCATCAATATATTCAAATATATTTAATGAAAAATTTTCATTGATCTCATTTTTATTATAAATATTTTCTTTTGGGTTTATTGAGCTTATTAATTCATATCGACCAATTAATGTATTTAGATCTAAATAAATTAATTAAGATTTAAACAAATATTTTAAAAATAAAAAAACCATCAGTTTTATTAAGATTTGAATTAAAAATAAAATTTTCTAAATTATTTTCATTCAATTTTCCAATTAATTCATTTGGAATTTTTGGTTTTTGTGGAAATTTTAATAAAGAATTATTTTCAATTGAATGTTTTATTGAATTTTGTTCAACAAGTGATTTTTCAAATTTCAAACGATATTCATCAATTTGTTTTAAAGATTTTTCAATTAAATTCGATAAATTTTCAAAAGATCCACAACGAATTGATTGAAGATGAGTAGGTTTTTTTATTATTCGAGATAAATTTTCATTTGATTCATTTCGAATTTTAAATAAATTATTTATTCTATTTGAAAAGATTTTTGTTGAACCAGAATTATCAATCGATTCTAATTTAAATTAAATATAATTATCTGACTAATAGAATATATTCTATCCAAGATATTCTCTAACGTTGATATGAAAATTCTCTAGAGATATTTCCTATGATGATAAGAATGATTCACATGATTAGACCAATATAGGAATTATCTTATCAGATAAATAATCATAGGACATTCTCTTGAATATGTCTTGAAATCCGGAGAGTAAAAATCCGGAAAATTTCTGGTATTGTTCTAACAGAAGAGATTGATAATATTCTTTCATAAATATTTATGGTTGTCTACGTCAATCATGATTCTCGTCTACCGAGTGCTATTCTATTTTACTGTGCTCTGCACTTCTATTACCAAATATACACAGACGTGCACCTTGAGAATATGGGTGTTGTGTCCATGCTTTATCCACATCCACACCATCTAACTACAGTCAATACTCCTGTCAATAGGAATGTGACAGTTCCAGTTCCAAAAAAACTGAACCTGAGCTTTCACAGTCCTACTTGCCAAACATTTCGCGAGCGATGAGATCGATCGCGATGAGTATCTCGTGGGACTTTCTTTATTGGTGGCTACTAAAAGAAAACCACATCACTTCTCTTCAAATCAAATGGTTTCTCTTCTTTCTTGTACATGGTTCTGTGTTAAATAAACTGTTGAATCCTTTTTCAAAAATTTTCCGGATTTTTTTCTCCGAATTTTTTCCTCCGAATTTTTTTCTCCGGATTTTGGGACAATACCGTTAAATAAACTGTTGAATCTTTTTTTCAAAAAATTTCCGAATTTTTTCTACCGAATTTTTTTCTCCGGATTTTGAGAAAATACGATTCTTTTAATTCGAATAAATGTGCAATACCTTTTTGTTTGTAAATATTATTTTGATATTTAATATATGGAAGAGAATGATTTGTATCTCGTTGAAATGTTATTTGTTTTGATAAAATTTGATGAGAATTCATTTTGAATTATGAAAAAAGAAAAATGGCGCAAATAAAATCTTTATGATTGTAAATCAATTTCGATTTTCTCTTTTAAACTAATTCCTTTTTCTTTTTCATCAGCAACTTTTTCAAGAGTTTGAGCTAATTCTAAACTTTTTCTCATAAAATCTTCAATTATTGTTGATGTTGTTTCATTTGTTAATGAATAATTATTTGGTTTTATTTCAATAATATTTGAATTTGTTTTCTCTTGAAAATCATTTGATTCTTTTCGATAACGATATAATAAATAAAGTGTTATTATTAAGATTATTGAACAAAGAAAAACACATAAACCAATTATTATTCCTTGAAGAATTTTAATATTATTTATTAACATTTTTTTTATTTTTAAAAATTAAGAAAAATTCTATAAGTGAGATTAATAACATATGACAAATAGTTTAACTTATTCACAATTCTTATCTCGCGCAATAATAATATTTTATATTCAATTTTGCAAAAATCTCAATTGTTATTGTCACATGATTAAGTATCTATAGACGATTGTAACTACACGATTATTTTGTGTCTTTTGTTGCATATGTCAAGACATACTTGACAAATCGGATGTAATTAAAGAAAATTTTCTATCCAATCTAGGGAGTATATCTAATATTTTGTTTTTGTTTCAATAATTTGTATGAAAGAAAACTTTAATACGAATGAAATTTCCTTCTAGTAAGAATCATTTTTCTATGTTTATTTCAACTTGATGTTTATTATTGCAATTTTTCTAAAACAAATAAAATATCGTTCGTAAATATTTTAATATGAATAGACTATTTTAATTAATATTCAATTGTTAGAATAGATCGAACATTTTTATAGAAAAATTTCGAATTAATTTTTTCATATATCGATTTTACAAAGAAAATATTCTCCGCAAATAAAGTATTAAATTGGTCCAAGGTCATATCCCGCTTTTTTTCAATATTGTGCTTTAAAAGAGACATTTTTAAATCTAATCGAATATTCTCCTGATAAATTAAAACTAAAAAAATAATGTTTTTTTCTAAAAATAATCTTACGAAAAAAAACTGATTAACTACTTAATGTTTAATAAGAAATGTAAAGATTAAATTTGACCTTCGTATATTTTCCAAATAATAGATGACATATCTGTCTAAATAGAAAAAAATGTATCTGTCATAGATGTATTTTTATAAAAAGAAACGACATAAACAAGAAAATAAAAGTCACGATTAGTTTTGCTGATATAATCATTCAAGCATAACCGAGATTCTTTGTTTACATTTTTTTTCTTTGCTCGTTTCTAAATGTTATAGGTATACTATTTAATATAAATAAATATTCATCAAAGAGATATTTTATCTTTTAACAATAATAATATCCTTGGGAATAATTAGACAATATAAATATATATATGAAATAAGATTTTATTTAAATAAAATTGATTCAAAACTAAGAAGTAAATATGTTTTTGTAAATGTTCTTGATCAATATAATCTAATACAATAGAACATGTGTATGAATAGATACCTATTGATTTGAAGGTAAAACATAAAACATTCTTTTGTTGATTAACAATAATGAAAGAATGTATATCTACGATGAATCTATGTGGGTGAGCAAAAAAAATGTATTCGACTTTTTACGTTTCTTTTTCTACCTCCACATATTGGTTGATGTAAAATATTAATATTGATATAATACGTAGGTGCGTCCTACTCATTTGTAATATCGATTAAGCATAGTATTTAAACGAAAGTTATTTGTTTAGTTCGATTAACTGATACAAAATTATGTCATTTTCATTGAAAAGGGAAAAAATTTTGTCAAATAATTGTATTTATTATGGACCTATACGTTTTTATGGTCGACGAAGAAAAGCACCAACATTATCAACAGGTCGTCGATCGAAATTTGAAGAAGTTAATGAAGAAGAAGAAATACGACGAAATAAACGTCGAGAAAAAAATCGTTTATTATCAAAAAGACTTAAAGAAAAAAGAGAAAAGATTTTAAATGAACTTATTCAACAAATAAATCAACTTGAAGAAAAACAATTTTATTTACAAAATACAATTGAACAACTTAATTCGCATCGAAATCAATTAATTAATAAATTAGCAAATTCAAATATAGATCCATTATTAAATTTAATTTATCAAAATGAAGTTCCTCTCTTTTTTCAACAAGTTGATGATTTACAATTTGATACCGATTCTTTAATTATCACTTTTACAGATGAACGATCATCTTTAGATGAATTTATTTACAATTGTGATCAAGAATAATTTATTTATTTTGAGTGAAACATCAAGAGAATGAATTTGTTTTTCATTTAGTTTAGTTTTATTTATGTAGAATAAATATATCAATTTTGTTTTTAAAGATTATTATTCAAAATATTATTTAATCATTGGACTTTCAACAAAAAGAAAAATTTAATGAAATCAAGAAATATTCTATTTTACTATTTATATCACAAATTTATCATTAGTATTCAATCAACCGTGAATATTTTTGAAAGTACTCAGAATATTACTGATTCAAATACGAGATTAGATTGAAATTTAAAAAAAAAAAATCTAAGATTGACTTGTTTAGAATTATAAACAAATAAATTCGAGTGTGGATGTGAGACGAGTATAATACCGACACTCATATACTCAATGAAATTTTCAATATCAGTTTTTGTATCTACCTTCGCTACTTATTATAAGAGTATATTATTTCAAAACTGTGACTTACATTGCTACATTTATTTATTTACAATAAAAAACGTTCTGATGTGTATTACATATTAATCGTATAAAGATTGTACTAACAACTTTTCAATCGTTATTAAACTAAGAGCACAACGAAGATATTTTTTTCATCTTCATTCATTTTTTAGTACACCTTCTATAAAAGATGTGAATGCAATGTACTTCATGTGAAATAATGAATATTATCAAAATCGAAATAAATGTATCATTTAAATAATTTCGAATATTATTATTTTAAAATGATTTACTTTGTTTTTTTTTCTATTGAGTTGGTTCATAATAATACTCTTTCTTGGTAGATTTTATTTCTTATCGTGACATTTTAACAACGGTATTGACCTCATCGGATAGTAAACAACATAACTGGATGACTACGACGTGTATGAATAATCAACAAATCCTCTCATGGTTTTTTCGTAGAAGGACAAAAAGAGAGTGATATTGGTAAAAGTAATTAATTGCTTTTTTTCTGCCGTCCTCCTATCAAAAAAGAAAAATATGAGAGAGATAAGATATCTTGAATATATATACGCGTACTAATCATCCTAGCATGTTATATACTTTCTGATGAAAACGAAAAAGAGTATTATTATCAATTAATTTAATATGCCCTTTCTAATACAACGAGGTCAATTTGTTTTCCTATTTAAAATAATCTTTTAATAAAAGTTTTGTATAAATGTGAGAACTAGATTTAGTTTTAATGAAGATTTAATTAGAATCTATCTATCATATCGAAATTATAACTTTCATAAATAAATTCCATTAAAGTTATTTTGTAAGATTTTAAATATTAAAACCATTAATCATTTATTTCAATAACGTTATCAAACGAAATTGTAATAGTATAAAGTAATGGATATTTATTTGATCAACTATATATAGACTAATGTTATAGTATATTTTTGAATATGTACGACATATCTAATTAGATATTTATTCATTTTTTGATACATTGAACTATAATTTTTATTATGCATCTACTTGTTCTTTTTATAACATGAAAAAAAATTAATCTTCTTATTATGAGCTTAATAGATCAATTAACCGAAATTTTACTGTTTATTCAGTCAGATGAAACACAGTCACTTTAATATACTTAAAATCATATATGTGGTACAGTATTTAGTAGGAGAAGATAGTAAATTAAAGTTGATTCGGGATAGAACTAATCGGAATGTTTAGTGAATGGTATTATTAATCAACTCATATGAAATTTGTTTTAGAACAATTCTTATTCATGAACAACGATAGTCAATATTAGAAATATCAATCAAAAACTTTCTATTATACTCAAAAGTTTTTTTCTAACCTTCATTATTTTTTTGGAAACAAACAGAAACCATATATTGAGAAACTCTTTAAAATCAAGGAACAGTTTGAAACATTTAATCATTTCTACGATAACATTCTAAAATGTTCCAAATTGGTTCTATTATTTTAAAAAATGGCAAAGAAATTATAATTCCGACATTTAATATTATCATGGTAAGTAATAGACAGAAGTATACTTGTGAACATCGAAATATCTTATTCATATTTTCTAAGACTTTATCGACTACATGCACGTATAATCCATCTGATCTGTTGAATAAAAGTGACCTCTGTTGAAGAATTTTCATTGGGATAAAAACTAAATAATATTAAAGTAAAAAGAATTTTTGTGTATGTATGAATTCATTTAGATTATCAAGTCAAGTGGAACGATGAACAATCTATATCTATTGAATTATAGTCATCATGTTATATATTCGAATTTTCGTTTAATTTCATCATCATTAACACCAGTGAAACCAACGGTAATTTCTCGTATTCGATATGTTCTTAAGCATTATTGGCTTGGATCAAAATTACTTTATAACAACTATAGAGCAATTCAAGGAATTAAAAAAAAGTTTGAATTTCAGTTTTTTTTAAATCAATTTGATTCGTTTTTTTTTATTTGAAATAGAGATGAAAATTCTGTAACACGTATTGATAAATTGTCACAAGAACAATTTCGTTATGATATTCGTGTTGGAATTCCATTTGTTACACTATTTAATATACCAATTCTCGGTTATTTAGCACCACTTATTGCTTTATTTGCTCCAAAATATCTTCCATCAACATTAATTATGCCAACACAACAGGTTACTATATTTAATAAAAATTTCTATGAGTTTTATTTAATTTTCTCAATACATTTAAGATTACATTTTTAAAAGATGATGCAAAAACTTCATCATCTATAATTGATTCATTTATGAAATTTAATAAAACACAATATAATGATGAAACTATTTATGGAATGATACCAGTTATACAATTTATTAATCAAGTAATACAAGCTTTTTTCTATTTTCTTTCCAAATTCTATATTTACATTTAATCTTTTAATGAATTTTATCTTAAATAATAATCGTTAATACATTCTATACAATATTTACAAATTCAAATTCGAATAGAGTTATTTCAGATTGCAAATTGTATCTCGATTGTTTTTAGAAGTGGGATGAGTTAAAAAAAATTGCTGGACAATATACATTCGTTTCGCGACAAAATAGTCGTATTAGACAATAAGTTTAGTATCTCTAAGATATAAAAGAACAGAAATAAATGCCAACTTTTTTGAATAGAATGACAAAGGTTTGGGTCAAAAAAAGTGAGCTCGACGCGTAAACTTGAACTTTCGAGCTCACGACGATTCGAGCTAACTTTTTATGACCCAAGGTTTGATGGAAAAATAATAATTCATTAAAATGAGAACTACTCTAGACTGGCAAAAAGCCCAAACAATTTGCTCATTTCTTATTATGATGTCGAAGGTGGTTATGCTTTCCAGAGATGGGCAACTCCGGAGGTACACCACTCCAACTCCACCCAACTCCACTCCAATTTCCTAAAAATAAACTCCAACTCCAACTCTTTCTAACTCCACTGCGATTTAATAAGTCGATTTTTTATCAATACGATTGTAAAAAAATACAGATTTATCAGGAAACATTTTTATTTGACACCAATAAGTAAAAACATGATTATCAATTTATGTTTTGTCTATAAAACTTTGAGATCTTTATTTCAACAAATGAAGTCAATAGGAGTTAAATCGGAGTTGGAAAAAATCACGAAAACCAACTCCACTCCAACTCCGCCCATTTTTGCAAAACTCTGCTCTAACTCCACTCCAACTCCGACCTGGAGTTGCCCATCTCTGATGCTTTCTGCTGTTAAATATTTCTTGAGAGACAATTGATCTTCGAAATCCCTAATAATTTCTAATCGACTATAATGAAATGAAAATAAATTTGAGAAAATCTTATTGATATTCTTACTTATGAATGATTTTATTTTTCTAGGTCACGACTAGTGATGATCCATACAAAATAATAATATCATCAATTCCTGAATATTCTATATTATTTTCCAAATGTTATCCATTATCATCATTTTCTCGTGAACATTTATTAATTCTTCATAAATCGGTATTACATTCGTCATTTCTTGCTCGTTTTTTCTTATCAAATTATTCGTTAGAAGCTCAATTAGAAATGTGGCAATATAAAACATTGATTGATGATAAACAAATAGGAAATATTGATAAACTTTCTCCATATGAATTAGTTTCATCACTTTATAAACGTGGTCTTTATCTTCATGTAAATGATATGGGAACGATTTTAGAAAATCAACAAAAAAATAATTTAAATAAAACAAATGAAATTATTGAAATAAATCAAAAGATTTTAAATGATTGGAAACAATTATTATATCAATGGATTGATATTCATAAAAAACTTTCCAAATATAATCCAATATCAACAACTTTTCTTCTTCATATTTCACCGTTACTTGTTAAACAATAAAATACCTTTTAGATTATTCATTTCTTTTCTCAAATATTTTAGAAATCATAAATCAATAACATCAAACTATTCCGTATTTTTTACAAATGCTAATGATAATTTTGATAGTGAATGAAATATTCATATCCTTACCATTTTCCAACGATTTCTTGACAAAAACTTTGTATCAAAAAATTCATTTTTTAACAAAATTTAATTCATGATTTGATCATGAAGTTAAACATTTTCTTGTAATGAAATTTGTTCTACTATACAGTCATCTAACACACGAATGTGTTTGTTTTCAATTCTAAATATCGATACACTTGTAGCAAACTACACAACAAAGCAATTTATTGAAAATAAAGTGCATCAATATTTTTTCGATTTATCTGTACTTGTTCTTCTTCAGATGCTTAACAAGGAAAACACGAATGCCTAATTCGAACAATATAGTAAAATATTTCTTTATTTGTTGTAAGGGAACATAATGTATTTTTGTATATATTCATTGATATAATCAATTCACGTACTCTCTGCATAGCCGTTTTCATATCAATATAATTACATAATGATAGATGAATGTTAGTTTTAATCTTTACATTTGTAACAAAACCGTCATGTTACTAAGAAGAATTTTTTTGTAAATAGATTGTAAGAGAGAGCTCAACACTGTCTTAACATATAAAAATCTCTTTATTTAGGAGTATTTTGTTTATTCAGTGCTAATATGGGAAGATTGTTCATTAAAAAAAAAAGAAGTATTTTTCTCTTTCTTGTATTTTACTCCCATTTATAATATATTCTTGACTATATTAATGGTATAAAATTTGTTTTTACTCCTCTTTTTCTTGGTCATTTGATATTATTATATCTCGACTCATCCTGTTATATGTGTAATATGAATATTTTCTTCTACTCAATTGGAAAGACAAGTGGACCAACTGTTTATATATCTTTATTAGCTTTTTTCTTCTTTGATATCATTCATTATCGTAAATCGTATACCTGTTGTACATATACTATTTCTTCTCATATATCTCGCTATACTTTCCATTTGTATCATATTTTCAATTATCCTCTTTAGTCTTCTATTATCGTTTGGATTGGTCTTTTTATTGATCAATCGATATTGATATCAATTGATATGATATTAGCAGAGTTATTGTTGTTACATGTTTTATCTCATTTATTAAAATGAAATTGTATATTTAATTCTAACATCTACCATAAAAGCAAAATCCTAGCTACGCCATTGACTAATAGGCAAAAGTATTACAGTATCCAATCTGGTTATTACCTACATCAAAGACATTGCTTTTTATTTTGCGTTCTTCAAACGACAAGGTTTGCCGTCGGCAATGGAGAAGTATAACGATAAAACATATGACTCTTCTCTCCGATTACTTATTTAGGTATTCAGTATATTTCGTCTCGGTTCAGTGCACTACATGTATGGGATAGGAAAGCAAAGAAGCACATAATCATAAAAAAGAGCACAAGTCAGCAACATAACTATTTAGAACGTGATACATTCATTTGGCTTCTGCGCTTGTGTAATTATCATATGGCTCATATACCATCGATTCGCACTACTCTTGAACGGGCTCGCTTTGCCACGTCCTCCCGTCTAATTGCATGTCTGATCAATGAACATCTAGTTCGAGCCAATGCTGATTCGCCTTATAGTGTTGTTATAAATTCTCTCGATGATGATGTCGATATGGACAATAAACTCTTTCTCTCGCTCATTCATGCGATCCCAGTGGGTTCTCTAACTTCGTTAGATCCCACTGACATAGTGCCTTTCCATATTTTGGACAAAAACGGTAAAGAGCTTCTTTGTCCTGTCGAGATTGCCGATCAATTTTGGGAAGGATGCACGATTGATCTGAAGCAAGAGTTGGCGAGTTCAGTTAGAAAACAAGAATGGATACTTAATCATCTTCCTACAAAAATTCCATCGCTCTTCTCGCCTGCTATCGAGTGGGATCGTTATCTAATCGAAGGTCATCCAACCCACCCAATGCATCGTACACAAATACCATTTGATGGTTTTGAGTCGGTTTTAGCGACGCCCATGGTCAAGTTTATTTCGATTCCTCGCTCGGAACTGGTCATTCACGGCGAATGGGAGACGATTATGAAACATTATCTTCCCTCAGCGCCATCTCCCGACACTCTCATTCTACCCGTTCATGAGTTGCAAGTATCTAACGTACTTTCACGCATTCCATCAGCAACGCTTATTCCAAACTTCGAACGGCAATTCGTTGCTCAATCCTCTATTCGAACAGTCGTACCTCAGCTTGCCTCCGATCTGCCTGGCTTTCTTCTCAAACTGGCGCTGACAATATGCACGACTGGTGCATGGCGAACTATCTCTTATTATTCTGTCTACAATAGTCCTCGTATTACTCCACTCGCAAAATTCATTGCTCCCGAATGTCTTGTCGTGTTGGGTGAAGTAGCATCGATTGGCTCGAATGCCACTGATGAAATGGTAAGCAAACACATTGCTTGTATTATACGTGAAGATGCTGAAGCACTCATGCCCAATGAATCGATTATAGTGGCATAAGCTCTCGTTGAGAAAACGCCTAATGGTGATATGCCTCTTGTTCGAGTCATCTTTCATCTTGATACCGAACAGAAATGTATCGACTTCCTTACGCGATACTCTGAAGTCGCTTGTGCTGCCTTTCTTCCACCCATGCTCAAACATGGATTTTGTTTTGAAGCACATGGACAAAACACACTTGCCAGATTCGATAGACATACAGGACAGCTAATTGGTTTTGCTATAAGAGACTTTGGAGGTATTAGGATCCATCGAGAACAATTCGAAAGTACGACTCCGTTTAAACTTGATGTTTTACCTGGTTCATGCATTGTCACTGATGATATAATGGAAGTCTACATGAAACTATTTCATTGTTTTATTCAGAATCATATGAACCGGCTAGTGCGTGCGTTGGATCTTCATTATTCGCGTAAAGGTTGGACAGTTGTACGTAAAGCTGTTGAGAAATATATAACTGCCACGTCGCCAGCAGCAAATGCGTGGCTAAAGGAAACGGTACCGCTCAAAGCATTTCTCAAAATGAAACTTGCTGATAAATATAGGGATTACAGTTACTGTGAAACACCCAATGTTCTCGCATTAGCTGAGAAGGACGAGGAAAAGTGATTGCATATCACAGTTTTTTTTAATGTATTTGTAGTACACTTGATAAAATCTTTGAATAAAATACAAAGTCAATAATATCATTGTACGAATCAATTGAAACTTCATTCTACCATTTCTATTTTTTGTGTATGCCCTTGTTCTTACTATCCATGGATGGAACAGGTACCGGTTCCATTTCTGCTTGAAAATGGAACTCGGATCATGTAACAAAATAAACAATAACGAATGTTCTACAATCATGTATTGTTTTTAGAAATAATGTATATTTATTATACACATATACAACTTAATATAATAAAAATGTACAGTTTATTACAATGATTCATTTATTAATTAAATTTTTTATATTGGTCAAGTGGTTTTGTAGATGAAAATAATCCTATTATTAGAAAAAGCATACGAATTAGTGTGAGTTAACTTATGGTGATAAGCAAACTATACTTTTTCTAATTAAAATAATATAAAAGATTCTTACCGCCAGTTACTCCCATCCATGTCCAAATTTTATCCTTAAATGTTGTTGTTGTTGTTGTGTGTGAGGCTGTGGGTGTGGGTGGTGGTGGTTGTGGTGATGATGTTGACGCGAAAAGCCTATCATTACGTGCTAAAAACAAAGAGAGCATATGGATTATATAATTTTTTAAGTTGTTTTCTTATACGATCAGAATAAATGAGATCATAAACAACATTATCATTCCAATTCCAAACAAAATTGTCATCTTTATCAAATGGTATACTAAAAGAAAACAATAAAGATTTTCCTGAAAATTTCTTTTTGTTTTTTTCCAGCGGACCTAAAACAACCGCTTTCATTCATCTCAATTAATCCAACTGCATCGGGAAATGTTCTACGAAAATAATTGTAATTAATTTTGCTATGTTCATTCACAACCAACTTAACAATAGCTTTTTTGTGGTTGTCAAACACTTTCACAAATTGCATTTTTACCTATGAATTTAAAAATAGTTGAGTTGATAAATTCAAATCATGAAATTATATTACAAATAATAATCAATTTGAAGAATTTGATGATTTTAACTTCAAATAATGTCTGCGTCCGCAAACAAACAAACAAAACCAGGACAATCACGTTAAAAATTTTTTATCTAATAATGATTAACTGATAAAATAGTATAAATGGGGATAGAATAATAGCAAAACAATCTTTTAAATAAAAAGAAATAAGAGCCAATAAAATCTCATCAATTGATTGACCGTAGATGTTACTTTATTCGTGATTGGTCAGTCATATTGACCTAATAACAATTGCTGACTAGAAACATTGCTGATTCAGTTCGTAGAGCAAATGCCATCTTTCGGATAATATCGAATGGTCAAATCTAACGAGGAAACCTTTTAGGGTGATACCTCCCGTTTTCATTCATTCATATCTCATTTAGTTAAGTATATTGAGACAGTAAAAACCCTAAAGGAGATTTTCCCCAAACTCTGTTGTTGTTGAAATATTGTATTTTTAAGATATAGAGATATCCCATTCCTGTGGTCCCCTCACGTAAGAAACTCAGTTTCAATTGTATTAAGACAATTATGACCAATATACACTTGATCAATAATACTATATTCAAAATGGTAGATTGTCGAAAGTTTTATAGATGAAAAAGCACGTCACTGATAGGTAGATCATCGAATTCCTATCATGTACATTTCGATAATTTAGCTTTAGGGAAAGTGTATACACAAGTTCTATTCTATCATAATTAGAGTGTACCATTACTTCAATTTCTGAGCAGTCATCCTGTTCTGCAATGTTGAACATTGTAGGAATCGATTACGCCATATAAGAAGGCCTACTCAACTTTGATCGAACTTCGTCAATTCCTGAAAACTCGGAATTTAAGGCATAAATAAAACGTTGTTCTGTTAAAAAAGAAATTATTAATGATAAATATTTTTTTGAAAAGAATAATTGATCGAATTACTAAATTATATTGATATTTAGCAAACCTGAAATGATAGAATAATAAAAAAAAATTTTTTCCAACAAAAGTTAAATAGGAATTTATTCATTTTGGTTAAGGCTTTTTTTGTTATTATTAAAATAGTCTTGTTTGATTTAAAATAATATTTGCAACTGATATATAAGAAACATGTTTAATCATTTTACAAGATTATAATTGAATTTGAATTAGGAATATCTATTGAAAAGCAAAAGAAGTTTCAACAACATTATTATAACAGTAGTAGTAACATTTTTTTCGAATAATATCAAATTTAGGAATTTGTGTGCTCCCAAATATATTTTCTTGAGAATTTATAACAATAATATTACGTTCATAACATGTCAGTATACATTTACCAAAACATTTCATCAAAAACTGTCGCGGGAAACCTTTCTTTTCTAAGAATATGATACGATAGATGATAAATTCTGTATTGAAATAGATATCTAAGATTTCAATCAATTGATACTCAATAGAAATTAAATCTTTAGGTTTTTTTTATTATATTCTTTGTAACAAACTAAAAATACAAAATAAATTTACAAGTTTTTATTAGTTGAAATTGTTTTTATTCCTAATAAAAAAAAATATTTTTAATAAAATTCATTGATTGAAAAAGGAAGTCTATTTACCGATTTATTTCATATTGATAATAATTAATGTGATTTAATGGTTAATATCATTAGTGGAATGATAATTAAAAGAATAATTCCAATGAATATAATGATTCCAATTAAAATTTGAATTTTTCTTGAAAAACATTTTGGAAAATCATTTATAGTTTTACTAAAGAATAAAAATTGAATTAAAAGATATTTCTGAATAATATATCTACTCAATAGTAATTGATGTTTCTCGTTGAATTGTCCAATCAGGATTATCAAAAGATTTTGATTTAAGATCATTTTCATCAATTTCTGAATCGATATTAACAGAAGATTGAGGATAAAATGATGATGAATGTTCTTCGATGGTATTCATCATTATTTAGATCACACAAATACAAGAAAGAAATTATGTATGAGCAATATTCATATTATTATTTGAATAAACAATTCAATAGGTTTCATCAAATTACAATTTCTAATGAAAATAAAAATTCAATTCTTATTTTTTTTTCTTTTATTATTATTATTTTCTTCAACATACAAATCAAATCATATGTTTTACAAAAGAAAAAAACATCAAAGTTCTCGCTTCAAAATAAAATTTTAGTATGAAATTGTATTTTTATTATAAAAAGATTTATTTAAGAAGAAAATATCTTCTCCCACTATATATAGTTATTGTCATAAAAACGACTTTTACCAATTCTATCTTTCATCCATTAAGTTTATTTATAATTACAATGATATAGTTAATATAGAATTCATTTGTCTATTAAATACATTACTATTATTATTATCGATCGAATATATTTCGTTTTTCTAATAATTAGTGTTTATTCTTAAGAGAATAGATATTTCAATTTGATAAAAAAGGTAAATAATCAAATAGAAATCTGATTAATGTAAGAATAATACGACATTAGCTATAAAAAGAACTTCTATGTATTTAATACGAATGGCACTTTAACTCTAATAGTTAAAGTTAAATTGCTACATCAAGTATTTAATCACCGTATTTTGAAGTTTATCACGAGTCAGAAATTATAGTGCAAAAAGTACAGTCAAACAAAACATGTATAAGCATTATTCGTTTTAAGTAAACATGACAATACAAGAAAAAAAAATATTATCGAATATCTGTATTATATTATTTGTCAAAAGAAAAAAGAGATACTTTTGTATATATTTTCATTTTTCATATTAGTTTGGTTTGTATTTGATAAAGAGTTATAAACAAATCGATAGATAATTTATCTTTATTCTTTTAATGAAATAATATATGTAAAACATTTACAAAAGTAGTCATAATGTCATTTTTATACCGTACGGAAATCTAAACGAAACTTTCTTATTATACGTATTAATTTAAAAAAAACAGTGCTCTATGTTTCTGTTATATTTCATCGTATTTCAGTCGATATAATAATATTCAATGTTCAACAAAAAATTGTCTGTTATGATAATCAATAGTAATATTATTCATTATATCAAAGATAAAGATCATGAGCCATCTTTTCGTTTAATACATTAACATTATATTTATTTTAGAATGATAAGCAAATTTCAAAGTGTTAATTTACTTTTTCTCCATAATGTCATATTTTGCGTATGAAAAAGAGTGTGGACGAGAATATGATTATGACAGAATAGAAATGGATACAGGAAAATATTCTATCTATTCTTGATTAATTATCTATGACAAAAATCTGATCATTTCTATTTCGAAATTGTTTTAAAACGAACAAAATCGATATATAATGATTAAATGAGGAGGAATAAATCATTGTTTTATATTGTCAGTGAGTTAATAACAGATATTTCTATTTGTTGATTTTGATGTCTTCTTAAACATTATCGGTATGCATGTAAACATTGGTTAACAATTAAACGAAGAATGTAGATTAAAACCTAAAGAAAATATCTTAATATTCATTCTTCAAATAATTTCTTTTTTTACTTCCATATATTCCAAGCAGAGTCATTAATATAATAATCGGATTATTCCTGTTCGGTAATGTGTAATGATATACTTGAAAATAAACTGTATAATTCATTCATTTTTCGATGAAAAGTTTTTCATTTAAATCACCAAAATCCACCATAGTTACATATAATATTTTTCTCAATAAACTGATTGAATATATCAATCGATTCTCTGGTATATCATGTCATTTTTAGGAAAATAGCTATATAGATTATCAAATCAGTGGAAAAAATCGAATTGTTGTTTGTAAAGGTTATGAAAATATTAGGGAATATATTTTGGATATATTGTAACAACTTGTTGAGTTACTGAATAGAAATGAAAATTACATGAAGTCAAATTAACAATAGTTTAGATCAATAAATAAGAATAGAATTGTCATTTTAATAGAAATGAAGTAATTGTTAATGAAGAAATGTAAACCTTGATTTAAAATGTTGAACTTTTACGATTTCGAAATATTTCTTCACATTTAAAAGTTGAATATTCAAATGAAACTGACCTTTCAACTTTGACATTCATTTATTATTGTAAGTATTTATTTAAATAATTAAATAAGAGCGACATCTTTTTTGAAATTTTCTTTCAAAATAAAATAATAATAAAAATGTTAAAATAAATGTAAAATTTAAAAATAGAATTTGAAATCTTTTGAAAGAAAAAAGAATTGATTGATTGTTGCATAACGTTTGGTTTATCAGTGAACCATTAAGCATATTTTTATTGATTGACTTCAATAAAATAATAGATCAAATATAAAGATTGATTTATTTTAATAAAAAAATCTTCTTTTTCTATTTTAATCATTGAAAATAAACAAAGATTTTTCAATTTAATTAATTCATTTCTATTCTATCAATTTTAATTAAAAATATTCTTTTATTTTTATCTTTTTAGAATTAATTCTATTCGAAATAATATTTCAATCTTGTCAATGAAAATTAATATTTATTTGTTCGAAAACTAACCCGATTAAATCTATGTTTATAAACAATATATTTAAATATGCAAATGATTAAATAAAAAGGAAGAGAAAGAAAAAAGTATTGTTACCGAGTAACTTATTATCGAATATATTATTCATTACTCACTATGATATAATCAGATTTTTCGTTATTTGAAATTCTTCGAAAGAGAAGTAGTACAAAATATTTATCTTTTACGAAGTTTTATCAGAATAAAATTAATTTAACGAATAGAAATATAATAGTACTTCTTTTTTAAGTGTAGTTTATTGAAAAAAATATTTGTTAAATTACTTTTATATCAATATCCTTGACCTTGAATGTTTTCGATAAAGTTTTTTTTAAAGATTATTACATTTCCCTTAGCTTTTTATGAGAAATATTCTTCGAATTGATATTCATGAGTCGAATTGGAAGTTTTTTCTTTCGATTAGAAATAAAAATAAGTCTAACGAAAATATTGTTCGTCTTTAAATTTTCTCGATAAAATCCTTAATTCATTTTTACTTGGAATATATATATTAAGATATTTACAATATATATTCTTTTCGTTTCTATGATAAAGTATTTCATGTATATATACATGTATAAATATACATATTTGTGTCTATAGACATACTTCCTATCCAATGCACTTTTATCATCATATTTTTATTTATCCTTAATAAATATTTTCTTTTTACACTTTTATTTTTTATTTTTTAGATTTTAATTATGATTATTTTACTTGATAAATATAACTATATTCGAAGTTCAAGCCAAAATTTTCTTATACATGATCATATTCTATATATATGATTTATAAGAAAAATACTTACTGATTAGAAGTCGCCAAATTCTATTTTTAAATATTGGTTTAAATTATTATTTGTATAAAGATGTTAGTTTGAGCATGAATGGCGCAAGGTCGATTCTTCAGGAGAACCAATTAAGGATAAGATTAAACCGGAATGTTGCTCAAATCCATATGGCTAGCTAAAAGTTTTATTTAAATAATTCAGAAAACGAAGGCAATTAAAGGAAACAATAAATTCCCTCGCATAAAGGACGCGCCGCCAATGAGTTCGTGTAATGTTAATAGAGAATTTGCTTAAATATTATCTTAAGTCTAACTGTAATAGAAAATCTTTTAGTTGTTAATATTTACTTAAGATTTTCATATAAGTCATATTTAAATAAAAATATTCATGTCTTTAGAGAGATTTTCTATAAATTGACGAAAAATAAAATTTGTTTGATAAAAATGTAATTCTATAAAGTCATGATTAAACTTTTTTTTTCAAGCATGATTTTTATAGAACTAATTAGTGATACATTCTATGAATATTTTAACATAAGAGTAATAATTCATAGCTCGAGGAAAATGTTTCAAATAGATGAAAAAATTTTTTGCCTAAAGTAATCGAGATATATATGATTTTATCTAATTGAAATGTGATATTTTTAATAAGGTTATGTCTTAAAAAGAAAAATTTCGTATAGAAGATAAATAATAATCTTTCGAGATATTAAATATTAATTGCAGACTAAATTTATTTTTATTTTTAACTTACGTTGGTTTTATTGTGTCGATAAAAACTAAATATATATTATATTTTCGTATTTTTGTCTTCCCTTATTTGCTCTGTGTTCTGTTCTGTTCTGTTATTACTTTTTGATGTCAAAATGAAGCGATATTTTGGTAGAAAAAAAATACATTAGATTTATTAAAAGAGAAAAATCCAGATGAATGGGCTTGTTTTATGAATAGTCGCGTATTTGAAGGGCTTCGTTTTTCTTTTTATTAGTTTAAAAATAAAATTGACATTTGTAAGAAAAACTTTTTTTTATTGAAGCAAATTTACCTGAGAACCACTCGCCTGATAATGATTTTGGATCCGATATTCGAACGAGCAGGGATGAGTGTAAGTTTGATTTCTTTTAAACTAAATAGATTTAATATTATTTTTATTATTTTAATATTTTATTTTATTTTCTTTAGATGAATAAAATCAAGCCATTCATTTATGGACCTAAGTAAGATTAATTTAATCGAAATGAGAAAATCTTTAATAGAATTCTTTTGATATAAGATCGATTTTATGAAAAAATAATCAATTGATGATCAGTATACTCGAGATAGATATTATCAAATTTTGCTAATAGTAGTCTATTGACTCTTTTCAGATAAAATTTCCATAATAGGTTTAATTTACGAGGGAATCTCACCAAGTGATACCCTCTGTTTGACCTCATATTCTGCTCATATGTAGGGTTCATATAGTAGATAAAAATCCCAAAAGGATTCGTGCCATTGGCCTCTTGTTATTGAGATATAGGACTTCGAAGATATTGAGATAACCCAATGCCGTGGTCCCCCTCAGGGATGTCCGAAAAACTAATGTTGAGACTTTTTATAGTATGAGGTCTTGCTGAGAGTAGTTTACTACGAAAGTTTTAGATTTACTCCTTGTTTCTATCCGGAGATACGGCTATGATAATTTAATGTCACCTAATATCGCTTACAAGAACTAGCATATGATATTCTTTTTTAGAATTCTGAGTATTCAGCAAAACTGAAACTCTCCCAGTAAACTACTCTCAACAAGACCTCATACTATACAAAATTTCAAGTCAAAATTCCAACATTAGTTTTTCGGATATCCCTGAGGGGGACCACGGCATCGGGTTACCTCAATATCTTCGAAGTCCTATATCTCAATAGCAAGAGGCCAATGGCACGAACCCTTTTGGGATTTTTATCTACTATATGAGCAGAATATGAGGTCAAACAGAGGGTATCGCTTGGTGACGTTCCCTCGTAAGACCATATTTTATGGCAGATAGCCGTTATTTTCCTTAAGAATTTTTCCTCTCTAAACAAAATCAAATAAATATTTGAAATATAATATTAATGTTTATATAGAACTGATAATACACCAGATTATTACAATCGAGTTCGTTATATTCGAGATTCGTGTAAAGTATTTTCTGATGTTTGGAAATCAGATAAAGATTACGTAAGTTAAATAAAAACATGAAGACAAAAAAAAAGAATTTGTTTTTATTTCAGTTAAATAAAAGTATTGATAGTGAAATATCAAAAGCATTCAAAGAATTTCGTCAAGGTGAAGTTGCACGAAATTATCGATCTCCATATGGACCAAATGGCGCTCCATCGGTTTTAAATCGAACTATTGATGATTTAATTCAAATACATGAATTTATTGATTCAAGAAGAAAAGAATCTCTTGATTCAATTAAAAAAATTATTGAACAAGCAAGAGATAAACAAGTAAAATAAGAAGATTTTCTTTTAAAAATAAACCGATTACTTTTTTTTCATTTTCATAGGCTAATATTCGTCAAACAATGACTGAACTTAAAGAGAATTATGAAAAATCTCAACGAAAATTAGAAACAGCTGATTCTAATTTAAAAAAGTTTGTTTTTATTTTTTTTTATTTTTAAATAAGAAAATATCTCTTTTTAATTAAGATTTCAAACTCGATCTGATCGTTTAACATTATCCAATTTTGATGAACGTTCTAATGAATTAGAAGATATTCGTACAGAATGTGAACAAGCACGAACATTAGCACATGATACGTATGCAACAGAAACATATAAAATTGCAAATGAAGAACATTATTTAACCCAAAATATCTTTTCTCAATATTTATTTGAACAAAATAATTATTATTCACAAATATCAAAATATTTATCATCAAGAATTCCAATTATTGAACAAAGATTAGAAGAAGATGAATTAACACCTCCATTTAAATGTGATTTAATAAAACATTGTTCGAAAAGATATGATACATTATTAGCTTATCCTATTGAAATATGTATTCAACTTTTAAAAAATAGTGTCAATGAAGAAGGTCTTTTTCGTATAGCAGCAGCGAATGGAAAACAAAAAAGATTAGTTGCTGAACTTGATTTACAATCTATTGATAGAGCTACTTCATTAAATGAACTTGGTTATGATCCACATGTTCCTGCAAATACACTTAAACAATATTTAAGAGAACTTCCAGATTGTTTACTTACATCTGCACTTTTTCCACAATGGAATGAAATTCCTCTACTCAGGTTTGATTTAGAATATTAGATTTAAAACAACAATATAATGAAATATATATATTTATAGTAGGAATTGAAATTTAAGGCATTTTTTTCTGTTCAAAATTATTTGAGTAGTCAAGGGGGTAATCTCTATCAGTGGCGGCGCGAGCGGGGGAGGGGGGAGTTAGGGGGTACCCCCTCCTGCTTTTGGAAAAAAAGACTGAATTTTCTCTGATTTTTGGATTGGCTTTCTCCGATTTTGGGACTTCCTTTCTCCGATTTTTGAGCTGACTTTCTGGTTTGGGACCCATTTATTTTCTCCTTTTTTGCCATTTTGGATTTGAAAACTGTGTTTAGGTCTGCAGAATCCCGTAAAACCTAAACCAAAGACCTTTTTGTTTTTTTTGATCATTAGTTTTGGCTTTTGGGTAGTTAAGGCGGAAAATTTTTCCTAAAATCCATGAAAATTGAAACCGAGAAAATTTTTTTTTTTCTTTCTCCCTTTTTGTGACTATCCCCCTCCTACTTTTAGCTCTTCGCGCCGCCACTGCTCTCTATCTATCACACAATATTTCATAAATGCATCAATGAGTTGTATGATCAAAGTCTAAAACAATTGCTAGTCTAATTTTAGGGCTTTTAAAAAACTTTGATCATAAAATTCATTGAAAATTGTGTTGTAATATTGAAGAGATTTGATCTAAATAGATATTTAAAAGTAAATAATCTTATTTTATTAGAGAACCGGATCGTGTTCCACGTATTGGTCAATTAATAAATCAATTACCTAAAATAAATTATGAAAATCTCCGGTTAGTTTTATTTTTAATAATAGAAAAATATTTAATAAAATTCTTTTTATTTAGTTATTTGGTTCGTTTCTTAGCTCGTGTAACTCAATATCAATCTGAAAATAGGATGACACCAGAAAATTTAGGTATTTGTGTTGGATGTAGTATATTATATCCAAAAGATCAGTCATCAAATCCATATGCAAGTGCTTCAACTATTCTTGAACTTATGATTATTCATCATAAACAATTCTTTCCAAATTCTTCTCAACAAGATCAATCAGTAAAACCAATTAAATCTCAACCTGATCTTATTCCAACAGAATTTCATTCCGTAATATTTTTAGGGAATAGATTTTCCGGTCAGTAAAATAAATGAAATATCAAGAAAAAATTATTGAAATCGTCAGTAAATATATTAATTGATCAGTTTGAAAAAAATATCCAATACTAGTGAAAATTATATTTAAGTACAACAAAGAGGATTTTAAAGAGCTGTAGAAAGAATGAGAAGAAAACTCTATTATTGCATGAAGAAAGCAGTTTTTGCTGCACCTCTTGAGTATGTGACATAAGAATAACACCCACACCTACCCTCAAGATCTTATCTACTGATCGATTAAATTTTCTGATGGATCTATGAAATTAATTACTGACCATTTCAATAATTCAATGGTCAATCATTGCTTTGATGACCATTTGATAATTCTACTCATTTTTGACTTTTGCTGCTTTACTGACCCTTTTCATTTATTCTACTGACCACTTAAATGACACCCATATTTTTATTTGATTTTTTTAAAATTTTTTCACTTGATTATTTTCTTCTTTAGAAAAGTCGAAGTGGTTCAAATGAAAATTTATTAGATACACAATCATTATCAGGATTTCCGCATCCGTATATAAATATTTTTGTTTATTATTTGTTAAATAAAATCAAAGTGAATAAATTTAGATCTCCTAGTACACGACGAAAAAATAAAGCTCCACCTCCACCTCCATCTTCATTATCTCAACCAATACAAACTGAACAAACTTCTCCTGATCAAACATCAACTCCATATTTAACAGGTAATCGTATTAAACTAAAAAAAGAAGCAAAAGAAACAAAAACCTTAACATCGAAAAGTACCGAAGAATCATCTCCATCATCTAATCAAGTCAACAATTTACGCAAAATATTTACTAGAGGTTCTTTTTAGCTCGCTTTTAATATTGCTTTTCATTGTTCGTCATATGGCTTTATCTTTGCTTTATTCGTTAGTATCGACTTATTCGAAAAACTAAAGTCAACAGAAAAAAAAACGAAATACTATTTTGGTGATATGATTTATTAATAGAATTTTCTAATAAAATATTAACAAAATCTTATTATTATTATTATTTATTTTGTAGTGCCAAGTTCATCAAGTTTTACTCCAAGTGATCGAGGTCATGTGCGTACATTAAGTGATGGAATACAATTAGATCGTCCAGGAGCACCACCACCTCTTCCGCCACCGGTTGTTGTTGTTGCTTCACCAATTATTCGATCAAAAGATAGAACTTCCATTTCATTACCAGCTACTATTAATAATAATAATAATAATGAATATGAAGGAAACATCTCATCAGTAGAAGAAAAATCAATTGAAAGTGATTCATCAACAGATCAAGTAAATCCTGCTCCTCCACCGCCACCACCACCAGTAACTGATGGTGTTAAAGTTGGAAAATTAATTTCGGAATTAAATAATCGAATGGCTGCTGCCAAATTAAATAATGCTCAACCAAATACTATTCGTGCTTCTTCTATTCGAAATAGCACACTAAGTACACCTGGAGAAACAACTGATTTCTAGTCTGCAGTAATCCGGTGCTATTCGAATTATTATCAGTGACTCATTTAAAACGAATTTACATCAATAGAAAACATTTTTCTCTTTTTTTTATCTGATCGCTTCTCTATAAATATAAATACATATGTACTGTTCATAATTATGTGAAAAAAAACGAAAATCTAAACAAACAAAATTATTTTCATTATTCAATTTGTAAATATAAAATAATAGAGAAGAATATTCTAATATTTTTATTTTATTGACAAAATTTAAAGAAAGATAAAGATAAGAAAATTATTAAAATAGAATTAATTAAGAATATCAAATGAAATAATACGATTGGGACGAATTTCACCAACAAATAATGATCGACCATCAAGACTCATTGTTAAATCATGAGGTTCACCATATTTCTAAATAAAATAATTTATTTTTTTTAAAAATAATATTATTAATACAAACATCTAATAATTTCCAAGTAGAAATAAGATTGCCAAATGATTTTGGATTAGCACTAAATGTATAACCAATAGCTGGACTGAATCGAGTTTTTCCACTTATTGCATAGATATAATCTATTTTAAAATAAGAATATTTTTTCGAAGAAAAAAATAATGTTAACATACTTCGAGTTGAATCATATGTAATAGCATAAACAGTATTAAGTAAAGTATTTTCAATAATATATTTAACATTTCCTTCATCATTTTTCGTATTAAAACAAACAATTCTAAATATTTATTCATAAGAAAATAAAAAAAGGAAAAAATAGTTTACCTTTGATTCTCTCGATCAGCAACACAGATAAGATTAAGAGATTCAATAAGAATAAGACTATGTGGAACAATAAGTGGCATTTTTCCTAAAGGCATTTGATATTGTTTGATAAGTTTTCCATTTGAATCAAATTTAACAATACGAGAATTACAATATCCATCAGAAACATAAATATTTGAACCATCTTTTGATACAACAACATCAGTTGGTTTACAAAAATGTTTTGTATCATCACCGGGAACAAATAATTCACCCAATGTTAATAATAATTTATTTCCAGAATATTTAAAAACCTTTAAAATTATATTAAAAGCTAAAATATTATATTAAATTAATTATTCACTTGATGCATTGCAACATCAGTTAACCATACATTTCCTTGATTATCAGTTGTAAGACCATGTGGCATATAGAATCTTTGAAATTTATTCGATTTTATTACAAGTTTTCTTTTTAGAGAAAAGATAACTTACGTATTATTTCCCCATTGATTTATAATTTCACCAGTTTGACTATTAACAGTAAGAATTGTATTTTCACGAATAGCACCAAATTTCTTTCGATTAAAATTATAAACATCAGGAAATGATCTAAAATTATTTCAGGTAAGTCTTTTTCTTCTTAATTAATAATAACTTACTGTTGATTCCATTTTCTTGATCCTCGATGAAAAATAATTAAATGATTTGGATTCGAAATTGAAGAAGCAAGACCACTAACTTGTCCAAGTTTCAGTTCATTTCGAATAGAATTTTCAATTGAAAATAAAATTAAAGGTTTTTTTGATAAAATTGAATTAGATGAATTATTCTAAATTAAAGTTTTGTTTGATTATTATTATTATTAATTATTTTAAATTTTATTTACTTGGTTAATTGTTTTATTGTTAAAAGAAATTATTCGTCCATTTATATTATAGATAACAGAGAAGAAAGTAAGAAGATAGATAAACGAATTCATTAGACGTTTTCTTCAAATAACAAACTGGGGTGAAAAATCAAATGACGACTATCTTTTTCTTCTCCTCTCAATAAATACATTTTCTTATCATACCCTTTCGTTTCCCTGGATTGACAGATGATGATTCATATTAAATACTAAACACATAAACATATATATATTCTTTTCATTCGACATTATTTCTTATATATAAAAGATTTTATTTAATTTGATAGAGTTAATGATGCTGTTACATCATTTTGTTGTTTTATAGAAGGAATATAGGTGTTGATGGTATTATATTTCTCCTTACCTCGAATCGCATCATTTTCATTCAAAGCATACACTTCGACATTTATCGGTCAGACAAAATCAGAGAATATGAAGTAGAAGAGACAATAAGGGCAAAGTACAATGAGTACAAAGTATCATATTATATATGAAATAAGGCCAAAACGATAAGAAATAATTGGAAGAAGAAAAATATCGTTCTAACCTTATTTATTTCATAGAAAAGAAATCTATTGTCAATGAAAAATAATTTCTAGGGGTAACGATCATATTTTTCTTGTTTTCTTCTAAATAGTTTGATTTCATTGTATTTAACAGTCGACGCGATATTAGTTCAATGATGTTTTAGACATAAGAATTTCAACAAAATATTTATTATTTAAAATTCTATGAAAAAAATAAAATTATTTTTCATAAAATATTCATTTGATTTTGATCCTTTAAATTTGTTGTTGGTAAAATATGATTTGGTTGTTTAAATAAAATCTTGGTAATTGATGTTTTAATTGGATCTGTAAATTGAAATAAAGCAATCATCATAAATAAATAAGAAACATCAATAAATACATAAGATATACGAAAATGATATTTTGGTATAACAAGAAAAAATGAGAAAAAAATAAACATTGCATAAGGAAAACAATAAATAATTAACATTGCTACTAAAATAACTGTACGTCGAAGCATTTTTAATTCTTGTTTTGCACGATTTACTCGATTTATTAATGAAACACGTTTACTCATTTTTTTAACATATAAAACTAATTTTAAATAAATAATAAATGTTAATGAAACTGGTAAAATATACGCAAAATTAGCCATGTAAATTATTGAAAATGACAAATGTAATGGAAGTTGACAAATTTGATTTTCAATATTATAAACAATTTCATTTGTAAATAAAAATTTTATTGGATAGAATATACCAAATATCCATGTGAATAAAATAAGAAAAAATTGAAATTTATATGATTGAAATATTAAACGAGATGGATAAATTATTCTCACAAAACGATAAATTGATTGTAATAAAAATGAATTATTTAATATTGAACATGATGCATAACCAGCATATCCTCGAAAACTACATAATATATCTTGATAATCTCTTTGATTATAATCATTTAAAAGTTTAAAAACATTCATATAATAAATAACAATTCCAAATAGAATTCCAGAAAAACACGAATTTGTAACAAGCATCATTGGAACTGTTCGACAGATTTTACTAAAGAAAATTGTCACGAAAAATATTATTGCTAAAATTAATGAACAGAAAATACATAGATTTGTTATTATATCAATTGGAATAAACCAAGATTCATTATTTATTCGAGATAAATTCTTCATTAAAATACTTGACGTTGTATTCATCTAAAGAAAGTACATCTGTAACAGTGTCAACAAATAAAATGTTCTTATTTTTTTATAATAAATTAAAGTAGGCGAAAAATTAGGAATGATATTGTTCTCTTATCAACTTCAAAATATGACATAGATTCTTTTTGATTAGTGTATTATAAACATTTTACTTTTTATTTTTATTCAACATGGCATATTAAAGTTTTTGAAAAAATGACAAGCTATGCTACACAATATTGCATAATTATCTTTAGTTCATTTAATTCTTTTTTATAAAGAATATTATCGCAATTCTAGATTAGTTACCGGAAAATTTATTTCAATGAATCTAATAAACCAAATTTAAATTCAAGTTGAAAGAGAGTTACATTTAGTTTTTATATAGATATATTAGTTTATTCGCAAATACTCTGAAAAAATCATCAATCAAAATATTAAAAATATGACAAAATACTTGAAACTTTTTCAAGTCTAGACAAGACTATTCTTCTCTCTCGTCAAAAAAAAACGCTTGAGAGAATTTCAACAGACAGATATTTATCCTTTGACTCAAATCTGTACCTAAATTAGTTAGAAATATTTCATTTATACATAATCATTAAACTACTAACATATAGTTTTCTATTACTGACGAGAGAACGTCGCCAACCGTCCAGTCACTTGTTCACTATGCTGAATTCGAATAAGATTTTGTAAAACATATCGAATTGTCAATAAAATGATAATTTTTTTCTATTTCAAAATCGAATTTCGGTGACAATAGAACCGTTTTAGTGTATGTAACAAATGCATTAACAGTACAATATATATCTAAAGTCGAGATTCGTACGCGAATATACGAAAGACTAAATTGAAATCGCTCGTGTCAATATCTACTAATATAAATTGTTCTTTCTCTATAGAAGTATTATTCTTCTACTATAATGAATCCTCCTAATATTGTATTCTGCTGCTTATTAGAACTATTTGATGTTAATTTGACGTGACAGATGTCTTCATTTTTTTTTTGATAAACAAGTGCTTCTATTAAGAAATAAACTTATTTATACATACATTCCTTTTCGACACTTGACAATTCCTGTCTTCTTGTAGATCTATAATAACATGTAATAGGAATAAAACAGTTCCATGCCATTAAAATTCGATTTTAAAACAGAAAAAATTATCATTTTATAGACAACTCGATGTACTTTACAACGTGGAAGGATTAGAAAAATGTTGGACCTGAAAATTTGATTTTCTCATGAGCTCATTTCGTTTATATTTGTAACTGTTCTCAAAATGTCCGAATAAAATATTGATGAAAATCTAATTATAGTATGGCACATACTGATGATAAAAACAAAGCACAAGAATGGGATTACATTCATTACGAATTTCTTCTGTTCTGTAATAGAAAAACTCATACAAGGATTCAACAATTTTATTTGATTACTAAAAGAAATTAACAATCTGAAAATAATGGTATTAAGATGTTTGTCTAGTCATTTTCATAGAAAACAGCGATCTTACATATTTTTAGTAAAGAACAAAACAAAAATTGGTTATATATATTTTTTAATCCTTTCAGATCCGACAATTCCTTAAGGGTTACTCATATTTTGCTTGTTAGTATTACTATATGAAATTAAACTGATTTTATAGTTCAATAGACGTGAGAAATACCTTTGAATTAATACATAATATTATTGTTTTCTACATTCATAAATCTCGACAATCTACTTTTCTCTACTCTAGTGACATTCGATATTGAGATTTTCCTTCAGCAGTCTTTTGCGTATATTAGATTGTTCTATGGTATATTCCATCATGTCATTATATATAAATATATGTATGTGATCATTCCAGTCATTCCTTATTTGATTATTCTTGTTACAACTATGTTTATTATATGTACTCAGGAAATTCAATATATTTGTCTTTTGTTTCTGTTTTGATTGGAGCTCAGCATGTAATGTTTTCCATCACATATACTAAGTGTCGATAAAAATAATAGAATATATCGAAGAATATGTGCTATATGCTCGTCACATCAAATAAGATATAAAAATTAAAAAAAAAAGTGTTGAAGAACATTTCTGATTACAGACTCTATAATATTATGAGATATATTATAGAAATAAATATCAACGAAGTTTCAGATATGCTAAGTTTTGATAGACATATACTTATATCTGATCAAAAGTTCTGAAAATATTGAGTAAATATAAACAATTATTATTTGAATTGCTTCTGACAAGTTAAATCCTTTGTTGTAAATTATCAAAAGTATTTTTAAACTATTTTAAATATTGGATGAACATGTCACATTTTATTTATTCAACCAGCTCAACATCGTTTAATGGAATCATTTATTCATAGATTATATGGTGTTGAATTGAATCACGATAACGATTCTGACACTATTTTTATGCCTTTACTATTGAATAATTTCGTACTTGTAAAAGCTGATAGTCTTTTTAACCTCTGTATTTAGTTAACGAAATACTTATCGTTGACAATCTTGTCTTTATCTATAGTATCTAGAAAAATAGGATCATTACATTAAAAGAATATAGAATACAATTCGCTATTACTCTATCTAAAATAAATCTATATCACGCTACTAGTGATATTAAAACCTAGCTCATATGATCATTACCAAATTTAACACTGCCTCTTAGCGACACATGTCTCTGAGCACTACTTATAAAAATTTGAATTTTTGTAGAAAAAATGGGAAGTCAAAGGATTAAAAGTCGTATTATCTTATAGAACTCGATGAAATTTATCTATGACGCTAGTCCCGAAGTCTTTATAAGAAATGCGCCGACACATATATGCGTTGTTGGAAGTCAAAGGGTTAAAAATAAATTCTTGAGATCAATTTGACTAGTCAAATATGATCAATTCATACGAATTCAAGAAAGTTAAAAACTTTTTTCGACAAAATATAGAGAAGTTTTGCTTTTTTTTAACTATATGCCATTTATTACTATGACATATTCACTAATGAAATGACGTAATAAAAAGAATAGTTTGATTTATTTACAAATAATTATTGTTATTTCTCTTTCATGTCAAACAAAATTTTCTTGAAAATTAACGAATACATCTAAAACATTTCTTTCGATATGATCATTTTATTATAGTCATAAACTGTTTTTCTGTTGTTTTAAAAGTTCTTATCTAGAATAAAATAATATCAATTCTTATCTGATACATTTCTTTTTGAAAAAAGTACTAAAAAGGGCAACTTATATGTAAGCGATTTCTAAGATGAAGAAATAATGATGATTTATTTGTTTTTTTTGTATGAAAAGTTAAATTTGTAAAAATATAAGTTAATCATATATTAATATTATAATATTTATTATTATTTTACAAGTTAATTACAAAACAGTTTAATTAGTTGATATTATTAAAATAAAGAAGTCAAACTAAATAGATAATAAAATAAATTAAAATATTAATAATCGTTTTTATAAAACTGATTGATTGGATAAAACATTTATTATAAAAATAACACATGTCATTCGAATACATTTTTTTGTCGAAATTTATTATCTTTAAATATTTTGAAAAAATACAGTCTAGTGAGCAAACGAAAAAATAATACGAGTTGAAAGTTTTATCATAAACTTGAAAATCGAATATCTCAGAAAATTAGGATTATAAGAATGAATCATTTTAGATTTATACTAGTCTAGAGGCTTACATATTATCATCCATGTGCGATATAATGAATCGTCATTCAAGGTGTATCGTTCTCTTTTTTTATTGTAACATCAACCGTTCTACGCGTATATTCGTATCTTCTCTTCTGTATTTGAGTAACTTAATGTCACTACTATAATATAAGCACGTGTAAAAAGAAACGAATAAAACAATTAGAAAATGGAGTAGTGAAGTTAACATCATATACCGAGGATACCGATAATATTTAGTTCATCAATGTGATCACAATAAAAATAATACTGCTGCTATAATGAAATATCTCTACCTTTCTCCACGTGTATTATCTGAAGGTAATTATTTGCTTTATGATGATCTTACTTTACAACAAGATAATATTACATTGCATATCTGTGATGTATTGTTAGCATGATATAAACAAGTTTTTTTCTATGATTTATTAACAATTCTAGATGATCACTGCTATGGATACGTCCTTCATATATTATCTTTTGTTGTCATAGTTATATCTATCTTTTTCCTTGTTCATAAGTTATCGTCTTTTCTTTGAGTTGCATTTTTGTCTTCCCTGAATACATGCATTCTGTTTTCTTTCTCTGATGGGTGCAGGTGTGTTTCCTTCATTTGAGAGTAAAGTTAACTGTACCCCAATAATATACAATAAAATTAAATTAAAAATTATAATTTATTGACGGATCAATTAAAAACAGTGAATTCACCGTAAGTCAGTTTATGATGTTGCCTAGAGTATCGAATATTGAGATGCATTTATGCCATGGTATGTTTTTCGTAAATTATAGAGCTTTTTATGGAATATCTTGCGATGTACTAGATAATAAAAAAATTCTCTTTTTCTTAATATTAAAATTTATTCATTTGAAGTTTCATTAATTTCAATTTTAAGAATATGCTGCATCGTTAGATATATTTTGTCTTTATTTTTTATGAAATCTAATACGAGAGTGTAAACTAGTACATAGAACATTCTTTGTTTATCTATTTTATTCATTCTATACGAAAAGAATGTTTTTTATTTTTTTATCTTGATCCACTTTGTAAACGATAATGACTTTTTTTGTTATCAAAAAGAAAACATTCTTATATATTTTAGATTAATAACTGAAATGACAAAAAGTGAATATTTGAGATTAAATGGTGAATTAAATTTCGATTTTAAATCCCGTCGATCAGTAGTTTATGGTACACATGGTATTGTATCATCATCTCAACCATTAGCTTGTCAAGCTGGTTTAGAAATTTTACGTAAAGGTGGAAATGCCGCTGATGCAGCTGTTGCTACAGCAGCTGCACTTAATGTAACTGAACCATGTTCATGTGGAATTGGAGGAGATTGTTTTGTTTTATTTTATAATAGTAAAACAAAACAAGTTTCATCTTTAAATGGTAGTGGACATAGTCCAAAAAATTTAACTTTAAAAAAAATTCGAGAAACAGGAATTCATGGAAAAAGTATTCCTTATGATAATTTAAATTCAGTTACTGTTCCAGGTGCTGTTGCTGCTTTTATTGATACACTTGAATTATTTGGTTCGAAAAAAGTTTCATTAAATGAAGTACTTACACCTGCTATTAATTTAGCTGAACAAGGATATCCTGTTTCAGAAATTGTTTCCAATAGTTGGATACGTTCAGAAAATTTACTTAAAGAAGCATCAAATAATGGAAATGATATGCTTAGAAATGGCAAAGCACCTAAACCAGGAGAAATTATGACAATGCCATATCTTGCAAAAACATTACGAGAAATTGTTAAAAAAGGTCGAGATGGATTTTATAAAGGATATGTTGCAGAAGCAATTGTTCAATTAATACAAAGTAAAGGTGGTTTTATGACACTTGAAGATTTAGAAGAACATCAATCAACACCTGTTCAACCTATTTCAATTTCATATAATATTGATAATATTGAACCTGTTAGAATTTGGGAATGTCCACCAAATGGACAAGGTATTGTTGCTCTTATGGCTATTGGAATATTAGAACAAATGCAAAAACAAAAGAAAATTTCTTCATTAGAAAAACTTGAACATAATTCAGCTGAATATCTTCATGCTCTTATTGAAGCACTTCGTTTAGCATTTTCTGATGGATCTTATTTTGTAAGTGATCCAGATATTACAGATGTACCTGTTGAACAATTATTATCATCAGATTATTTATCTAAACGTGCTGAAAGTTTTCATCCAACATGTGTTAATAAAAATTTAAAACATGGAAAACCAGTAAATTCTTCTGATACAGTTTATTTTAGTGTAACTGATTCCGAAGGAAATGCTTGTTCATTTATTTTTTCTAATTATACTGGTTTTGGATCTGGTGCTATACCAGATAAATGTGGTTTTACATTACAAAATCGTGGATGTGGTTTTGTATTAGAAGAAGGACATCCAAATTGTCTTGAAGGTAGAAAACGTCCTTATCATACAATTATTCCTTCAATGATAACTTATGAAAATGGAGATTTATTAGCATCTTATGGTGTTATGGGAGGTTTTATGCAACCACAAGGTCATGTACAAGTATTTTGTAATATGTTACATTATAAAATGAATGTTCAAACTGCACTTGATGCTCCTCGATTTTGCATTGGTCCAAATATTCCAAATGGTACAGATGAAAATTGTGAAAGTGAAGTATTTATTGAAGATGGAATTTGTGAAGAAGTTTTAGAAAAACTCAAATCATTTGGTCATCATATTACATTAGTTAAAGGACCTGATCGTGCAATGTTTGGTCGTGGTCAAATTATTTTTAAAGTACCAAATGATGAGGATAGATTAGTTTGGGCAGCAGGTTCTGATCCAAGAGCAGATGGACACGCTGTTGGATGGTAAACATTTTTGAATTTATATTTTCCTTAACTATTTCAATAAACTTGTGATTGTAATAAATATTATTAATAAGTAAATTCATTTTTTTATTAATTCTATTGAGAAATAATTATCAATCTTATCGAAATTTTATTGATGTAATTATGCAAATTCGAATAAAAAACCATCTTGGGTGGGTATCGATAGTTTGTTTATCATTGATCTATTATAGCAGATAGTTCTCGTGACATTATGCTGTGAAAACTTGACTTCTCGTCAAATAATGTCTCAGGTTCTTCTAAATTGCGATCTATAATACTGGACTGAAAGACTAGATGGTTATGAACATCTTCGCAAATAAATAGACTTGAGTATTTGAATTTCATGGATGAATACTAGAAGCATTTAAGTTATCGTTTTTTCTCTCGTAGTTTACTCAGTGACGAAACTCATCGTTTAGACTCATAAATATCCTTGTTAGGATCATCATCTTCAATAGGCACTGATTCGAAATCATTTTTTATGGTAATTACAAAATTTGATGATCTAAAAAGAAAAAATATATAAACTAGCGTAATAAGATAATCGACAATGATCAACTTACTAGTGCTAGAATAGTACTATCGATATTTTCTATTATTGAATAAAAAAGCAACAGATCAAATTTGAGTTTAAAAAATAGTACGGATACTGACCATCGGCAAATTGCTTTAGTAACGTCGACTGTTCTGCTGTATCATAATCGATTTCGAACTCTTGTCCGTCGTTAGGCACTATTTTCATGTTGATACTAAATAAACTGTAAGAAAAGTTGCGCAAACATATAGAAATCAAATTTCAGAACGAGAAAGAAAACACTCAGTTGCGATCGAATGATGGTGCATAACAACAACAATTTCAGTCACATGTTATTTTGAAGAGAAGAATGCATTTTATTTAATCCTCTGCTTACATTGTCAAAAATTCTTCTCTGTCTTCATGGAACAAGCAGCATCGAATAATCAACAAACAACAGAATTTTCAGGTTGTGGTTCTGATCCAAATAACGTTGGTTCAATTCAAAGTGTAAAAGATGATAGCAACAGTGGTGGTGATGTCAAAGAACTCATTGCATTAGTCGGACATGGTCCTAGTGGACAAGGTTCCAGTTGTGTAAGTGCTAATGGTGTTGCTCAAGCAAACAGCTTAGCAGCAAACAAGATGTAGTCGACATTGGAAACAACCTGTATGAAAAAAGACAATATATAAGAACATATGACTGTATTCTATTAACATTCATATCCCGATAAATTTATCATTAGTTTAGTTTTATTTAAATGATTTTTTTCTTCTTAAATAATTATTTATTAAATCTTTTCACTCTTAACAGTTTTTAGTCAAATTTTTCAAAGAAATTTAATTTATATTTAATTCACATACATTTACAATTGATTTCAACTCTCTAATCAATGAAAAACTATATTAGGAATTTATTATTAGTTAAAATTGTTTATTCCGATGAAAATTTTTCTTTCTATTCGTATTTCAGCATTGTTTAACAGTGAACCATTAAAATCTCTTTTATCATCAATGAATTATTGTTTTTTTTATTTGCTTTTACTTCTTTTATGTTCTTTATATTAAATGTTTGTCTTTCATTATGTACATTCTTTCTCAAGAAAAAGTAAAGTTAAAAGAAGAAATCAGCTAAAGTTTTGTGTTTTTATATAAATAATAAAACGAATTATTCAAGAAGAAAATATAGTTTAAATCATGATAAAATTCATATTTTATTTCATTTGAATAATATAATTTTCATATTATGGATAAAGTGTAAATATAATCAAAATACGCGAAAGCATTGAGACAAATATGAAATTAATATCTATAACTAGCTTTTACTGAAAGAGTCAACTCATAAGCATAGAGCAGTGATTTCCATCTATGAATTGGATGAAAATATACATAAGCAACCAACTTTTCTTGGCAATTCTTCCATATTTTCCGTTGAGAATGGTGGATAAATAAGCTTTCTTGACGAAAATATTAGTAGATCAAAACCATTTCGTAGCAAACATTTTTGATCATATAATTAATTTCCAGAATGTATTATGAGCGAAGTAAAGTCAATACAAACACTAAAAGATGTTGAGAAAACTAGCATAATGGACTACAAAAATACTTCGTAGGTTAATTGTAACCTGAGGGTGTGTGTGTGGTGTGGATGTTCTCACTTTTCTCATCGCATACCCACACACTCGATAATAAAATTTATATTCTAATAACTGTTGCACATGCATGAGGTTATGTAGAAGAAATTCCTAATAAACAAGATGTCATAATTTTGGAACAAAGAAAGTTAATAGATGGTAAAAAGAGATATTTTTTCAAAATATAATATTATGTTTTTTCTTCAATTGACTCGAAAATGTGGGTAAATGTGAATATAAGTATTGCGTTCCTCCTTCGCTTACACTCATCCATTCGATATCCGTCAAAAACTCTGAGTAAAAGCTTAATCCTTTTAATTCAAGAAATAATTTGTCAGTCAATTCATTAGTTTTAATGACTGTTCAGTGAATACTTTGAAATAGAATGATAATCTGTATTGTAAAAAAGATTCGCTCGATGTTTTTAAAGGTAAATGATTATTTCTCATTATTTTCGTTTTTGATTATGCATATTCTCAGAACAGATCACTGATCTACTCAGCAACTATACAATTATCTCAAGTTGAGAGAGAAAGTATTTTATATAAATATTTTATTTCAAGTAACTTTCAACAAATTATAGAAAGGTCTCACATTTCATTCAAAATAAAGAATATTCGCCTATGATACATTCGTACTTTTCTATTGATTGCAATCTTTGTTTCATCGAATGTCTCTTAAAAATCTTAGAGAAAGATATAATACTTTTTCATGTTTTGAGAATTCAGGGCGTGAGTGTGGGTATTTATCTTTTCTTTTCTACACCCACATTCGGCTTGACAGTACTACAAACAGGTCCATTGTGACTGTAAAAATATTGAATTAAGAACTCTAGTTGAAATCAACAGATAAAATTATATATCATTGTTCAAATTACGTTTAAAATCAGCGCATAAATACGTATGTATATATTTTATATATTACACAATTGTTACAATAAAAAAAAAATGTCAGCATCCTATAAAAATACGAAATACGATGCGAAAAATATTATTGAATATACATTCCGAAAATTTTTACCCATTTTTTTGACCACTTACTAATTTCTTATTATAGAATGAAATCGAGTAGATCGAATAATATAATGATATCCATTGCATACATAACTGCACCTTGATATAAATAGATGGATATAAAGCAAATGTTATTGAATTTATTCAAGTCAACAGGAGAGAAAGTAACAACAGAGCATAAAAAATTCAGTACTATACGATCATTACATATTTTTGGCAACATAATTAGAAAGAATGGCGTTGATGCATCACATAGTCATCTGTTTTCTCGCTTATCAGTCGTTAAACAGTCGTTCCAAAAGAATAACAGAAAATGTTAGTTACAAAAAAAATTAGCGCATTAATTAGCAAAAAATCAGCAAATCTACAGTACTTCTCTCAACAGTTGCATTAATACTTTTGTACAGTGTAATTAAAAAATTTAATCTCTAATTTAAACCAACATTTTCTGTTTTTTTCTTCTATGATTTTGTTCTACTATAAAATCGAAGTTGCTCATAAATTCACTTATAAAGAAAAAAATTATTCAATAGAAAAAATTACTTTATAATGTGTCAAATATTCATCATAATTTTTCTTTGTTTCAGATAGATTGCGTTCAAAAATAATTTTAAATTTTCTCACTTTTCTGTAAAATATATATATGTAATTTCTTTCATTAAGATTATACGTCTTCTACACATTACAATTGCTCTAGTCATTAAAAAAAAATAATTCTAATAAAACTTCTCACGTCGTCTCCAAACTTCAACAACTGTATTCACTCGAAAATATAATTCTAATCAATATCTAATATCCTCTACAAATCACAAAAACTTTACTCACTTAAGAGTATAGTTCTAATAAAAATCACACGTTGTCTATCTATTAGAGATATTGTCAGTAAACAAGTAAATTTCCTTCACATATTTGAAAATATTTAGATTTTAATTAATAGTTATTTTCAAAATTCAACTCATATTCGAAAAAAAACTTCGAAGTTTATCAACTTTTCAATAATTCAAATTTAAATAACTTAATTTAATTAAAATTGTAATATAATTATGTTAGCAAATAAGATGTACCCAATATGTAACATGAAACATGTGCTTGTTTCGTTATGTTATCCTTCATATATTTCTTGTATCTGTCCTTTGTATATTTTTTCTTATCGATTCTTCATATATTTCGTTTATGTCTTTTGTATATTTTTTATCGATTCTTCACATAATTCGTTTGTCTTTTATATATTTTCTTATCGATTCTTCATATATTTCGTTTGTCTTTTGTATATTTTTTATCGATTCTTCACATATTTCTTGTATCTGTCCTCTGTATGGCTTTTTTATTAATCCTTCATACATTTCATTTATACGTCCTTCATATATTTATTTATCGTTTGTATATCTTTTTGTATCAATCCTTCATAAATTTTGTTATGGTAATCTTCTTCAGACGTGTTTTGTTATCCTTCATGTCTCTCTGTTAGTTCACATCTTGTATCTGCTCACGTCCACTTCTTGTTATGGCGACGGGTAGTGGATACATATAAAAAGAGTTGAAAAATAATGTAATGAGAGTTACAAATATAGTTAGAGTCGGAGTGTAGTTTAATATTATTGTGTGTTGATTCTCTTGTATGGCGCGTGAGTGTTATTTATATTGAAATAAAGATTTACACCACCACTTATTCTCTTTAAGTTATATACATTTCATTACGTTACAGGTATGATCTTGCATGAGAATACAAAAAGTTAAACTTTTTTTACAGGATGTTCCAACATCATGTTAAGAAAAAACTTGAATATCTTCATCATTTTTTAACTTAATGAATTAATTCTTTTTTCTGATGATCAAGGAGAGATCCCAGTTTTCATTTAGTAATCAACAGTTCGTAGATACACTTGAAATTAATCACCATCAATATATCTAACAAAATTTGATCTATTTCGTCGAATATTCCCATAAATTGTTAACTCCAACAAAGAGATAGACCTTTAAGATTTTTATTAGCATATTCTATTTTGTAGAGCTTTTTTCGTTGAACATTTCTGTAAAAAAACTTTTGTATTATCATTAATAAATGATGATACTTGGGCCAAAATACAAATAAACGTCAAGTTGTACTGGAGTCGTGAAACAATATTTTTTCTCTATTTTGATTGTAGCATCGTCATTTGCTGGTGATGATAGAAAAGGTTTCTTTTACGAAAATGATCAGTAAGAAAAACTCTACAAAATAAAACTTGTTAAAAAAATTGAAAGAAATATCTCGTTTTTTGTTTGACTACGTATTAAACTACCAAATGAAATGGTTACATTTTGTACTACAATGCAAAGTGATACCGCTAAACATTGTTTCTGAAACTTGTTCGTATAAAAAAGAATTTGTTAGATTCACCTGTCATTTAAAAAAATCTGTTGGTAAAGTTAAATGTAACAGTGTAGATATACGAAAGAACGTTTTTCAGGTATCATTGAAGCATCCTGTAGTTTATGATAGAATGATGGATACTTGATTCGTTCATTTCTTTTATTCTGCTATCACCATGCCTCTCTTGATTTTAGCCCTGCGATGTCCCTGCGATCGATATATAAGGAAGAAAAAATTTACGCCACATGCTGTAAAAAGGTTTTCATTTTGAAATGGAAGAATCAACTTTTTATGCATGTCTGGTGGACATCACCAGACAGTCATTATCGAATGTCTATCTCTATCAATGACACATCTCAAAACAATATTAAATTAATATAATAAATGAAAAATGCCGACAAAGTCTGATAAATGAAGGATTATACTGTAATATTTGACTTTCATTGATAAGATCTGTAAAACGAAAACATGAATAGCTTTACTTTTAGATTAAATACATATTTTCACCTTTTCTTGTTGGAAGAGTTAGTCAGTATTGTGTTCAACTTTCTTAAGATTCATTATTGTACCAGCATGGACAAATCTGATTTGGTAAAACAAGATTTAGAAATCGCTCATAACATGCCACATATATTCACAATTCAAGAGAATACAGTGTCTATTCGTCGTCTGCGAGCAGCTTTACCTATGATTAATGCGAAATACGGGAAATTCCATACAGCAACCAATATGAGCAATACAACGTCAAATGAGCAACTTCTACTATTAGCAAATGACGATCAAGCTCTATTTAAATTAAGTATTATTTCTGAAGATGACGAAATCCAAATGATTCTCGACAAACAAACGAGCAAACAAGCATCATTCGACTTTGAACAAGGACGTTTATTCTACTGCCTCGCTATTAAACGATCACTAAACTGTGATGAAGATTTACTTATAACTAACGATATAATTATCTTTAATTTCGATGATGATCTCTTCGATAACGACACCCTGGACATGTTTTATTACGATATTGATTTAGCATATTCTACTGGACATGTATCATCAACTGAATTTGAAGAACGATACAATATGCAAAGTGAGTAACCAATTTTTGTTAGAAAAAGAACTTTCATCCTGTAAAACAAGTTTTTCTGGTAAATGATCTGAAAGTTTTTGAATTGACAAACAAAAAACAGACAATCAAACGTGAATGACAGAGTGCAAGAAATTCGAGAAGATATTTAGCTAGTATGCTGTCATCCGATAAAAATTACTTTTGCATTCATACATTCCTTCAGCGACACCACTGTCGATAGTATCGGTAATCAATAAAACAGAATTATACATTCCTAATCTTAATTCAGACAAAAACCGTTCATTACAATGGTTTATATGTTAAGATCTTCGTTACATAAACGTTTAATTCACAAAAGTTATTTTATACTATAATTTTTACATATAGATCTTCTGACGCCTAGCGGTTATCAAGACAATCAACATCTCGCGCTGCCCTATGATCGACAACCGACCGACGACAATCACTTAACTAGTCTTCGTTGGTCAGCTTCGGTTAACTTCGATTCGAATCTATTACATACTTTTCTCGATTATGCATCATCGATAAACGTAGCTCCAAAGAACTTGGCATTGGCATGTTACTATATCTTCTTATTTAAGTTAACTAGTGGCGAACGAAATTTGTGTGTTGGGCAAAAAATCGACAATCGATATCTGTTAGAGTTTTGTGACGTCATAGGAATGTTTGACACAAAGTATGCACTTTTTATATAATCGAATAATATATTTGCCTTCAAATTTCATATAGATTTCCGTTTGTTGTTTATCTTGATCCATATGCGTCCTTCCTCCAGCTTGTTAACGAAGTTAACGAAATGGTAACACACACTACACAACAAATCCTTGTTACATACTCGCGCAAAAAGCACAGCCATTCAACATCGATAGAGTCCGTTAGCCCCGAAATATCATTTACGTTTCGCACAATTTCTTATCTTGTTTACAACAATTCGGAAATAGTACGCGAGGTGTCACTAGGCGACGCACACCTGACAGCATTGCAGCCTTATCCAGCATATATTCTCCCTAATAAGATTGACACCAAATCTCATTTATCGTGTAGAATCGATTATAATAAATGCTCGAATACGCTTGTGGGCACACTACACGCATCTTCGCACATGTTCAATCAATCAACACTGCAGGATTTAGCTCAGCGATTTCATATTCTCTGCCAACAGTTATTTTGTTCAACGTTCGATCGAAAAAAACAATCTGTCTATGAACTATCTATTCTTCTACCTACAGAACATCAACTAACGAAAGAACTAAGTAATTATGTTACAACACCAAACGTCACTTGTTGCATTCATCAACAATTCGTCAAACAAGCAATGATGCATCCCGGTAAAGTAGCTGTTACACTTGATGAACAGACTTTAACTTATGAAGAACTACTAGCTCAAGTCCAACGACTAGCATATTTTCTCATCAATAGTCAAGGTGTACAACCAGGCGATATTATTTGTCAGTGTGTTCATCGAAGTATTGAAATGATCGTAGGCATTCTAGGTATTTTGATGTCAGGTGCTATCTATGTGCCACTAATTCCAACTGATCCTATCGATCGTCTACAATCACTTATTCATCAAGTTGATGCTAAGCTAGTGCTTGTCAATCAAAACTCACCTTCACATTTGAATCGATTCGATGTACCCATTGTCGACATCTCAGAAATACTTGACTGTCCTGTCCGTCTCAACGATGCTCAGATTGAACAGCTATCTCAAGTTGTCGTCACACCACAATCGATTTCTCATATTGTGTTCACATCAGGATCAACTGGTCTTCCAAAAGCTGTTCAACTTCGTCATCGTAATTTGTTAGCCAACATAAAAACTCATATCATCGAAGAAAATGATGTTGTTCTTCAGCTCTCAAGTTCTTCTTTTGATTCTCATTTGGATGATATTGGTGGTGCACTTCTTCAAGGTGGTCATTTAGTTCTTCTCAAAGCTGGAGGTCATCTCGATTTTGATTATATGACAAAAGTGATTTATGAGAAGAATGTGACTTATGTTGGACCTGTGCCATCGTGGATCGGTGCTTTAAGTGAATTTCTAAGTGAAAACTATCACGCTCAAGAACGAGTCAGACAAGTGCATTGGTGGTACTTAGGAGGTAAGATAAAGTATAGTTTGTGAAAATAGACATCGAATTCATCACATGTAATCGATGGTAATAAATAATATTCTGTTTTCAAAGGTGAACAATTGTTGAGCTCAACAGTTTCTCAGCTTTTACCATTCATCAGCGAAGAAAGTCGTATTTTCAATCTTTATGGACCTGCGGAAGCTACAGTGGTGACCACTTGTTATGAGATTAATCGAAAAGATCTTTCTACAATCATTTCATTGCCCATTGGTCGTCCACTGCAAGGATATCGAATTTATCTTCTTGATGATTACCGACAACCAGTAGTGCCTGGTAAAGAAGGTGAAATTATCATTGGAGGTAAGTGATCTAGTTTATGCTTAGGCATACAGATATATATCCGTTGTACAATGTATAGGTGTTGGTGTGTTTGCTGGTTATTATGGACGAATGGATTTGACGAGACAAGTTCTGATTGAGATGGATGGTGAGCAATTCTATATGACTGGCGACTTAGGTCGATTGGATGTTGAATTAAATGGACTTGTCTTTGTTGGTCGACGAGATTTCCAAATAAAACTGCGTGGTCAACGTATAGAACTACGAGAAATTGAAGAAACAGTGTTAAAAGGATTATCGAGCGTCTCAGGATGTGTGGTCATAAAATGCATACATCAAGGAGAAGAGCATCTTATTGCATATGTGGAAACACTATCGAATACAGTCAAAGAATCGGATGTGCGTGATCTTTGTCATTCTCTCTTGCCGTCCTATATGGTTCCAACAATGTTCATTATCTTAGAACGATTTCCATTGACAAAGAATGGGAAAATCGACCGTAAAACCTTGCCGGAACCAAAATTCGCTAGTCTCATGGAGTCATCAAGTGAATACAACAAACCATTAACTGAAATGGAAAAACGTGTACATGATTTGTGGTGTCAAGTCTTACGTATAACACATATTTCTAGAACAACATCCTTTTTTTCTGTTTATGGTACGTCGCTCGCCTTCATGAAGTTATACAATCTCTATCAGATTGAATTTGGTGTTACCCCAGACATTGTCGCATGCTTTCAACATGCATCGATTGCTGAACATACTCGACTCTTAAATGAAAGTGTTGCATCAATAGTCAGCAAACATTATCGAGCTTGGTCTTGTCTACACCTCGATCAAGGTATGTAGAATCACACAAGATGTTTCATGAGGAGTTTATAACGATCTACTCTATTTTATTTAGATGAAATCTCGTTTGCTCAAGCACGCATTTTTATCGACGAACAGATTCGGTTTCATTCTTCCGATGATAATACCATCGCCATATACAACATTCCATTGATTTATCGCTTGTCCGAGGGTACTATATCAATCAAGCGTCTACAACGAGCTCTCAGAAATATAACTAGAAAACATGCTGTTCTTCGCACTTGTCTTCGCATGGATCCAGTTCATGGAAATCTAATACAATATATTCAATCTAATGATAAACAAGATTGGTTCACGTTCTCGAAAGACATCATACAAGACGACAATATGTTGGCAACGATTTTTATGAATGAATGGACGAATCGATCACATTTCGATCTTAGCCAAGGTCGAGTTAGTCGTTGTCATATTCTACACTACCAACGACGATCTGAGAAGGACGATGACAATCTACTATCAATAGGAGATTGGATTATTTTTAATTTTCATCATGTTGCGTTCGATGGTGAATCCGAACAAATATTCTTCAATGATCTTCGCAATTTTTACATCGATGAGCAGGAACAGGCTGTTGAAGATTCAGAAGCAGCACTACAGTACATCGACTGTGAGTTTTTCTAGAAATCTTCGCGCAACGTAGTCAAACGACTTTTTAGCACTCTGCTTTTTTTTGACAAACTGCATATAAAACTTTCATTCTTCATTTCAGACGCCAATCACGAACGAAACATCGACATGACATCAGCTAAGAATTATTGGCATCGAGCTCTTCTCGGCTACGAACTTGAAAAATCTATAAATCTGCCTGTTGATCGAAAACTTCCCTTCAATGCGATTCGAACTGGTCAAGGATTTAGCGTGGAAATAAATTTTAACAGTCACATTGGCAAGGAACTTATTGACTGTGCATCACAGTCAAACGCCACCCTTTATCAAGTGTGTCTTACAATAGTTTATATCTTTCTATTCAAGTTAACCGGTGGTCAACGCGATCTTCTTATTGGCATAGTACAAGCCAATCGTTATCGACCAGAACTTCAACGAATTATAGGCATGTTCGTAAACACTCTTCCCATGCGCATTCTTGTCGATTCACAACTTACTTTCGAACAATTACTTTGTGAAGTATCCACTATGATGTTCGAAACACAACCACACTCGAATTTACCCTATCAAACTATTCTTGAACAACTTTCAATCCAGAAACAGCAGCAACAGAACTTAATTCAAACTATGTTTACTTTAGAAGAGCAGCATTCGCAATTTATTCGACTCGGCCATGATAGTATAATTGAACCGTGGTCCACGTCTAGTTTGGTCGATAATCTCGTTTCAATCGGAATACCAACTAACACGGTGGCTATGTTTGATCTATCACTTTCATTTGAATACATGGCGAATACACATTCATTACGAGGTGAAATAATTGGTTCATGTGACCTTTTTGATTCACCTACGATCGTGAATATTGCTCGACGATTCCAGTTCATTGTTGAACAATTGTTCTCACCTTCATCGATAACTATGGCGAAGAGAGCACACTCAATCTCTGATCTGTCATTGGTTTTACCTGAAGAAATAGCAGAAGATATACACAACTTAAGATCCATATCAAAAAATAAAATGGATCTCACAGGTAAAACAATCACTTTTGATCTTGAATGATATATATATATGTGCACTTATTGTTCTATTACAGCCCGTGCCTCCTTCGCTCAATCGCGTATTTGGCTCGACGAACAGAACACTACCGATTCACAAGTAGCTGTTAACAACATGCCATTTGTCTACAAGATCACAGAAGGAATCCTATCAATTGAACGTCTTCGACATGCTCTTCAACTCGTTGTTCTCAAGCATGCTTCACTTCGAACATCACTGTTCTTTGATTCTATAACAAAATGCTTGATGCAACGCATCATTCATCCTGTTGACAGCAAGGAAGAGTTATTTGGTTTTGTGCAGAGTACATTGGATAGTGATATCGACCTGAAAACTATGCTGCTCGATGAGCGACGTAATCTATCGTATTTCAATTTGTCGAACGGTCGTGTATTTCGTGTTCATCTGATTAGAAAGGAAACCGGTAATCAAGATTCGCTTGGAACTGGAGATTTCGTGATTTTCAATTTTCACCAAGCGATATTCGATATTTCATCATTTAACCTATTTCATCGAGATCTTTGCGAAGCATATGACCGCGAAACAATATTGCCAGTCGATGTTAATGATTTCGATTACAATGATTGTAAGTTAGATTTCGTTTAGTATGACACTTTTTCCCAAACATATATTGTGTTTTGGTTCTATAGATGCTATCGCTGAACAAGATATGTTAATGAAAACCGCTAGTGCCTTCTGGCACGAGACAATGTTTGACTTCGATTGGAATCGTCTTATTAACTTACCAATAGCTCATCAGCGTAGTTCTGATGAGCAACAGACTAGTAATATCTATACAACTAGTTTCATGTTTGACGATACCGACGTAAAAGAGCTTATTGATTATGCATCAGCGCAGAATATACCAATACTAGTCCTATTTCTTACTTGCTATTATGTATTTCTGTTCAAATTGACCAGCGACCAAACGGACTTATGTGTCGGTATGAATATAGATACACGATATCGATCCGAATTCACAAATATAATTGGCAGATTCGACAATATGTAAGTATTAGTTTTCTCCGTTACATATCTATTCAGAATTGGTCAAAATGCTATATATATTCTAGAATTCCACTACGCTTCCAACTTAATCCTGTCGCAAGCTTTGAGAATTGCTTGCATCAAGTAACAAGATTTTATCATCAATGTTTGCAACATGCTCATTTTCCATTTGAACGTATTCTTCAGTCATTTTCATTACCATCAACTACTTTTCCAAACATCTCTCTCCACTTCCAGACAAACGACAACACTGAATATAGTAAAAGCTTAATTAGGTTTGGTAATACACAAGAAACACAGACCATACTAGCTCCGATGGAACAATACTCTGCTGATGGAAACAAGTTTATATCAAAATCTGATTTGTTGCTAGCGATCGATTACAATAAATGTTCAAATACGCTCGTCAGCACACTAAACGCATCTTCTCACATGTTCAATCAATCAACACTGCAGGATTTAGCTCAACGATTTCACATTCTCTGTCAACAACTATTTTGTTCGACGTTCGATCGAAAAAAACAATCTGTTTATGAACTATCTATTCTTCTACCTACAGAGTATCATCTAACGAAAGAACTAAGTAATTATGTTTCAAGACCCAGTGTCACTTGCTGCATTCATCAGCAATTCGTCAAACAAGCAATGATGCATCCTCGTAAAGTGGCTGTTACACTTGATGAACAATCTTTAACTTATGAAGAACTACTAGCTCAAGTCCAACGACTAGCATTTTTTCTCATCAATAGTCAAGGTGTACAACCAGGCGATATTATTTGTCAGTGTGTTCATCGAAGTATTGCAATGATTATAGGTATTCTAGGTATTTTGATGTCAGGTGCTATCTATGCGCCACTAACTCCAACTGATCCTTTTGATCGTCTACAATCACTTATTCATCAAGTTGATGCTAAGCTAGTGCTTGTCAATCAAAACTCACCTTCACATTTGAATCGATTCGATGTACCCATTGTCGACATCTCAGAAATACTTGACTGTCCTGTCCGTCTCAACGATGCTCAGATTGAACAGCTATCTCAAGTTGTCGTCACACCACAATCGATTTCTCATATTGTGTTCACATCAGGATCAACGGGTCTTCCAAAAGCTGTCCAACTTCGTCATCGCAATTTGTTGGCCAACATAAAAACTCATATCATCGAAGAAAATGATGTTGTTCTTCAGCTCTCAAGTTCTTCTTTTGATTCTCATTTGGATGATATTGGTGGTGCACTTCTTCAAGGTGGTCATTTAGTTCTTCTCAAAGCTGGAGGTCATCTTGATTTCGATTATATGACAAAAGTGATTTATGAGAAGAATGTGACTTATGTTGGACCTGTGCCATCTTGGATCGGTGCTTTAAGTGAATTTCTTAGTGAGAACTATCATGCTCGAGAAAGAATTAGACAAGTGCATTGGTGGTACTTAGGAGGTAAGAAAAAATATACTTTGTTTAACCAGACATAAAATTCATGTCAAATGATCAGTGGTAATAAATAATATTCTGTTTTCAAAGGTGAACAATTGTTGAGCTCAACAATTCGTCAGCTTTTACCTTTCATCAGTGAAGAAAGTCGTATTTTTAATCTTTATGGACCTGCAGAAACTACAGTGGTGACTACCTGCTATGAGATTCATCGCAACGATCTTTCTACAATCATTTCATTGCCCATTGGTCGTCCACTGCAAGGATATCGAATTTATCTTCTTGACGAATATCGACAACCAGTAATACCCGGTAAAGATGGTGAAATTATCATTGGAGGTAAGTGATCTAGTTTATGCTCAGGCATACAGATATATATCCGTTGTACAATGTATAGGTGTTGGTGTGTTTGCTGGTTATTATGGACGAATGGATTTGACGAGACAAGTTCTGATTGAGATGGATGGTGAGCAATTCTATATGACTGGCGACTTAGGTCGATTGGATGTTGAATTAAATGGACTTGTCTTCATTGGTCGACGAGATTTTCAAGTGAAACTGCGTGGTCAACGTATTGAACTAGCCGAAATTGAATCAGTAATTCTTCGGTCATCACTCGAGATAATGAATTGTATTGTTATGAAAGAAGGTGTTACAACTGATAGTTATTTGTCTGCATATATTCAAGCGAGAGAAGACAACGAAAATCGTGATATTCGGAACGAAACAATTCAATTCTGTAATTTATATTTGCCTCCGTATATGGTACCCTCGAAATGGTTCTTTATCCCAGAATTTCCACTAAACGTAAATGGTAAAATTGATCGAAAGAAATTATCAAGTATTGGCGAAATCGCAGATTTACATCTGCAAGATAGACCTATAATAACATTGTCTCCATTGGAACGAAAGTTGCAAGACATTTTCTTCCGAGCATTTCGTCTGGATTCGCCACCTGATATTCGAATATCATTTGGTCAACTAGGTGGTACATCATTGGGTGCTATGCGTGCACTCATTTTTATTCGACAAGAGGTATCTGAGAAAATAGACATTGGACTTCTTCTGAAAAATCCTTCGGTAGAAGAATTGGCCGCAGCCTTAGAAACATTTCTCGCTGTAGTAAAGAGTGATGAAGAGAGTAAAGACGGAGTTGATGATGATAATGATGATGACTTTTCAGTTCGACCTCACCCTTCATGGATTATTGAAACAATTGGTATTCTTCTCCTTACATGTCAATGGCTGTGGCCAATCTTTGTAGCAACTAGATTACACTTTAGTTTCTTTCAAATTCTACTTATTCCATTAATACATCTAGTACAATACCCACTATTCATAAAACTATTTGGCGGACCAAATCAACAAGGTCGAGACACTCTTTATACGTGGCGCTACTATCGTTTATGGTTTCTACGATGTCAGTGGTCGCTTAATATTTATTGTCTTGAGTATTTGCTGGGCACTCCATTTTACAACGCCTATCTCCGTCTATGTGGCGCACGTATCAGTGATGGAGCACATATTTATACTACGCACATTGATGCACCTTGGTTGTTAGAAGTTGGAAATGCTACTTATATTGGCAGCGAAGTTGTTCTCTCTTCTCTTACGTATCACGATCGTATTTATGATTTACACGAAATTCGTGTTGGATCTCACTGTTCGATTGGAGCACGATGTGTTCTTCATGATCGAGCACAGATACATGATGGTGTTTTCTTAGAGCCGTTGACTGCTGTCACAGGTCAGGTATTTGGAAAATATCAAGAAATTTCAGCGTCACCTTCGCTTACTTATGGTCGATTGTCTTTTCAATTTGTTTCTATCCTTGCAACGGCTAGCACACATGTATTCGTTCTTCAGCTGAGCTGGGCTTTGGTGTGTTGGTTGCCGTTGTATTTGAGTTTGCCAATATGCTGGCTATTCTATTGTGCCCTTGGTAGTGGCATCAGTCTTATGTTGCTTCGTTGTGTAGTTGGCAATGTTGAACAAAACTTCTCCTATCCACTCAATTCCTGGCAGTTTCTTCATCGATTTTGGTTGCGGCAGCTAGTTCTCAGTTCTTTTACTCGATGTCTTTCACCTATCTTAGACGAAATGAATATCATTAGATTCTGTTGTGGCACCTAACCAATAAAGGATTGATGGAGCAATGATATTCATTTCGATGATTTTGTCAATCTTGTACGAATACCGTCAAATCTGCTCTCACTTGGACATGGTGTCACGATTACATCTGACGTATTATTCATTCCGTATGAAGTCACAACAAGCAGCCAGTGCATCGTTGTGGGTCCCATTCAGATCGGTAATCGATGCTTTCTTGGCAATAAATGTATCCTTCGATCGGGTGTTTGCCTTCAAGAGGACATGCTAATTGGTTCTCTAACACGGATTGATTTGACAACTATTAATGAAAAGCAAAGTTAGTATAATGAACTTTTCGATAGATTTTTCTCCTGCAAAATAAAAGAAAATCTGATCTTTGTCGAATGCTCCTTCCGTTCTATCCTATATGAGTTAGTGAAAAAATGTTTCTTCTGATCTACTCGTATTTTTTCGAACCAATATTGTTGCTAGCTGTGACCATTGAATTGTATGTTTCGATTTAGGTAATATCCTTCTTGGTATTCCGGCGCAACCTTTGCCCTTTAGTTTGTCAATCGTTGACCAATTTCATTCGCAGACGATGGAAGAACGACTCAGGAAGCGAACGATCTTCAACAGTCTTCGACCAATACTAATAGAATTAGCAAACATTTTTCTTCTTGCTATATGCGTCGTTCTAAGTTCGAAGGTAGCTTTCATGTTCAATCAATTTATACTTATAATACCCATATTTTTATGTGTCTACTCATGTGCCGTTTTTGTTTTTTACAAGCATCTGATCAATGACAAGTCCGGTCAGTCTGACGGCAATATATTAGTTGTTGATTGGAAAACAAATTGGCGTATAGTATTAGCAGTGTCGTTGTGTGGTAACTATACAAAATGGGTGAGTTGCTTTTTAAACGGTACACAGTGGCTCGTCATTGTTCTTCGACGATTCGGCGCACATATTGCTAATGATGTTATTATCGATGATATGAAATCACTCGATGATGTCCATTTAGTCACGATTGGTAGTCATGCACGTTTATCATCGACATCTAGAATACAGGTATAATAAACTCTTCAGTTTTGTCAAATATTCTTTCATGTCAAATTCTTTTCTATACAGTGTCACACATTCGAAGGACGTTACTTGAAACTTCGTCCTGTTACAATTGGCCCTGCTGCCATTATTAAACCAATGTCAGTTATCCTACCGGGTGTTACATTGATGGGTGACAATCATTTGGCACCTTGTTCAGTAGTTCTACCCCACGATCGACTAGAAGCACACACTGATTGGTCCGGTTCACCTATAAAGCGCGTTCTTGTTCATCAAGGTTTGGGTCCACCACAACATATTCTTGCCAAGCGTCAATCGATGTTAGGTGAATATGATGTGATTGTTGGTCGATTTAACAATGATATACTTACCATCTATTTTGGAGAAGATGGGTGGTTAGATTGGCAAACAGGTGTAAACTTGCGGCGCCCTTTTCGACCAGATGATTTGTGGATCCGATTATTTTTCACAACGTTTTTATGCAAATCGAGCGCAAATCGGGTACTCGTTATCGGTCTCGGCGGTGGCATCTTACCCATGCTCATTCGACACTATTTTCCATCAGTCATAATTGATGTGGTCGAAATTGACGAAACGGTTATAGAACTAGCTGTTGATTATTTTGGACTTGCCGAGCAAATAACAGATGGCTATTTGAAAGTATGTTATCTCTTTCTACTATTGTTGGAATTGAAAAATATTTTTTATGTTTGCATATATAGATCATCGCTGCTGATGGTTTTCGTTATGTAAACGAAACAACACAGCGCTATGACATAGTTTTTCTGGACGCGTTCACAGAAAAGGTAATACCTGTTCATATAAATACTCGTCAGTTCTTTACCAATTTGCATGGTATTTTGACTAATGGTGGTTGCTTGGCAACGAACTCCAATGTTTCTACAAATGAAGAATTTACCCGACTTGTCGAAACGCTTTCGTCAACATTCGAAGCAAATCTCTTATTGGCGCACAGTAATATCCTGGAAAATTCTCGGGTTATCATTTCTGGTAGTCGATCGTCCTTAGCACCAATTATTTCACAAGATCAAGCTGTTCAGGAAGCAAAACGACTTGAAGTGAATGCACATTTAGAATTTGGTTTATCGCGATTAATCTCATTAGCGTACCGTGGTTTACTTAACGAAAGCGCATCTGAGAAATAGCAGAAACTTCGATGATGTATCCCTTCGTTATATCTTTTTTACGTAGTACAAACACTGCATAATTATCTATTATAATTTTTCTTCATATCTTTCGACTGAGAAAGATCGAAAGATTCGTTTTGTTTTACATTTTGTTTGAACAATAATAAATATCAAGTTTGGCAGATTCTTAGTCACAGAAATTATGCATTATTCTTGTTCTCAAACTGTCGCTGTGTAAATTAGCCTTTTGCTTGATGATATTTTTTTTACCAAGAGTTGAGATAAATGTTGATTCGGTTCCTGTTTTCAGGTGTTCATTGTTCATCCATACATTCTTGTAAATATACATAATACTTTTTTTTTCATTATTAATACGGTCATGCTATGTATTGTGATATGGGACTACATTCGAAAAGGCAATGTATCAAAATTCCATTTTTGTTGATCAACCATTAGACAATGAAATCATTCTCCAAAGAATTAATAACCTAATAGAACTTATTGATGTAAAAACAACTAAAATATCAATTAACGAAGTTGAGTGTTTACCTATAGATCAAAACAATATTTGTATATACTATCAATTTTTATTATGGAAATGATAACAAATCGATAAAAACAACTATTCTTAGCCAAATGAAATGTAATTTACAACAAAAACACCTTGCACTTTCAATAACAATTAGGGTAGGAATGCAACGGTGACGGTTAGTCATCGGTTCACACCGGTCACCGGTGGACCGGTTACCGGTTAGACCGGTGACCGTCACCGTTGCATCCCTAAATCTTCCCTAATCAAGACTGCCTTTCATCTTCCTGTACTTGTACAAAATCAGACTGCAAAAATTCAAATATATTATTTATAATAGGTGCTGCTGTTTTATCATTGTTTACTTGTTCATATTGCATTTGATGACACCATCACTTCAGTTGATCCTCCTGTCTCACCCAACGTGATGACGGAATATGTGAACCACCCATTCTTTTGTATCTAAGTGTTATTTAAGACTATGTTAACATCGAACTATGCTCAAGAATAAAAGTACTTAGCATATGTACTTTTTACTGATACTAAGTACAAAATATTTAAGTAAAAAATTACCAAGTTAAGTACAGAGTAAATGAAGCTAGTACAAAATACTTTTACTTGTACTTGGTGTACTTGTACTCGTCCTATCTCTGATGCACACGAACAATGTAGAATTCATGACAAAAACAAGATATTGTATTCTCTTTATCTATCTTTACTTTCTGTATTTATTCTTTCTTCTTATTTAAATATTGTATAACGGTAATCGTTTTTCATGTAAGTAAAGTCACTATCAGATCTCACTTTTTCTTCTGTGGATTTTCTTGATGAGTTGTGTTGAGTCTTAAAATGTTTATGTTAGATTCAACAAAGTGAATATTAAAAATAAATCAAAGTTTAAGATAATGTTACTTTTCAAAAGAATAAGTTGTTATATAAATATATTCTATATAGCAATGCAATTGATCGAAAATTTACATTTATTTCAAATTAATTTAGTAGGATTTCGTTATTTATTTGATGGTTTTATCTATTCTAGAGATGAAAAAAGAACAGAAATATGTTCAATAGTATTTATTTTATTATTGAAAAGGTTGAAATTGATATTGTATCAGTTCTTTCTTTTTCATACATGATTTAAATTTAAAAATACATCTGCATATCAAGACAACAACAATATACAATTGGTAAAGATGAAATTATTGTATGGTTTACTCTCAATTTCATATTTTATATATAATGTATATATTATTATAAAAATAAATCTATTGTTAAATACAAAGAAGAATTATGAATAATATTAGGGTAAGAGGGTGTGGATGTGGGTATGACCTTTTCTTTTCTACACACACATCCACACCCTTGATAGTATGACCTAGTGTTCAATATCCACTCTCACGCTCAAGACGAAGATCAATGAACACAGCAAGAAACAAATAAAATATGAAACGCTTAAGATTTAAGGTAATTTCATCTCATGTTCTTGTAATTGTTATCGTATTATCTGAACTAGAATTTTAAGTTTAAAAAAATAGAAAAAAATTTAAATAAATACGCTAGTGTATTTTATTATTTGATTATAACGATGATCTTACATAAATATATATTTTAAAAAAATCTGGTCCCTATGAGGATCGAACTCATGACCTCCGCGTTATTAGCACGGCGCTCTAACCAGCTGAGCTAAGGGACCGATGTCATTTAATAACAAAAATAATTAGTCGATTTTTAAAGCAATTAATTTTTTTTTCATAAAGTATGAAACATTGATTATTGATTAATGAACTGCCTTATTCAATTAATTAGGCAAGATTCATCGTACAGCTGATATGATGCATGGATTGAAAAGCTTGACAAATTTACAAGAAAAAGTTGTGATACCTGGCTGATTTTTTGAACGTGGAATTTTATGATAGTGAATACATCAAAATAGTCTAAGAGACAATATGTAATCTTTCAAATAGTAAGACTACAATGATATACAACGAAAGACATATATAAAATTGTCGTCGATAGTTGAACGACCTCTATGATCTTTAGCAGTAGATTAACGTTCAAATCATAAAAGTATACAGTCTATAAGTGATGATCTTCCATATACCATTCCTTGGTTTTAAAATCTATGGGTTTAACAGCTTTACAAAGTATATAGAGGAAATTGTATTATGATAATGGTTATCAATGAGTCATTCATTGAGAATTTCAATTCGATTATGAAAGTTTCAAACATCGCTACTATCTTACTTCTATCAATCGCTCGAAAATATTTTAAAAGAATTTATACGTGCTCAATCAACAATATACTATATCATGTCTGTTATTAACAACGATTCGCAGTTGGATATTGATAGTTTAATCGAGCGACTTCTCGAAGGTATGCTCATTATTATTATTTTCATTTAAGAAATGCTTATCATCGGATTTTCTTTTGTTTTCAAAGTACGTAATGACTGTTATTCGTCAGATAAGTTCGTTCAAATGTCTGAAGAAGAAATATATCTTTTGTGTAACAAATCTAAAGATATCTTCCTCACACAATCGATGCTTCTCGCACTTGAAGTTCCTATCAAAATATGTGGTAATATTAGCTTTATATAGAATTTTTCACGAATTTTCTTTGATAGGCAATATTTATGGACAATATACAGATTTGCTTCGTCATTTTGAATCAAGTGGCTTTCCACCTCACTCCAACTATTTGTTTCTTGGCAACTACATTGATCGAGGTAGACAATCTTTGGAAACGATTTGTCTTTTACTCGCATACAAAGTTTGCTGATATTCTACACAATGTAAACTTCATGTTTATTTTATTTTCATTAGATAAAATATCCGAATAATATTTTCTTACTACGAGGAAATCACGAATGTAGCGCTATAAATCGCATCTATGGATTTTACGACGAATGTAAATATTGCTTACACTTTCTAATTTTCTCAATTATTATGCATACATTGTATTACTATCTCTAGGCAAACGACGGTACAATATTAAATTATGGAAATTATTCAATCAAGTAAGTTTAATAGCTTCTTTTTCTTTGATAAAATTTGCTATAAGATATCTATTGAAGTGTTTCAATTGTCTTCCAGTAGCTGCTATTATCGCTGGCAAAATATTTTGTTGTCAGGGAGGTAATATCTGCTTTTATTCACATTTAATATTTGCCTATTTATTTATTATCTGAAGGTCCTTCACCAGAACTCCATAGTTTGGAACAAATTCGACAAATCCAACGACCAATAGATGTGCCTGACACAGGTAAGAAATGCCTTTACTTCTCATTGTAATCATATTGATTGCTCTTGAATTTAGGTCTTCTTTGTGATCTATTATGGTCCGATCCGGACAATGATGTAAAAGGCTGGAGTGAGAGTAATACTGGTATTTCGCTTAGATACGGTGCTGATATAGCCAATGAAGTAAGTTATTAAATATATCCTTGTTTGACAAATACTAATGTTTTAGTTTTTGAATCGATATAATATGGATTTGATCTGTCGAGCACATAAAGTAAAATACTCTATAAAAATCATTGGATATTTTACTTCTTTTATAGGTTCTCGAAAATGGTTACGAATTCTTTGCTGATCGTCGACTAGTGACTATTTTTTCAGCACCAGACTATCGTGGTGGATTTGATAATACAGCTGCACTCATGTCAGTTGATGAAAATTTGAAATGTTCATTTATGGTATCGTATTTTTCTTTACACATTTTATATTCTTTTTTTATTATAGATTCTTCATCCAAAGTACAAACAAGTCGAGAAGCAAAATGATGAGAATTTAGATTCGAGCTGTCAAGCTCACTCTGTTAATGAGAAATTGGATAAATCATCATTAACTCTAATACATAATTGTCAGAAATGTGTGAACTGGGCTGACATAGATAATCATGTATCATCTAAAGAATAAATAGTGAAGGCAACTGTCATAATCGATAACTATAGTCCCTAAGTGATATATAAAGAAAAATAACATATATTAAATTAATGTGCTGCAATTGAAATAGGTGTGTTTTTTACTCACGCCCAGACTCTCATGATCTGTTTATTACATATATGTATATATATAAGAATAATATTTTTGCATTAGTTCATAAGATTACTGTTCATGTGTATTTAGCGTCAATGGACCTACATAAAGGAATAATATATAGTGATGTTTCTTATTATAAACGACAATATTTGACCAACTTACTGTGATCAGTAGTGATATTAGTTGTGCTTGTAATAAATGAGTAACTTCCTTCCCAAATATTATACCATGCAGAAGTTATACCATTTTGGGTAGTTCCTTGATATGTAGATCGACCAGGAAGAATTTTGATATTGATCATTTTAGTTTCTCCATTTTCAACGACTCCAGTATGAACAGCAGCAACAGCAATATTTGAATCATCTGTGTAAATATCTGTTCCCCAGACAGATCCTTGAATACTACCCGTAATCATAAAAGAGAAAGTTTGGCCGACTCTATCACGATAGATTTGGAGATCCGGTATAATAATTGCAGTAGTGATTGGAATTCCAACAAATGAATAACTACCTTCCCATGCACCATATGATAAAGAAGTTATACCATTACGAATACTAGCTTGATAGCTGAGTTCACCAGGAAGGATTTTTACAGTAACACTTTTCGTTTCACCAATCTTGACAGCTCCAGCATGAACAGCAGCAAGAGGAAGATTTGAATCATCTGTATAAATATCTGTTCCCCAGATAGATCCTTGGCTATTGCCCGTAATCATGAAAGAGAAAGTTTGACCCACTTTATCACGATAACCAGTAGGACTTCCAGATGTCTCGGCTATGATTACAAAATAAAATATTATACATCAAAGTGTTTTATTATAAATGGTCGAGAATTACATCTCTATTGTAAGTGAAGTTTTACTCATGCTCGGTAGCTCAGAATCATCATAAAATTAGCTTAATTCAGAGATGAATAATAGTTATGATTCAATCAAATTTTCCTCGTTTATTTTATAAATTGCCTTACCATTTGATGTCGAAATAAAGGATGAGTTAGACTGATTAACATTTGCGCCATGACCCAATATATGATCATGCAAGTGACGATAATGAATACCACTGCTTTTAGAGATGTTGTGAGTGACATAATTTGACGAGGGTTGCGAAGATGATTGATCGCTAACAGCATCAATTTTATTTGGAAAAACAACTGACTGTTTCTTCAGTGGTCCTGCTCGTAACCTGTCAGCATAACTTAAAAAGTGTGTCATTGTTATTGGTGATGTGAAAATAAGATGTGGGTTTGGTTAAAACAACTATGCAAGATTTTACTTTTATTGTTTCAACTCTTTAGTGTGTTAGTTGTTAACAACAGAAAAGAGAATGAAATCAATGTTTACAGTCTCTTTGTTTTTGTTCATTCTGTTGTCTCCCACAACGACATAAGGCATGGTGTTTTTCTTTCTTTTTCTATTGTTTCATAGCCAGAATATAAAAATAGAGTGAGGGTAAGAGAAGAATACAACACTCACACCTACTCTATGTTATATATTTGTTTCAAATTTAAATAAAAAATAATAGTAAAATTTATCAAAATGAAATTCAAGAAAAAAAAGTTTATTTATTGATCAAAACAAAAAAAATCAATATAGAAAAAGATATTTTCATTGAAGAATGAAAATAGATGAATAATACTGTGTTAAATAAAAAACTTTAATTGGTAATTGTAAAATTTCTTGATTGTGCATTATATTGTTGTCGACCTAAAATATTATTTTTAACACCTAAATGACGTATTCTATATAAATCATTTCCTGTTGGTTGTGTTGTTGGAATATTCCATTCAACAGTAATAACACTATGATCAAGTCCTTTTCGTTCCCATAAAAATCTTGTTTCAATATCATCATCTGTTAAAATTGGGACCCATTGTTGGTTCATAAATCGATCAACATATAAATATGATTTTTCAGTAAAAAGATCATTTCTTGGATTAGCTCCCCACCATGAACAACGAACTGTATCACCAGGTTTATATGATGAATTAACATCAGTTATAACATCACCAAATTTCTTTCCAAATGGTACACCTATGAATGAAACAAAAAAAGAGAAATATATATATTTATGATAAGATATATATCTTTATATACCATCCCAAATAGGTGGTAGAACAAATGAAAATGTTTTTCCTCTCATATCATATGGTTGTGGACCACTTGGTACAGATTGATTTAAAGATAATTTTGTTGCCATATCATCAAAAGTTTGTTCATAAGCAGCTAATGTATGTGGGCCATATAATGTTGATGCACCTTCATAACGTTGTTGTTGATATTCTTCATATGTTGTTATATAATGTGAATAACTATTTGAAAGACCAGCTATGACAACATGACTATCCGATGTCCATGCTCCCTTTTAACAAATTTAGTTTTAATTTAAAAAATAAAATTATTAATATCTTACTGTATTTTGTAAAGCTTGTTTAATTGCTAATTTTAATCTTCTTCCACTCATTGTTGTAAATTCTCCTGGAACTCCAACAATATATAATTGTCCAATTCGAAATAATTGATGTGGTAAAACGAATGGAACCCATTCAACTGGTTTAATAAGACCAACATCAAGTAAAATTGGTTTAGGTGCTTGACATCGAATTTGTTGTTGAGTTGGTCTTGCTAAAAATCCTGCAACAAATTGCCAAAAAGGATTTGTTGAATTTTCTGATTGAGTAAAATCAAAATCTCCTGGACCATCTGTTGTTCCAGCAGCAAATCCATAACCAAGTGCAGCTTGACATGTTGTTTCATTACGTTTTGTTGATGTAAAACGGCTACTTACATTAATTGTCTTACAAAAACAAAACAAAAAATTTATTTTATTTTATTTTTAAAAATATTTTTCTTACTTGCATATCAACGTAACTATGTCGATAATCAACCATATAATTTCCATTTAGAAACAGTTGTGCATTATCATATAAATTTTTTGCTGTTTCAAATTGTCTCGTACCAATAATTTCATTTGATTCATACATATTTTTTCCAGGTCCAAAAGCAATACATTTTTCAGTTCTTCCATTACATGTTGATGTAGCATAGTCACATGGTAAACCAGTATCAATACATTTTGGTCCCATTAAATTAGGACTAACATCACCTTCATTACTTTGTCCAAAAGCAGCAATAAATTTTCCTTGACCAGGTAATGTTCCTGGAGGATTTTTCGATTTTTCAAATAAATACGAAGCATAACCTTTATTATCACCGGCAACTAATAAATTTGTATTATTTAAACTAACAGCATGAACTGGATAAAAATTCATCATTCCAATTTCTTCTTTTCCATCAATTGATTCAAATCTAAGAACAGTCATTTCATGATCTGTATTATCAGGATATTCACCTTTATCCATATTATTATCATAAGAAGCTGGTGAACGATTTATATTTGCATTATCAACTTGTCCAACATTCATTTTAATTCTTCCAAGTTGAAGATTTTTATGTGCACGTATTATTGATTGAACAATTCCATTAACACAAGCTTCCCAATTCTCTTTAACAAAACCAAATGTTGTTATATCAACAAGAGCAGTTCCACCTGTACCACCTGGTGTTGAATGTGTATGAGTACCTGACATTAATACATTTTTATCATTATATAACTTTGATCCAAATGTTTTATTTAAACGATCAACAACTTCTGTTTTTATTATTTGAAATCCCATTCCATTATCAACTGATACATAAACAACACGATTTGCTTCTTTATTAGGATCACCAATAATAAATGCACGAGATCGCATTCGTTGTAATAAACCGCGACCTCGTTGCTTTGGAACTGCATAGCCCATAAATCCAACTGAAAAAAAAATAATTCATTCAATTTTAGATTAAGAAAATTAAATTACATACTTTCAGCGACTTGTCCGGTTACATCATATATCCCGGCTCCAATCTAAAATATATTTCATTATATAAATTTGAAAAAATTTAGTTTTTTTGTCGATAACTTACCAAAAATTTTCCGGGATCATTTTGCTGTGTTACAGTGTAATCAGTGCATAGGACAATTAAAATAAATGTCCACAAATATACACCGATCTTCATCTTAAAAAATTTAGAAAAATCTCTGTATTTATATTATAATGTTTTTCTTTTCTTTCGTGACTATATGCGAACTTAAAATATTTCTTTGTTTATGTCTCTACACGCATATATATTACCACATAGACTTCTTTTACTAAAATAAAGTTAACGTGCGTTATTTTAACTAAACCGTCGAACATTAAAGAATTGTAAAACTAATAAAAAGAAAAATGACATAAACAAATAAACATAGAAAGATAATAATGGCAAACATTCGTACTTTCTTTTATCGTAGAGACAACATCTTATATTTACTTTCCTTTTATCTTATGATCTAAACAATCCTATACCACGTTTCGTCAAGAATAAAAATGTTATTTCATTCAATTATTTAAGTACATATCTTGTTTTCATAAATAATTCAAGCGAAAAAAAACCATAATATTTCTCTATAGAGAATCTATTTTGTCTTCAATAATATAATAGACAAATTTATTATTCTATTACTAATCTAATTTTTTATTTAACAATACATGTTTAGTTATTTATCGTTTCTATTCGTCTCTGATATTTAATTGTAATATGATCATCAATTTAAATAAATCAAAATTAGAAGCTATTTTCAATCCTGAAATGTTGACTACAAAAAATAGAACTGAAGCTCAGCGCCAGTGATGGAAAGTATCTCCGTTGTTTAGTTAGAAGTGTAACGATAACTTTCTGCGGGTTTTCAGATAGTTTTCGTCAATTTTTTTGATAGCAATTTCTAACAAGTTTCTTTCAGTTTAGAGAAATTTTCGTCTGTAGTATTCTGTGATAGCGAATAATGGTGCCAAGAAACTTGATTAAACTGTCTACGGCAAGATAAGATGCTTAAAAATATCTGGAGTTTTTGTGACAATCGAATTTAGAACGATTCTAATACTCATGCGACAACTAAACCTTCAAAATATAACTAAAATCTCTGCTATTCTCGGTGGCATTATAGTTGTCATGATTATGACCGACTTCGATGGTGGAAAAATTTGAGAAACTTCTGAAATCTATAATAAATTAATGAATTTATCTCGAAGTCTGATTTTTATGTACAACCTGGTCGGAAGCGATAATATCTTTACGAAAAAATAAATGTAGGAAAACAATTGTAATACTCCTACTTTGAGTCACACTATTGTAGTTCAGGTTCTTCTAGTTCAGACACTGGTTTTGATGATTGAATCTAAATAAAAATGGATGAGATAACTTATGGTTATTTAAAATAAAAAATATACATTGCAAGATATAGATTAAATGAGTCTTTATATATGTTATATTTTAGGCTAAAATTAGTTTTCCCTTTTTAATGCTATGTAATAATACTTTACATCAGATTTATTACTAAGTAGGGAGATCACATGAGACTTTTATTTCAATGTTGACTGTAAGCCATGATCAGATAAAACTGTCATTTTATATTTTGTATTTGATAATAAATTTGATTTAAAATATAATAGCATAAAAATAGAAAAAGGAATAACTGTCGCTGTAAAAATTCGACATAGCATAATAAACTCTTCAGAAAGATTTATTGATTTCATAAATTACTTTATATACCCTTTTAGTTGATAAACCATAAGAAGGGTATTCTAAAAATATCTTTATCAGGGTTTATTATTCAATGTCGATTTTTCACAGTGCTTACTCATGAATGTAGATAAATCAATCGAAAACAGTCGATTAGTTTCGATTCTTTTTTTTTACTTGATATTTAACCAGGGTTAAGCGGTGAATAGGTGATGAATCAAGTTTTGTCTGTTTAACTTGATGGTTAATTAGAGCCATTTGTACAACAGCACCTTTTTTCAGATGTGTATTACTAATCTTTGTTGTTTTTTTCGTTGTCTTCTCCGTAAGATTTATTCAATAGATATCTCTACGCTTCGTCACATGTAAAAAAATTTCAACACTTTTTTCTACTACTTAATAGAGTGTGAATGTAGGTGTGTGGCTATGATTTACTCTCTTCCAAGTTTCGCCAAAACCGACACCCTCATCAAGAAGCATTATTAAAAGTAGAGGAATATACTAATGAGATTCGATCTTTATCGGATGAACCTATTAAACAACATTGCTTAGCCGCAACTACTGATCTCTGGACGGATGATTTAATAAACAGAAGTTATTTGGATTTTACTGTGTTTTATTTTGATAACAGTTATCAATTAAAACATAGCTTATTAAAATGTAAATATTTTGATCAAGGAAAAACTGCGGTTAATATATGCACGAATTAAAGAAGTTTTCAATACATTTAATTTATCTTTCGGTGATACTCTAGATACTACTGACCGAGGCTCAAATATAATGAAAGCGTTAAATTTAAATGATGAAGCTAAATATCCTTGTTTAGCGCACAGGACCAACACAACATTGGAAACCGCATGGGAAAATGTGAAAAAATCAACGCCGAGCGTGGGTGGGTGTAGGTGTGTGACTATGATTTACTCTTTTCCTATTTTCACGTACATCCATCTATCCACACCAACCGCACCCGCATCCACCCCTCCCAGTACCTGAAAACAAATGTTAAGCAATTGGGTCGTAAAAGTCGTATACTCGACGTCGTTTAGCTGATGGGAAAGCATATTGGAGTAGTGATGGCCGTATGACTAAATCGATGGAAAAAAACTATGTGATTATTATGGTTATCAATACGGCTGACCAGTCAACTAAAGAAAGGTATACTAGTCTTTTTCTATAGTTATAAGTTTGAATCGTATTGTAGATTTCAATGAAGATGAAGCTATAGTTCTGATGCAGCGTAGTTATCGAGCTGCATTCATGCATAACATCAAACAGACTGATCGTAAAATTCAACATTCTCTTTGTCCCACAGGACTTTATTCATGGTGCTCCTATCAAAAAGATAAATATGTACAATTAAAAGAAAGAACGGATCTTATGAAAGGTTTGCAACGAATTGATTTGGTAAAGCTATAACAAGTTTTTTATTTAGTTTCGAAAAGTGACGATAATTTGTAGATTTTCCTGAAAATTCTAACAACTATGACTAACATATTAACTAATCAATTATTATGACGACGATGTTTGCTAGGCGCTACTCATAATGCAAATGAAACGATTCGTTTTATTCTTTGGTCAATTTTATCAAAGGCGAAATACCATGGATATCGATCAATTCGACGCGATGCAGCGATTGCAGCAGTTTTCTTTAATCGTGGTACTCTTATTCTCATAACCTTCTACTAATATTTTCTATTTCAGTTATAGAATTTAAATGAAAATGAAATAAATATAAAGAAAGGATAAATAGATATATTTATTCATCTGTAATAGCTTAGTAAACTTTTTAAAATTTGATCATGTAATAAATAAAGTTTGATTGTACATAGAATAAACGAAATTTCATCATTTGAATTATAAAAATCGATTAAATATGATAATTAATCAATATATAAGATTGATAATTAGCCGAAAGAATTAGATTTTATCTTATTTATTTTCAATGGAACATATTATGAATACTTTTCTATATTTCAGAAATAAGAACCTTTTCAAATGATATCGATAACTTTTTTTTTGAGAAAATTGACTGTTATACTCCATCATTTGATCACATCTGTGATTTTGATATAAGAAAAATAATTAAACAAAATATTACAAATACAATCGATAAGAATTCATGTCCTACCATAAGAAGTTTGACTAAAATATTCTATACGTGAAAAATACATTATTACTTCTATTTTTATTTAAATTAACGAGCGTTATGATTATTAGTTATGAAAAAAATATGTTCTGTCTTTTCTTTTACTCTATCTTCTTTGATTTATAAAACATGAATATATCATGTTACTTTAATCTATTATAGTGAACAGAGTAAATTTTCGGTTAATTTGCATAAAATCGTATCTTGTAGAAGAAAGAAAAACACTTTAAAGAATTAATCTTATTAATATTCAGTTGAGGGATAATCACATGTTGTATTAGATTCATATCAATTCAATGATAAACATAGGATTTTTCAATTTATATTCAAGGTGAATAATAAAATAACAGATTAATCTACTGTAGACTTTTTTTAATGTTCGTAAACGTATCAGTGTAACAATTTATTATCGCTTAATAGACGGAATTATATTTAAAAATGGCTAAATATATCTCAGCTTGTTCATATTTTATAAATGATCAATCAGGTAAAATAATTATTTAAAAACAAAGTTTATTATTTTATTTGAAAAAAAAACTTTAGAATCCGAAAATTGGATGTACAATGATGATGGTGATGATAAAATGATTAATTTTAATAAAATAATGGATGAAGTTCAAGAATGGAGTGATAGAAATAATAAATATGAAATTCGTTATACATTAACACATAATCTTCTTTTAATGGGAAAAACTCGAACAGGAAAAACAACCATTGCTAAAGTTATTGAAAATCCTTGTTATATTCCACCAGATGCCAAACTTTATTCTGAAACCAAACAAGTAACTATTCATCCAGTTGCAACAACATTAAATAATAATAATATAATTTATTGTTTTAATATAATTGATACTCCTGGCTTATTTGATAAAGTTAAATATGAAAATAGATCATTAACAAATAATAAAATAAAAAAATCAATTGAAAAATGTATGGAAGAAGATATAACAAATATTCATTTATTTGCATTTGTTATTAATTTACAAAGTAATTTAGATAGAGATGATATTGATTCAATGATTTATGTTAAAAATAATTATTCATTTTTACATAAATATATTTGTTTAATTGTAACACATTCAGAAGAAACAAATCAACAACAAAGACAAAATAAAATCGATGAATTTTTTCAATCAGATCAAATTATTAAACATAATTTAAAAGATTTTTTTGGTGAAAGAATTTTTTTTATGGGATCATTACGTTCACAATTAATTTTATATCCAAATAAACAATCTATTCGACAACAAATTAAAAATGTTCATCAAATGCGTGAGATTTTTATTGAATATATTCAAAATTTAGATCCCAATGATTATTTTAATATTCATCATATTAAAAATTCAAATATTTGTACTATTTTATAATCAACAGACACATTTATTTTAATAAATTCATATTCAAAAAAACAAAATCATCATTTTTTCAAAACTAGAATTAAGATACAACATAATCAACTAGTTCTTTACATTGAATAGATTTTCCTTTGATTCCTCTTAGATATATGTGCATATTTCTATTCCTTTTTTTTATCTCTTATGTGTTATCTTTCATATATATTACATCTAATTTATCTAATGAATAGGAATTCCAAGGACAAATATCGATACGTTATAAATATTCCACATTTGAATAATTTCGTCTATGAATGTACCGATAAATGTCTATTAATTCTCCATTGATTATTTTTAAATGAAATAATTCTCTATCATTTGTATTTGTAATTAAGAAATTTTTTTGACAAAGTAATAAACAGTATTGAAATGAATTTCTAAGAGAAAAATTGAAATAAGATAAACGATTCAATTCATTGTCGAAATAGAGGTTAAAGAAAAGGTGAGAAGAATAATTTAAAGAATATTTTATGTTATCAAGGGGTGAGAAAGTTGATAAACAATTTCTTATTTTTTTTTTACTATTAAAAGATAACAAAGAAAAAAAGAACTCGTTTTCACATCATGATAATAACAAAGTTTGTATCTTTATTTTAAATAATATTACATAAAAATGCAATATTACAACTTTTTTATTTAATAGAATAGATTATTAATTATATTTTTAATTTTCAATATAAAATAGTAAAGATTACATAGAACAAATATGTTAATATAGAAAAGATTTTCTTATTAGAAAAGTAGATATGATTTTATTAATCTTACATAATTATATAAAATACATTGAACTTTTAAACGGTTGATCAAACATGATCATTTTAACAAGGTAAATAGTTACATTCATATATTACATAACGAAACTATCATTGACAATCGATATGACTCATCATATTCTTTAGTTTTTATAAAAATCTAGATAAAAAAGCATTATTATATTAGAAGAAAGATTCATTTTTTTTCTAATTGAACTTATTAAGAATAAATTAATCTAAATGAATTAAACTTGTAAGTATTACATAATTTATCTTTAGAAATTGATGTACAAATATCTTTTCTCTTTCTTTTTTATCAATTTTTAATGACCTATGTACACTCGTCTTTATTGAAATTATTTAATAATTTTACTTTTCATAGATAAAACTTTCCTATTTTATTTTTCTCAAAACGCTTAAGTTTTACACTAAGATACATCAACTTAGAAAATATCTTGAGAGAGAAAGGAAAATATATTCGAACTCTGGACAATGGATATTCACACATTCACTTTATTTCACATTATTTTATTTATTCGAAAAAGAAGGTGATGAAATCTAATAAAAAACGAAAGAAGATTTAATTTAAGATAAAAAAAAGAATAACACATCAATATGAAATATTTTCCTTTCTTCAAAAAAAAACATATTGAAGGTAAATATTTTCTTATTAATTAATTAATTAAAAATAAATTTCTTTTGATTTTTTTTTAATAGAAGAAAGTCGAAAGATTCGTGCAAATGATCCTGAAAGTAATGCATTAAACAATTTTGCGGTAATTTAATTAAATTTAAAGTAATTGTTTAAATAAATTTGTTTAAAGGGAAATGAAGTATCAACAGCGAGATATAATTTAGCAACATTTTTACCTAAAAATCTCTTTGAACAATTTCATCGATTAGCAAATGCATATTTTTTATTCTTAGTTTGTTTACAAGTATTAAAATTTACTTTTATTTTTTTAAAGAATTTATTTTTTCAACATGATATATTTAGTTAATTCCACAAATCAGTTCATTACCACCATATACAACAATTGTACCTCTTTGTTTTGTTTTAATTTTAACAGCAATTAAAGATGCTGTTGATGATTTTGTAAAAAATTTATTCGTTCTTTTTAAAATATAAATTTATTTATATTATTAGGGAAGACATAAAAGTGATAAAGAAGTTAATAATAGAGAAACACAAGTTATTTATCAAAATGATATTGTTTATAGAAAATGGAAAGAAATTCAAGTTGGAGATATGATACAATTGTCTAATGATGAATTTGTTACGGTTAGTCTAGTATAATCTTTATATAAAATTATTTTGCTTCGAAATTAATAAAACTAAAAATTTAGGCTGATATATTTATAATATCAACAAGTGAACCTAATGGACTTTGTTATATTGAAACAGCTGAATTAGATGGGTAAGAAAAGATTTTTATTATGTTTTATTTCTATTTTGTTATTTTAAAATAAGTGAAACAAATTTAAAAGCACGACAATCTCTTGAAGAAACTCAAGGTATTGGAGATGATGTGGATGATTTATCGAATTTTAATGGTAAAAATATTTTATTTAATAAATAAATAAATATTTTTTAAATTAAAGGTGAAATTGAATGTGAACCAGCAAATAATAATTTAAATAAATTTCAAGGAAATTTAACGTGGAATAATAAAACTTATCCATTGAAAAATGAAAATATTTTATTAAGAGGAACTCGTTTAAGAAATACTCAATGGGTTGTTGGAAGTAAATCAAACGTTTTTCTTTTATTTTATTTTAATTAAGAAAATATTTTCATAATTAGTTGTATGTTATGCTGGATCTGATACAAAATTAATGAAAAATACAAATAAACCATCTTTTAAACGATCACATATTGATCGTTTACTTGATAAAATTATTATTGGAGTAAGACAAAATATTTTAATCTGAAATTATTTATTTATTTATTTGAAAAGATTTTAATATTTCTTGTCTTATTATGTGCAACAATGAGTATTTGTTGTATATTTTGGGAATCAAATGTTGGTTATTATTTTCGTTCATATTTACCATGGGAATCATATATATCAAATAATAAAACAAAAGGATCAATTCAATTAGGTTTACTTGTATTTTTATCTTATGTAATAACATTAAGTGCAGTTGTACCAATCTCACTTTATGTTAGTATTGAA